CGAAATCGAAAGTCGGCGCCAACGCGTGCGAAAAAGAAAGAAGGAAAACGTTCGACGTCCTTCAAAGAGACAACGCGCTGGCCCCACGGATGTCCTGGAAGTTGGCAAGATCTGAATTTTCTGTTTCTCTACGTTCCGCGGATACTTTGATGTCCGTCCGAAAGCTTGTTTCTAGTTATTGGATCGACGGACAAACTGGTACCGACTAGATCGGTTGTCTCTCAATACGCGCGCCCTACCGTTCTTGATATCGCGAGAATGTCGAGGAAGTTTGTGGAGAGACCCGCCACAATGCGTATCTCTCGACTTATCATGATGTACCGCAACGATCCTCTCACGTGGCCGTAATCTTCTTCGGAAAACGACTATTTCGGGAACACCGTGTGCATCTGCATTTCTAGCACGATGCTTCGGGGCTAACGCTCGAATCCGAGTTTGTGATTTATGCGGGCCCAGCGCGATAGGAGGAGTGCATGCAGTTGCCCAGGCCTCCTCCACCGCGCATCTTACCTTCTCCTATAACGCGCGCGCGCTGTTCCCTGGCTGCCCGTGCAGCCGCATCGCTACCGATATATGTATGCGGAATATCCACCCCCCCCCCTCCACCGGACCCTTTCGTTCACCGTAGACACGGTTAGTATCTACTGCAAACGAAATGGCGGCAGAGGTACCGCGATCACGAACACGGATGCGTAGAACGACGTTACCTTAAAAACATAATTTGTACGATTATCTGCTATTGCAAAAAAAAGATCCTTGGGATCCGAAAAAACTATTGCGACGATACATGTTGGACGAACAACAACTTAGGAGCAATTGTACATAGAAAAAATAATTCGGAAATCGAAGTGTTCGACTGGCGAGTAGTTATCGCACGTGAGCCAGCGCGGCAGAGCAAAAGGTTAACACCCTCCGCTAGCCTTAAAGAGCGTGTTAACTCGGTTAAGTCCGTGACTCGAAAGAGTTGCAAGCGTCGAGAAAAGCGTGTACTATTCCTCCCATCGTTTTGCCTGCCTCTCTTTCTTCCCTCCTCCGTACGTTAAAATACTCCCTTGGAAACGATTCGAGATTCATCCCGCGATCGAATCCAGATCTTGCTTTTTTATCTCGCGCCTCGATCCCGCCTCGAATCTCGTCCGTTCCATCTTAGTCATCGGTGAGATCACGTTCCGCGAAGCCAAAAAGAAAGCTTGCGCAACGATAGCCATGATTGCACGGAATAGCGAACAGGCGTGAAATACCGGACCAAGGTACCACGAGATGGTCGCGGAAAAACACGACGAAGAAGAGACGGTTGGTGTGTAAAAGTAGAACCAATGGGAACAAGTTCCCGCGAAACAAAAATAAATAAAAGGAGCGCGTGTGCGATCTCCTCTCGCGTACACAACAAGTGCAAAAACGAGTTCGTGGTGGCGCATCGGAGAAGCCATTGGTTATAGGTGCGCGCGTGCACACGTATCTAAATGTACATACAAGCGGGCGGGTACAACGAAATGTGTGCGATACCGTGGGGCACACGTTGGTAAGATACAAGACGGGGCTCCAGGCGCGGTCAGATTAATGAAACTCATGGGAAAACAGTGACTCTCAACCGTCGCGAAAGGACATCCCGGAAATACCTCTTGGATCGTTGCGCGTTGTTGTAGCAACCAAAAACGATTCGCCCCGATCCTGGACACACCTGAATCGATTGTACAAGCCGTTTCTCCGTCTGTGAAAAAACTCGTCCCACAGTCTGTACGTAAACAACGAGTCGTGCGTCGAAGATCACGCGCTCTTTCGGAACACGCGTCCGCACGTTCGAGTCTCGTCGCAGACCATTTCCTTGTGGTTGATTAAACTGCATAAATTCCGTTGGAATAATGGTTACCGAAGCAAGTTTCTGTGACGTCAAGCGAACAGATACGTTTGACTTTCCGGAAAAAAGTCAATCATCCAATATGGAATCGATCCAGCGAATGTATTACTGTCTTGAAGGGGAGACAGAAGGGAAGAGTTAAAGGCCGACTGAACGGAGACAGACTCCTTCATTTTTTACTTCGTGTCGTTGTAGCACCTGTCTGTACGCGTAATCGTTCTTTCTTTCGAAGATGAAAGAAATAACGTTGCGGTGATTCGAAACCTGCCAAAATGGAAATCAGCGATTATCAGAACCTCGACGAACAAGTTTTCATGTTTCCTATTCTTTCGTCAAAGATTAAACCTGGCGATACGCGGACAGAAGTCGGACAGATTTAAACGAAGAGCATCGATTTAAATCGGAATAACACGAGACTCCGAAGGGCAACGAATAAACGGGTATAAACAGCGTAACGGAACAGGAGGATGATAGAAAAAGAAAGCGAAAGGATATAAGACGGTGAATAATTTCATGTCGATGAGGGAACGCGATGCATATTCAAGCAACGTCGTTAGATAGAGCGACGCGATGCGTTGCGATGCAACGCGGGCTAGACACGATACACAATGCGATGGAAGACGAAGAAAGAATACGGGAGTGGGGTGCGGTGGTACGGCGCGACGGTTCCCTTTACTCCGGATTGGATCGTACGCGTCGTTGTACATAAATTGTGCAAGTTGTACAACGACGCGACTTTGCTCCTTTTTTACCGTGCACGCTAACACAGAATTTTCCTCGATGTTCGTTGCGTGTCACACCCGATTTTGCATACCATGCAGCTTACGATTGCCAAGTAAAACGTGTCGAGAAACTCCGAAACACGTATCATTTTCCAACTTATCGAAGAATGTGTTCGGTATAAGCACAATGTTTTAGGAATACGCGTGAGTGTAGCCTCGTAGGATACGATGAAATTCTTGATTTACAATGCGAACGAATTACAGAGTCTCGACGAGCCGATCGCCAAGTTTCATTCGAACGTTGCCGCGATTTTGAAGAATCGTTCGATAGATCGAAGCGACGCCGCCGCGACGGAGCGCCGACGACATTAGGCTTTTTTACGTGTCGCAAAATATAAACGTACTCACCTGTGTCGTTGTGTCGATTGTGAGAATCGAAATAATGGTTATGTTGGAAATGGGATGCGACGGCTAGTGTCGAATACCGAAACCTTAACAGCACAGCGGTGTGGTGGCACGAGAGAAGCTGGTGTCGTAAAACCGTAGTTACGCAACACGCAACTGGTGGCACACACACGACACACGGTCGATCAAAAACAAAACGTCAGCGGTCAGCGTCCGTCGGTGCCGTCGACGTCGACGTGGTCGTCCGCTGTACAGAATGCGCGCCAGTATCGAGCGTACCGCACAGCCGAACGGAACGAAATAGTACGGTACGGTACTGTACGGTATAAATCCAATGGGGGAAGAGAGAGAGAACGGGAGGAGGGAGTGTGACAAGTTGAGAAAAAGACGAGAGTAAAGAACAATTGGGAAAGAAATGTGTACGGGAGAAGACGCGATCTTGGCAAATGCGTCACTCGCAAATCACGAACTATCAACCACGCTGTCACGGTTCGGAAAGAAAGAGAGAGAGCGAGGGGGCAGGCAGGCAGACAGAGAGTGAGAGAGTGTGTGAAGGAACGAAAGAGAGAGTAGGCCGCTCCGAATGACAGTCAAGGAAAACTTCAGAGCGACCGGGATAGAACCGAGTGAACGTGCTGGATCCTCAGACTCGATCTGTACTGTCCACACTGACAGTCGCTAAAGTCGCTTCCATGCTCGACCTCATCGGCTCCTCGCATTCAACTTCGTCTGTTTTCGTCGCACATCGGCCCGGTGGCAATATGGCGCCGCTTTGCCTCCAACTTTGAAATCCTTCTTCCTTTGTTCGACTCTTTCTCAACCTTGATTCCTATCCCCCTTGAAATTTGTAATCAAACCTCATCGACAAAACACAGCTCAATGTTGCACGGGTCATTATTACCGTTGTCATTGTCCTCATCGTTACTATAATTATTATTTGTTAATAGTTAATGTTTTAGTAATAAATAAATAAAATTATTATTTAAAGTTTACAAATGCAATAATTATCTAACCTTTGTTCATGAAACTGTATTCATCTCGATCCCCGTTGCAAACGATAAATCTTTTAAACAGGATGACCGTTTTAAAAACGTACGGTGTAATCAGAGGAAACGTGAAATTTGTTTGAACGTTTCTGTTTTCTTCGTAATTCTTCAATGTGAACAAGTAGTTGCGTCGTTACGCGATATGCTCTATAAACTGTGACACGCGAGTTGAAGAACAAACGAGATGATATTTTTTTGAGAACGAAAACACCACGGATTAAGCATCAGTCTTGACTATATTCGCAATACGTTTCTCGGCGTTGAAATCCCTTTGATACACGTTACGCGTCACACTGATTCGACAAACAAAAACGCAAAATCATTCGGAACGAAACCATCGCTACGAATGTCTCCCCCCGCCGCCAGAGACCCCGTACGGTGAGAGCGTAGGGTCATAGAACCCCAGGTGGTGGCGCCACAGACCCCGTGCGGTGGGATCGTGGGGTCACGGAACCCCCGCAGGTGGCGTCAGAGACCCCGTGTGGTAAGAGCGTGGGGTCACAGAGCTCCAGCAGGTGGCGCCAGAGACTCCGTGTGGTGAGAGCATGGGGCCACAGAACCCCCGCAGGTAGCGCCAGAGACCACGTGTGGGGTCACAGAACCCCCGCAGGTGGCGCCAGAGACCCCGTGTGGTGAGATCGAGGGGTCATAGAACCCCCGGTGTAGACACCAGGGACCCTGTGTGTGTCAGATGTAGCCTCACCAGCAAAGTTATTGAGATATCTGGCTATCGCTTATTATAAAACAGATCAGGAGCAATTTTTTGGTGCCATAATGTCTGTGTAAAGAGGTCATTTACTACCTATTTTGTTAACAACAAATTGTTACTTTTTCTTTTACGAATATCTCATTAACTATTAACGGTGCTGGGGGAGTAAATTGAGAGCAATTTTTTTAGATATATATCGTTAAGATACGTTAACATTCGGCGCGAACTATTTTCCGGTGACGATATTACATATGTTATTTGTCGTAATGCAACGCCCAAACAATTTACGAAAAAGTCTAGACATATGTATCGAGTAAGCATAAAGTGTGTAGACACACGAATAAAGTATATTTCCGATCGTAACTATCAACTTCGATCAAAATTGCGAAATTCTCGTTGTCGACATCACAGTGAACGTCAGAAACGCGCGCGTTATCTGCGTGATCGCGCTTCGTCGACGTTCCTCGCGCCACCTGGCAGAAATGCCTAACCGATGGTTCGTTACGGTGGTTTCGGCCCTCTAGTCGGTTCGTCGGTTTCATCGGCAGAACCGAACGTGGTCGAAGATGGCGATACAGGGGTAGGGTTCAGCGGACGCTCCGGAAGGAAGCTTCTTCCTCGTCGTGACGAAAACGTAGGGTTGTTCGGTGGGACAAGGAATCTCTCGCGTAGTGGCGGGAAAGACGTTCGCGCTGGTCGATCGACGAAATCTCGCGACTCGCGACACCTACGAGCTCTGTCTCTTTCGAGACTGGGAAGTTCAATGCGCACAAACGTGTGTCGTGTCGCGTTCCGTCTTCCGTCACGGCCAGTCGCGATAAAATCGGAACATAAACTCCGGGGAGAACGTGCGCGCGCGTGTTACTCTTTTCTTCCATACTGGGGACGAGCTGAAATACTCGTGAACGCGCTACACGCTACACTACGCCAATTCGCCAGCTTAAATGTCCGCCTCGACTTCTGTTCGATATATCGAATAAGAAGTGTGTCTGTCGCGTATTCTTGTGGTTCATTTTCGTAAAAACATAAAATCTCGAGAAGAACTTCTCGTTTCCGTGTCGCCTCTTTTTTTTTCCTTGGTTATCAAAAAACAACGTTAAAATACTATTGATAGACGGGTGTATTTTCGTAAGATGGACTATCGTAAGGAAATTCAGCGAAAAAATCGAAGACGATCGCTACGCGTACTCGGGAGATTTCGCTCGCGATGTAAATACTTGAAATCGTTCGATGTCTCTGCCCCGACTCATAAATTGCTTCGAAACTGATAACTGCGACTGGGTTTTGTTCATGTACACATTACTATCGCGTACCGATACGATTCCCAAGGGCGGGTTCGCAGCGAGCGCGAACAAATGGGGATTAATCAATGGACGGCGGTAACGACAGCGGTTGGGTTTAGGCATTGGCGCGTTTTTTCATAGTTCGTGGGAGAGACGCGTCCGACGACGGTCGCCGTCTCACTGGAAAGTATCGCGCGAACACGTTCGATTCGCGCATCGGTAGACAGTAGATTAAAAACATCAAAGAAATGCCTTCGGTATTTCTTGTTTCTTTCAGATGGTGGCGGGTTCTTCGCTTTTCACTAATCAAGGAAGCGATTCGCAGAGGGGAAAAAGGCTAAGGCTACTAACACTAGCAGCTTACTAATCCAGGCGAGAGCAATATCGTGTTCGTAGATATCGCGTGATATTTTGGAGAACGAGACTTGGCTATGAAATCGCGAATGTCTAGAACGCGTTCCCGTTGCCGTTCACGCTTCCGTTCTCGTTCTCATTCTCGTTCTCGTTCCCGTATGCAATCTAGTCAGGAAAGAAAGGGATTCCTTAAAGAGGAAATTACGACGCGGCCGAGATAAGGGGAAAGATTATACGATGAACCTGAAACGTCGAAGCGTAAATATAGAAGGGCCGATAACCGAGCGAATCGTATCGTGAATCTCGCCACGATTCTGTTTCGAGTCCTAAGACAAAAGAAAAAAAGAGCGTATTTCAAACGAAAATTTCCGCGAATATTTTCCGATGCGACATCGATAATAGCGTTTCCAGCTGCCTAGAAATTACCAAAGAAGGATGCATTACCAAAGAGACCGTCGACAAAGCCGTAACTCGGATCCGGAAAGAAGACTGTCTATCTAGCGAAGGACAACGTGCGACGATGCAGGCTTAAAGTTTGCAAGAGAAAACCGTTTCAGAAATAAAATTTCGAGACGAAACAAACGAAAAAGCTTTCAGATGGTTGAAACGTGGCGACAGAGGTGTTCGAATCGCTAGTAACTGCTACGGCCGGTAACATCGATGCGTGCTGGACTGCATCGGCATATGTATACGGACCAACGATCGTGCGACGAACAGAGGCAATCATTCTCGAGGAATAAGTGGCTGTACGGAATATATACGAGCGTAACGGATCCGAGCGCAGGGGTAAGTCGTTCGACGTGTCTAAGCGACTCGATCTTTTCAAGGTTGAAAAACGCGACGAAAAGTTATTAGGAGAGATTATAGAGAGAGAGAGAGAGAGAGAGCGAATGGTGATGACGGTTGTTGAGGAATAGAGCACGGACTAACAAGAGAGGTGGGAGGTGAGAGGTGAGAGGTCACGACGAAGGGTAACAGAACAAGCGTAGGAGAGCGCGTACGTGCGTGGGGGTGTCGAGAGGGGGTGTGAAATCAGAGCGATATCGACCGCGAATTGCGCTTGCGTGGAAAAAGGCGCGCAATCGCTGTCGAGGAAGCGGCGTACCGTCGCGAGGAAGAAGCTCTCGCAGTCGGTCGATCGTCGCGGCGACGAACGCCGAAAGCCGAACGTCGAACGGTTCTTCACCGTCGAACGACGACACCGTTGCTTCTGTTTCGTTGTTTTATTCCTTCCGTTTCATTTCGACGTTCCTTTTCGGCGAGGACTCCGCGGATCCCTGTTGTCCGACGACCCCGATTCATCCGGCGAACGAACATTACGAACACACAGAGAGCGTACTCACCCCGTTTCAATATTCGATCGGTACGTCGACGAGGAAAGGAGTCGTCGGCCGGTGCCACGAGGTTCGCGTTTCGTGAGCCAGCCTCGAGATACAGGGGGCTCGTCCTCCATCGTCACCTGATATTCGACTTCTTGGTACCTGGGCAACGACGACCCGGTTCTCGGTGATTCGAACGCGTGCACGAACCGTTCGTGTATTTCCGTGAAGACCGCCGCCGCCGCCACGCTCGTCGACGAAACGGGCGTCGATGTCGTTTAGGTGGGAAGCTATCGAAATCTCCGTTTAAGCGAAGACACGTGGAATAACGATCGATTCGAGGGTTGAAACCGCGAGGCTTCACTCTTTTCTCCCATCGTCCGACGACTACGTTTCTACTCCGCCGCGTGACCATACGTTATCTATGAAAACAGACGACTTTGGTAAATTATCCTTGGAAAGAGAACCGTGTAACGAAGCGGCAAATAAGAAACCGACGGTGGTTAAAGCCATCGGTCGTATTAGTATTAGCATTGTATTTTGAGAGCGACGAAAGAACCCACGCTAGAGTGAAGAAGAGAGAGAGGGAGGGACACGCAGGCGGACTATCGAAAAGATAAGAGTCCGATAAGCGAGCGTGGTCGAGTTACGCACACGTTGGTACGTATTTTGCCGGCGACCAGCTCGGCTTGGCTCTACTCTCGGTCTGCTGGTCCGGCGTATCCGTTACCGATATCTTTTTATACGGCCGAAAATTTTACATGGATTTCTCGATGGTGAAGGATCATTAGCGGGCAAATGGCCGTTGTCGGTATGCAAGGAAACGGTTCAAGCGGAACGACTGGAACCGAGCTGACGCAGGAGGAGGTACAACTGACAGAATTGTTGCCGGTGAAACAGTCGAGAATCAGGGAGAACGGAATCTTTAAGCACGACACGGGTGTCGACAACGACGACGACGACGACGACGACGACGATACCAGCGCGATAACGAACGCGGATAGAGATGCGAACGCGACGACGGACGCGTTGAAAGTGCTTCGAAGCTTCGAAAACGGTGGTCGCGACGGGCACGAGCAACAGCAACAACAACAACAACAACAACAACAACTTCGACTACGGAACGTTTCGTCCTGCGAGACGTTAGACCGTCCAGGAAAACGGGAAAATGGAAAACGGTCACGAGTACGGAAACAACAGCAGTGGAGCGCGAAAGACGATGGGATCGCGATTCGTAAGAAGCGAAATAACGTTGTTGTTGGTCGTAAGAGCGGGCTGATACTTGCGAATTCGTCGAAAAAGAACACGGTCGACGATCTCGGGAACAAAGAGGAGGAGAGCAAAGGAAGCATCGGCGAGTCTTCGAGCGGTCAAACGGTCGACGGACAGGACGATGGTAACGAGACGACATCGTTCGTTTGCTCGATGTACGGGCAAGAAGACTCGTACCAGACGTTCGACGAGGGCAAACACTTCAGCGAGAAAATCTACGCATTTCGCCGGGATCCGTTGGACTTGAACGGGAAGATCGTCGATCGGATTTACGAGACCGATTACTCGGCGAGCACCGATGGCGGTTTGTTCGATCACGGTTTCGATCGTGGCTTCGAGAACGGTTGCCATCCGGACGGTAGAGAATCGGGTTTCAACATCGAGTCGATCATCACGGCAAATTATTTCCTCGAGAGCGAGAACAACAATGTGTTACGATCGAATCGGGAGAAATCGGGAAAAATCTGCGGCAATTCGTTGATACTGGACGATAAGATCGGGATCGCCGCCGAATCCTCACCGAGCAAGAACAAATACGAGAACGATGACGGAGAAGAGGACGGAGAAGAGGACGGAAAGACAACGTTGGACGTAGACGGTGACGACGCGCAATCGTTGGCGAACGGTAACGGAAACGGAAACGAAGAGAAGAAATATTGTTGCGTGGTGTGCGAGGCGCGATTCAAAGGGAGCGGTGGTTTGCGGAATCATTACAAGATAGTGCACGGAGCCGGGCCGATCTTCAAATGCGACGAATGCGGCAAAGAGTTCCCGCTGAAGGAACGACTGAAGCTTCACGTGAGAACGCACACCGGGTTTAAGCCGTACAAGTGCCCGGACTGTGACAAGAGTTTCGCGAGGGGCGGTCAATTGGTGCAACACCGGCGAACCCACAGCCAGGTAAAACCGTATCGTTGCGGCCTGTGCTCCGGCACGTTCACCTGCGCCGCAAATTTGGCCCTCCACGTGAAACGTCACAACGGCCAGAAGGATCACAAGTGCGAGATCTGCGGTCGCGCGTTCGTCCGACGAGACGCCCTCAAGAAGCATCTGGAATGCCTTCATCGGGACGTAAAGTCGTTTCTCTGCGTGATCTGCAACAAAACGTTCAAGGGTCACCTGCCCCAGCACATGAGGACGCACGCACGCGATCGTCCTCACGGATGCGCGACATGTGGCCAGAGATTCGCGCAAAAATCACAGCTGACCGTCCATCAGCGAACGCATTCCGGCCAAAGGCCGTTCAGGTGTCTGGTCTGCTGGCAGGCGTTCGCGCATTCGACCGCGCTCAAGCTGCACACGCGACGTCACACCGGCGAACGGCCGTTCAAATGCGCAGAGTGTAACGCCGGTTTCACTCAGCTGCCCCACTGGAAGAAACACATGAAATGCATCCACGGCCGGACCGAGCCGTACGCTTGCAAACGGTGCAAGAGCTTTTTCCGGATCAAGAACGATCTCGAGTGCCACGAGAAAACTTGCCATCCCGAGCACGACACGAGCAGTCCTCCCGACTGTGTCGTGGCCGCCGCCGCCGCCGCCGCCGCCGCCGCCGCCGCCGCCGTCACCGTTGCCGTCGCCGTAGCCGGCGGAAACACGGACACGTTCTTCAACGAGATCGCCGAGAAACCGTCACCCCCGTTACCCGCCAAATACAAAACGATGACCGTCGAGAGGATGCGCTTGTTGCTCGCGGTTCTCCTAAAGAGAATCAGCAAACAGGAGAGATTGGACGAGCTCGGCTTTGGGAAACGTTTGATCGACGAGGTGCTTCGGGACTCGTTGTTGTCCGCCGGCAAGGATCCGGTACCACGGGACGGTCACACCGAATTCGAGACTCTTACCAAGAACCTCGAGATATTCCTGAAATGGACGGTACCCAAGGAACATTGGGAGAATTTTCGCAAGTTGAACAAGACTCCGGAAGACATTTTGGAAACGCTTACTGCCACCTAAACAGAAAACGATACAACCGGATTTTTCTTTTACCTTCCTTGCATTTTTCTCTCATTTTCATTCCGACCGTTCGCCAAATTCTCAAGGCTGTACTCACTTTACGTTCCTTTTACGTTAACCTCCTTGCTATCTCTGCTAGTCCAAAGTGGCAAACGTGGTGTCTATTTTTCTTTGCTTTGTTCCAACCATCGATCCCCCGTCGCGTTGGTGCTAAGCGCCAACGTTCCTAAACGTTTTCGCTTGTTGTTTCTTTCCTCTTTTCTTCACGGTGCCATGTATAATTGTACTATTCGCCGCGTTACAATTTCGCGATACATGAATCAAAACGAACAACGCTCTTTACTAGTAGAATATGTAACCGCCGAACGACACGATCTGCTATCGATCGTTCCGGCAGATTTAAAAAAAAGGGGAATAGTTTATAAAACATTTCTTGCCATACTTGTTACCGCATAGATAGATGAGAGAGTGCACTCGCTTGCGATGGCGTTGAAACCATTGCCGTAATTGCACGTTTCTTTTGTTTTAGATTAAATTCGCTTAGGGTTTTTCACCGGCGATCCTATATCAAAAATCGAAGAGGCTGAACGCGATCGTCCTATATTCTATGACGTTCCCCGCGATATATACATACATATATATTATATATATATTCTTTTAGCTGAACGTCATCGTCCTCTATTTATACCCGCAGGCAGCGGCAGGACGTTATACACAACGTGGTGGGTGTGTGTGTGTGTGTGCGCGCGCGCGTAAAATAGAGCCGCGATCTCGAGCTGCCTGAAAATTTTAACGCGTAACGTTATCGCTAATATATAATCTGTCGGTTTTTCACCGTGCAACGCGAAAATATTTACCTTCGTTACCAGCTTCCAGCCGACAACGAATGATATTAAATTACAATGTGCTTTCATAAAATCATCAGCGCTCCACATTTTAAAAACAAAAAAAAGTACATCAGTTTCGCGGAGACTCAGCGTAGGAGAAAAACGAAATCGGTTCGCGGTTCGTTTACGATTCACTCTGACTGTCATCTCGGAAAACAAAGAGACTTCGATGCCGAAACAGTGTTAACTCGGCTATACTCGCTTCGTTTCTCCTGTACTTGGATATGTTTGTTCGTTATATCAGACTTTTTATACGCGTTGACGCGTACTTATCTATCGTTCTGTCGTGTGCACACGCGTTGCTCGGGAATAACTCGGCATCCTTTAGATACTAGTAAGTAAATGTGAGCAGACAATAATGAGCAAGGTTGCAAGATTTATATATATTAGTCATTGAAGAAAAAGAAAAATACATATATAACTATTGTGCGATGCGTTTCAGAGAGTGAAGAAAAAGAAATTGATGGATATGCGTTGGATGCGTTTTCTACTGTACTAGTATTGTAAAACGTAATACCTATTTTGTATTCGTTAACGGCATTTCAATAACGCGGGGAATTCGAAAAATTTGCTATCCACGTTGCGAAAACACGTTTCGGAACATTGTCGAAGACATGTTTTCTCGAGTGTAAAGTGGATTCAACGAGGTTAATTTAACTACGCAGGGTGCTCGTGAGGATTCGCCAACATCCAAAGAATATACACAGTTTCGTTGGCGAACCACGATGAACATCGAACGAAGAGTCCGTCGAAAGGAGAATAATGCCGTGAAGGGTAGACGCGGAAACGCGTCGTCCATCGTCGCATACTAAATCCGTACGCGACAAGACGCATCGACGCAAACGGTGTCATATCGTTTCGGAATTTATTCGAAAGATCGAAATCTACTTTTCCGTTCGTCGTAGAAATGCAAAAAGAGGTCGCGGAACATTGAATATGGAATATAAATCGAGGTCAAAGCAGTGTTGCGCGTTTGTTCGTGCTTGAAAGACACATACACACGCATCAACCAGAGAAAGAGATAGAGAGAGAGAGAGAGAGGGGGGGGGGGAAAAAAAAGAGGAAGAAAAAACTTGGAAACACAAAGATTTCGATGTTTCGAATGACCAAGTCTTGACTCTGGTGTTACTTTTAAGTTTTTACGGTGCCAAAGAAGAAAGAAAAAGAAATGAACGTCCTTGGTCGACAAAAAGTTACCAATGGCGGATGCGCGAATAAGCGCGTTTTGTTATCTTTTGCCGTTGCTCGCGTAGGAATTGCGAACAATCGTTACTTGCATTTTCCTGCGTATCTTTTTCGTTGAACACGCATTATCGAAAGATTCAAAGTTCTATTTATTGTTTTCCATTAGTGCCATAAATGTTACTGTTCTGTCTTGTACTGTATTGTACCGTACTGTATTGTACCGTACTGTACTGTACCGTATTATACGATAAAACGGTGATTCGAATAAAATGTTTTTCCTTTACGCGATGTTGTATATATTTATTCGACCGCGTATAAAAACATAGAAACATTTAGTTTCACGAATATAGTATCGTAGAAACACAGTACTCGGGGGCGAAGATACATTCGTACATACAGATATACATATAAAGATTAATGCTTGTAAAAAACAAAAAGTAGGAGCAGTCTCGCGTATCGCGAACACTGGTTCGAAGTATTTGAGAGGATACCGAACGACGATTATCGTTCGCGATACGAGCGAGTTTAACGTTTATCGTTGATCGTTTCGTTCGTGCAGTCTTACTTCCATTGAAACGTAAACTGTTTCTTGAGATCTGTTTTCAACTTTATCGCAGATAGACTCTGAAAAATTCCAGAACGATTCCCAATACGACTCGAGAGCGTTAGAGAAGATTGAACACAGTATAAAAAGGCAGTGGACTAACCTTTTCCTTTTCGTTGTACTTGTACTCAATCTCACGACCGTTTAAAGAAACATACGAGACATTGGACGTAACTCCCCATATTTGTATACAGTCGAGAAACACTTGGTCGTTGAATGCGGTTTCCTTCAGCCTAGAGGAAGACACAGTGTTGTTCTCGGAGATGAACGACAACCACAGAAACTGTTCTTTTTCAACCGTGTCTAGAAATTATCGTTATAGAAAAAAAAAACAAAGTCGCTAACAATCTTTCTATGAAACGCTTCTAAAAACGTGCGACATTTTCGAGAGTCCGATATCCCATTTTACACGCATGTCCCCGATCACGTCTTGATTCGTGCGAGTCGTATTTTGCACCGATCGCGCGTGTCCCACGTTTTTAGTTGCAACCTAACCCAGACCACAAGTCAAATGGAATACAACCTTCTTTGTATTAAATATAGAATACCTAAACTGTCACCGTCATCCCAGTACAATTCCCCTTTCGCCGTTTGTGCTTGGTCTAACGCGACCAACAAGCCGATACCGTACTTTCTGCTTTCTGTGGTGGTAGCACCTGGTTTCTGAGCTGGCAAAATCGATCCTCCCCGAACCATCAACGGTATAGTGTCAAGCGGTGCATCCAACGTGTACCGTTCACCGAAGCCAAACAAAGACTTTTTCGTGTGGAAATCGTACCACAATCCACGAGGCAGGTAAGCCATTACTTTTACCGCGTTCTAATAACAAACAACGTAAAACCGTGTAAGTAGATCGTTATTTTTACTTACTCGACGTTTGGTTTGTCGGTAATCGAACGTACTTCCTCTAAAACCGGGATGATCATCAGAGAACTTCCCCATAGAAACTGGGTATCGATGTCACGAGTGGCTGGATCTTCAGGGAATCTGAAGGAATGCATAGTTTTGTCAGTATATTCGCGAAGATTGGGTATCTGATGGGACACTTACTCGAAGAATAACGGTCGCACCACAGTTTCGCCGAACGTGTGAGCTCGAAAGAATAATGTGTACAGATACGGTAGCAGCCAATAACGAATCTGGAGGGCGCGTCTCGACGACCGTACCACCAAATCGCCCATAGCGACTGGATCTTGCTCCTGTGCATACATATGTTGAATCGAACGTTCCTACGCACATATGTATAGTTAGAATGCATTTACAATATAACAGCGATACAAACGATAGTGTCGTCGGAATTATGATTGCGTGAGAATGGATAAAAAGCCCCGAGTTGCATCCAACGATTGCACAATGCGACCGTTGTATTCCCATTGAATCCACAAATGTCCGCGCCAACCATTGGTATTTGATAGAAATTCAACGATAAAATTGCGGGAATGCTCATTTTCAAGTCATGCCTGATGAATTACAAAACGATTAATCGAATGCTCGCGAGACGTTTCTATTGTGTACTCGTATAGACTACCATGTAGAAAAAACATCCCCTGTCCAATGACCAGCGTACCGTCCGTGTCCCACCCACGTTGACCGGGATATTATAAATGGCCTCTTCTTCCGAATGTTGATCAGAGCGCTGTGCGGAATTTCTTTCGATTAGCTCACTTATTCGAGTTTTCGCGTTCGTAATAGCAGTACTTACTAATTCGTAGCTATCGCATGACTCGTGCCGTATGTATTATGAAGATTGTAGTGTGGGCCTAAATAATGTTTCGCGTTCATGCACAACGTTTTCTTCGCCAGTTTACCTTCCATCACGTTCGGCACATACTCTGGATAATCGAGACTGTTGTGCGAACATCCATTTTTGTAACCGTCGTAAAAGTTCGATGGTTCGTTCATATCCTGGTGAACATGATAGAAATATAACACAGGCTTACGATTAGCACTCGACTAGGAAAACGTACGTACGATCCAAGCTCCATCATATTCGAACCACTCGTACATCTTGCTCATCATACGCAGATAATAATTTGGCGTTTTTGGATTCGTAAAGTCCGGCCAAGCCGTAGAAACGTAATTCCAAACTTTCCCGATGAACGGTCGATTGGTCGCTACGTCATTCACGAATATATCTTCCATAACACCTTCATCGTACGGTGGATAAGTTCCGTTGATTTCCGAGGCGGATACACCAGCGTCGATCAGAGGGATGTAATGCATTCCTCTCTATAATACTTGATACATTATTGGGCGCACTGACAGATATCCTTTCGAGACGCATACGATCGCATTAGAATCGTACCGAATGGATTTCCGTTACGAATTGCGGCAGGTCCTTGAACTTTTCCAAGTTGTACGTAAAATCGTTGTGTTTATCCATATAATCCAAATCGTTCCACTGAGTATCCTGTACACAATAGAATGCGGTTAAAACGATCAAAATTGTTTCGCTTCGCCGGACTAAATAATATTCGTATACACGTCGAGTGTATACTGTGTAAACATTACAAATGGAATATGTGCTGCTATGGTTCTCCTCCATACTTCTTTTGTGCTTTCCAAGCTCCCGTATCCGAACCTGCGTCACCGCGGCACACATTAAAATAGGCTGAACTTACCGATTAGAAGAATATTACGTCCCTACCTGCACAAATGAAAACCTAGCGACCAATACGGTGGTAGAAAAGGTTTGCCTACTATCTCGGAATACTGTTTTATTACGTCCGCTGGAGTTGGTCCCAGAAAAAAGTACATGTCGAAAATACCACCGATTGTTCGAAACGTAATGCCCGGCGATGGTTGTAATATTACATCTGAAAGAGACAAACGTTAGGAACGGCATTTGCAACGTACTTATCGAAACGGAATCAATAACGGTATCTTTAGAGACTGATGTACCCATAGCGTTACTGTTCAGCAACAAAACTCCGTGAGATTTTCCGGAATTTTCAACGATCAAATAAAAAGGATGAGATCCGTATAAATTTGCCTGAATTCAGAAACACACTCCTTATACAAAGAAAATAAAAAAAAAAACTTCATACGATACGTTAAAATGTGACTACGTACATTTTCCACTGGAGGCTGATCCTTATTAAATAATGTGAACGTCTGCCAATTAGTGTTCAATTTTAAGCTTTCTCTATGTTCGCCAATCCCATAAATATTGTCAGTTGGTAGAAGGCCGCTTATTTGTAAAAATTGGTCGGCAAATACGAAGCCACCGATGTCGATCGAGTCGAATCTGAATGAGAAAAGAAAATATTAATATTTAATGAATCACACAACGCAGGTTCTTTATCATTGTAAGTGATATTGTATATTCAATGTATGTGTTTAACCGTAACGATACTTACAGCACCGTATCGTCCGAGGCTCTATACAACTTAAAACCAGGTTTCTCATTATCGACGTCTAATTTATATTTCGCATCAACATTACGATGTTCAAATGGTTTGGGATTCGACCTAATAGGCCACGGTGGTTCGTATCGTTGTTTAAGCGGATCGTATATCTTCAAACGCAAAATCGAATCGTCTACACTACTGGCTTCCACCTTAACAAGGTCTTTGTCATTTTTGTAAGAAGAACTCCCTATTAACTTTAGAAACCCAGAAAAATCGTTTCCATCTTTGGTAGCATTTGTGTACTTGTATAAACTCCAATTTCTTGGGTAGTAGCAATATGGAACATTCAAGGAAAGTCGCGTCTTAGTTGCAAGTTTCTTGCCTGGTGATGTCCAGCAACAACCTCTACTGGTGCAAGATAATTCCGATACTCCTTCTACAGGATGGCAATCAAAACGTAGTGCTTCTGGGATGTTTTCACATTGCTGGAAATAGGTCAAAGTTATTGTATGCAACTCAAATCATCTCTGAGTGTGTAATTGATCCATTTAAAACCTACTTGTATAATTCTGGATGTTCTAAACACTTTCTCCATAAAGATCATATTGTACTTGTATCTTTGATTGTCCAATACCTCACCAGAGACATTGATCGACATGTACCCTGTTTCTAATATGTTTTCATTATCCACAGCGATCACATCTTTTTGATACTTCTCGATGAGAACAAACTTAGTCTGTTTTATGAATAATACTAAGGCACAGAACAAAATAAAAGATAAGCTCAGTCTTATAAGATCACAGGGCAATACATATTTCAAAAACGTGTTTAAACGTATGTTCCTGTGTAGATATTCTTTCCTCTGTGTCACAGTGCCTTTCATTGATGTATCTAATGTTGAAAATTCTGTTAGGCAATCGTTCCTTAAACAATCTGATATTTTTAAACTCCAGCGACTTAATTATTCATACCTTTGATGATCATCTCGATGCGGTGTAATCTGACTCTCGACTGCAAACAAGTTATCCGTCAGTCGTCAGCTGAATATCGTGTTGATCACAAAAACTGTATACAAACAAGCGAGATTATTATGAACAATGTGACATTTTTATATGTATACAGTTAGCCAAATACAATATTAACCTATATATATGTACATACATACGTATATGTACAATATAAATATATACATACATACAATACATAACAATGATATGAATTTTCACATAACCTTAAAGTTTTGCATGAAATGCATCGGCATTTCATTAAATAAAAAACACTCTAAATATGTCACTTACACATTCACATTATTTTCGTGTCAAAACAATCTTTCACGTTCGCATTACTTCCGCGTTAAAATAACGTATTATTAAATTAACAAAATTGCAAATTTTATGATTATAAAAATGTATATATGTAGATTTTGTTTGTTTTCGTTCGATAATAACTTACGATTCTTTGTTAGCATGGATTCATACGCCGCCAACTGTCAGGTCTCGTGACATTCCCGAAGAATGATAGAACAATGCATTTATGAACTGCTCACCCCTTTAGCTTATCAACGAATTTTATTTTTAGCATTATGATTAACATGTCGTTCGCAACCATACCAAACAGGAAATTGGTTAATTTCATGAAATACGTTCAGCATTTTTCATTCCGAAATATTCCCGCGCGTAATAAATTTTCTGGCTGTATATACAAAATAAATAGGTACTCATTCAATAAAATTGGGTTCATGTTAGCTTTTGGAAACCAATTTGATACTTTACAAATTACAAGGGTACATTAGGGAACATGCTTACATTGTTGTTCGATAAGAGACCAGACCTCACAAAGTATACAAATAGTGCTCTCCCCATATTTTATTGCGTAAATACACGAGTCATAATACGAAAGAAAATCAACATTTATTAAATTTACAAAGTGCATACTTACATCCTCAAGGAATTAAGAAAAAAAACTTGTCTTTTCTTTGTTTATACACAACTTTAACATACATGAATATCTTATGAATATAAAATATACATTTCATTTCACGATAAGTCAATCTGACAAATTTCTTTTCCTTTTTCGCATTTTTCCACGATTTCTGTAACATAATAACATTAAATAGTAAATTTACACGATACGAGCAAGTACATAAGTTATACTAAACCCTCACTCTGAACGATATCCAGTAGCGCAAGAACAGTCGGCGACTCTGGAATTTCCATTAGGAAGTTTTTACCTTCGTCGCAACATCTGGCTAGAAGTGGATCTAACGGTAAAGACCCAAAGAAATCTACATTGAATTCTTTGGCCATCGCACGACCACCGCCTGTCGACGCGGGAAATATCTCGACAGAATCCTGTATAAATGATTTTATGTATTAACAGTTAAATAGTAACCTTGTCCGAGCTATTATTACTATTTGTGACACATGCCTTGCATTTAGGGCAAGTAAAAATACTCATATTTTCAATGACGCCTAAAACTGGAATCTTAACTTTTCTACAAAAATCGATCTCCTTTCTAACGTCCAACAGTGCAACCTGCGGTGGCGTTGTCACGATTATTGCTCCTGTAATACCGACATCTTTAAGATAAGATGTCGCAGATAAATGTTCGTCGGATGTTCCTGGCGGTGTATCCAAAATAAGGTAATCCAAACTGCCCCAGTCAACTTCTGTCAAAAATTGCCTAATCATCCCTGAAAATCATTAGATACGCAATAAAGTATGCTCACAATTTACATAAATGCATGGAAAGCTAAAGGAATACCATTCTTTTTTGGTCCTCTCCATATTACTGCTTCATTAGGACTAGCAAGCAAAAATCCGATAGACATTAAAGATAAGTTGTCCTCTATATACTGTAAGAATTGTAAAAATTTACTTAAATATCGCATCAATTATCCAAAATAGGTACACTTATAAAAGAAAAGCTTACTACTGGAGACCATCCTGATCCACTTTGATGAACTTGTTCTCCTATTGCACCTAGCACTCTTGGCTGAGATGGCCCACAAATATCAATGTCTAATACAGCAACCTATTACATTTATGTTTGGTATGATTAGAAACTGAATCATGTAGTAAATTATAAAACAAAGTATAATTATAAAGCAAACTATTTTGTGTCTCTGTGATCAAAATCATCATGTACAGTTAAAAAGGTTTTAACACATTCGAAACCGACGTATTATCACCAGAAACCGGCTATGTTTTCGTACTGTCTGTACGCGACCCATATGGTGAGTCATCGGCTGAACAGATAAGAGATTGCATGACTCATATGTTAAGTCGTCGGTCTCGGATGTATTAAATAATCAATAAAGATCTAGTGCGAACTAATACAAGCATAGAGTTGTTGGTATGTATGTGTCCCTCTGTTGGAGGCAACATCACTGACCCTAATCAATCTCCACTAGAGGTAACTATGGCATCATGTAACTACATAGAAAACAATATGGACATTCTTGGTATGGGAAAAAGGGTAAGTTTCTTTTGTTACTAATAAATTTGTCTTTACTAAAACAAAAAGACTAGATGAAAATGCTTATAATAGAGGATGCTTTTGCACTACTAGAAAAAAATTTGAAGTATTAAACAGCGTAGTTAGTTATGAAATATTATTTAAAGATAGGAATACGTACATTTATATTAGAATTGCTTGCTGCTAAAGACCTCGATATCAATGATGTTATAGTACTTTTACCAACACCACCTTTACCAGACAATACCAGTATTTTATTTTTTACTGTAGAAAGTTTTTCCTTGACAATAGCTATATTTGGATCTGGTTGCTTCGTAACACCAGATGCACACAGCATTTGATTTGGACATCCAGCACACATGGACCCTTTGCCTGCATCTTTGCTAGTTGTGCCAGGACAATCTATAAAGATACTATTTATGTATATTTCTACTCACAAACCAAACAGAAATCTTCTATGCATACATATATATACACACACAGAGCACACACACACACACACACACACGCACACATGTAGTGCATGATCCGGTCCGGTAACATTACATGTAGAAAAGTTCAAATAAATATAAAAATAACACTACTCGAAGAATATGTGCATTTTCAATTGTATTTTAAACGTTTGACTTATCTTTTCAATTCGTGACAACTAATCTTTACAATCATTGCCAAGTATTTCGAGTGTGTACTATAAAACTGTCAAGTGTAACCTTAAACTTGACAGACAAGTGTTAAATATATCAATGGAACCGAATGTTTTTCTATAAATATAATTTTGTATGCACGCACGATGTCTAAAGTAAAGAAGTGTGAACGGTTCATTCGACAGATTGTAAAATATCGGGAGAACTGAGTCGCACGTGTATGTACTCACGTTGCGGTGCATCGGTAGGTACATCCGCCATGTTGAATTACAACTATTTAAACGCAGCGTAATCAGAGCTCATTTTGCAATATGTACCTGTTGAACAGTGATTTAAACAAAAATTTAAGTATTCAACAGTTATGAGGTAAAAAGAATTTATTATTTTTTTTTAATATATTTAAAAGAACTCGGGTAATCGAACATATAATTTGTCCTCTTAAAAATATTATAATATGTACTTGCGGTATATACATTAAATTCGTAGCAATTACAACCATGGAGCATGAATAATACGTCGCTATCTTGCATCGAACCAGTAACGGAATATTGTTCAAAGGACTATAATGTACGGCACAAGTTGATACCTTGGCGTCCAAACGGAGGGTATGAAAATGTCGAAGTTATTCCTCTGTAAGTTTTCACCGTTTTATTCTTATTTCACTAGAAAGCCTATAATAAGTCTGTTAAACTACCAGTTGCTTCTCTATCAATCTTTCCAGAGCAACAAAGACAGTATCGAAATATACGACAAACGGTATAAATTCATTGAAATTCCCGAATCTTGTAACAGGATATCAACGTAATCCTGTGCATGCGTCGAAAACTGCCGCTTCTACACGATATACGCCAAACGAATGGTTTGAGAAACAGGTGAAATGTTACAACGACGCAGACTCTTGCAGACACTTTTCTGAAAGGATCAGAAACGATGCTTTACGAATTATTAGGTAAATATCGCGCTCAAGTTATGCGTTCGTTTTTTCGTTACAAGATAAATATGTAACGATAAATGTGATTGGTATACCAGAGACGCAGAGGAAAAGGTGCAACACGGACAATACGATACAGGTCGAAGACTGGGCGAAAGAATAAACGATGTTAATTTTTGGCGAAACGAAGTAGCCACCGAACTAGAAAGATTGCTCCAAGAAATCGAAAGACTTCAAGATTGTCGTTCTATTTTAGAGAAAGCTATTAAAGATATCGAGGCTCCATTGCATATTGCAGAGGAATGTCTTTACCATAGAGAAGCTAGAAAAGGTGACTATATAGCGAAATTATGAAAGTTACCTTCTACATCTCGTCAGACTATTAGCATAGTATGCTTTCTCGTCTAGGTACAGAACTGGTGCACGACGATTCAGAGAAATGTTTGCTAAAAGAAATCGAAATTTTAAATTGTAATAGAAAGAAACTGGAAGTGTGCTTGAATAACTGTAGAGGGCAGGTAATATGGAGTTATAGTCCTCGCAGAGATACATACATAAGTATAGCCTGATCGTGAGCAACGGCCGAAAATTCTTAAATCGCTATTCTGACTGATACAAGGATCACGCTATACGACGACTGCGACCCGACTATAATTGATCTGATGATTCTGCTTGCAGCTTCAAGATTGCAGAGCGTCTCAGAATCAATTGGAATTGGACCTGAAAAACAAGGAAAATGCATTAGGAATAGATTCGATGTGTCATCAGTTGAACAACTACAGTCAGAGACTACAATATTATTCTGGAATAGACAAATACGATCCATGGTATATACGAATCGAAGCGTTCTAGTTTTTGCGATGAATGTATTATACATAGAAAAGTTGTATGTTGATTCGCGATGTCAGTGTTACAGAAGAAGAAACATGGGCGGACGCGGCAAATCGAATAATTCAAAAATCTCAAACAGAAAGAAAGAAATCTTGTCAGTTGAGATCAACCGCGGAGGTTCTTACGACTAAAGTTGCACAGGAAATGTGGGATGCATGGAGTAACACGAATAACGCTTTAGCGCATAGATCTTCCGAATTGCTCGAAGCTAAAACGAAGCTTGAACAACATTTACAAAAAGTGAACACACAACTATTTCTCTTCGTTTGAACGAATTACTAATTTGGTTTGTCGTTCCTTGCAGGTGCAACAAGAAATATTTGACGTCGAGAAAAATTTAGAGTTGACGCGTAAAGCTATCACGGATAAAGGTCACGTACTTAGAGTAGCGCATACCAGATTAGAGGCTAGAATGCAACGACCGGATTTAGAGCTGTGCCGCGATTACGTTCACACAAGGTTTGTTTCGGTGGCAGGTTTAACGAATTCGAGGATGCGCAATGATAACGTGGTTACCTCACCTCGACATCTATTTTCGCAGTCTTCATAAAGAAATCGAGGAAATAAATCATCAAGTGGAAAGATTGCACAGGGCATTGAAAGAATTAGAGATTCAGCACCAGAAACTATTAAAGACACGATCAACACTGGAGCATGATTTTGCGCTGAAAATCGACGCGATGTACATCGATCGGGAGAAAGTCTCGAGTCTTCGACGCGCTTATCCAATTAATGTTTTATTCAGATTTTAAATGTTTCTTCCCGGCAAAAAATCACTTCGTATTGTGAGTGAAATGCACTCCTAAAGAAATTTAGGCCAGGTGATATTTCAAGGTAGATTTGTCAAGAACAGATCGGACATTCGTTTAACGATAAAAGTCTATTTCATGTTTAAAACCTAACGTGTCCTTTGTCGTTACAATCATTGGCCTTTTAGATAATTCATTATTGGTAGTTTCATTCCGTCTTTAGCTTCGAAGAATGTGTACGATAGTATTATTTCGTCAACATTCTGCATTCCAGGATCTTCGGCAAATTGAGGATCGATGTAGAAGAACACAGGCATGTCCACCTGTAACGATAGATATTTATCAGGATAGAATCATTTCTTTTCTAAAAGCCAGTCCAGACTTACGAGCATTGTCTGCAGTGACGTCTGTCCGTATGTGTGGACCGGCTTTTAGAGTATTCCTATACTGTATCGACTCGTTAAGCGAATAAAAGTGACGTCGATTAAACTTACTTCCTCGTGAGGATTAAGTTGTTGTTCCTCGAAACAGAAACACTGAATTTTATTAAAATACTGGCCGGCTTCGAACGGCACCACGTTATAAGTAGATATGCCGGTAATGGCTTCGTTCAATGGATTTTTGGCAGTGTAGAAGGCTAAAGCGGTTTCTCCGGGAAGAACTTTTATAAATTGTTGTTGGGGTTTGAAGTTCCATTGCATCGTTGCCGCAGTGTCCGCGCTAAACGACACTTTTATGACTCTTTCGTGAACGGGTTGCATCGTGCTCACTTTTTCGCTATCGTGACCAGCGGATAGCGTACCCCCGTAACTGTAGGACTGTTGACAAAAGAACCAGAACAAGTATCGGATTTGTAAGATTTAGCGGTAACGTAACGATTCCTATTCGATGGAACAGGCAAACCGAGAAACATTACCTGACAAAAGATTCTGTACAAAGGTACTGCGGCATAACTTAATCCAATAATCAGTACACCAAAGCCGCTCCAATACAAACGCGATGAACGTAGATTTTTGTTGTGAGCGGAGTCATAGTATCGATTAAACAAAACGCGAGAGACATTGCTATGTATGTGCCTCGTGCAGACGGAAAACAGGTTCCGATACGGTTTAAAGTACATGTTTGTTTCATTCGCGTCAACCTAACCTAAAGTCAGCCGACGACAGACTCTTATCACTGTCTCTCGCAAAATAAATTTCTCGACCGTAGAGCGCACCACGTGAAAGCAATTTAGCGAAACATTTCGCTGATTATTCGTTCACGATATTCCTTGAAACGCACGACTAGACGAAACCATGGGTGCGTCCATTTTGCTCGAACGCGAACGCTGCCAGCTGCCATCTATCGAGCTATCGAAAAGCTGAAACTAATTTGAATTTGAAATGTTGGAGGCCGCCTCTTCTATTTTTACGCGCCTTCATCGATCTATCACACCTATTAACTGCCGCGCATCTCTAATATCACACGTTTTGTCATCTATTAAGGCCTTGTTACGCGTAAATTTCAATCAAAACACCTCGTTAGAATTGCTCTCGGCCCTCAATTTTTCTTAAACATTTAAATAAGTTTTAATCGAACGCGATATTTCTTTCGTGTGTTATTCGATCATTCTAAGCGTTTTCACTAGGTTTCTTTTTCCACCTCGACGTATAAGCAGCAAATTTCGAGTAATTTACCGCGACCGAACGATCGTGACGGCATTAACGACAGAAGCGCGAGATTTGTTAAAAAGCGGTTGCGGTGCATTCACCCCCTCTTCTTCAGCCATATCGATTTTCTCACAGGTAATAACGGAGTCGAGTTACTCCTAGGAGACCATCGTCTCGAACTAAATCGTATCCAGTTACCAATGTACCGCGAAAGAAACGGCAATGCGCGACAGCCCACCTGTTTCGCACTTGGAAAATTAACCGGAGAAACACGGCGACCGACTACGGAAACAAGAACGCGCACGCGAGGGAAAGAAAAAGAAAAGCAGCGAAGAAATAGAAACGACAAGACGATATTCGCTATCGCGATTACAAGGTGTACCGTGTCGTGTCGTGCCGTATCGTATCCCTTCGATACGCGTTAAGCGTAAAGACCCAAAGATACTTACAAGAATTATTGGACGTAACCTCGGGAATTGTGGTACGATCGAACAGGATAGACTCGTGCTCGAAAACCATGTCTATAAACGCCGACATCGACTGAAATATTTCGGTGCCTAGAAACACGGACTCGTGACATGTATCGTGGTTCGTTTGGTCGAAACTTGTGATGATCCAGTCAAGCTATACGTACGCGTGTTGCGTGCACATATTTGCACGTACGTACGTACGTACGGGGCATAGGCACAGTTTTTGATTTGGGTATCGCGCGAACCGAAATCGGTCACTCGGTAACGTTCCCTTCAGCGGGTCGACTGGTGCGAATTATCCTGATACATTGGACTCTTGGAGGTGGTTTTCGATGGAAATGAAACTAAACGAAACTCGAAGAGATCCAGAAAGAAAGGCATGATACGATAACATACGCGCCAGGTTTGGGCAATTCTGCCAACAAAATGGTTTTCGATCCAGTCACCGAGACACAGCGGAAACATTTCTTTGGACAGAATTACGGCGCCCATCTACCCGGGTAAGACACATTTTATCGCAGCCTCGCGTTAAACGAATCGAACTGAAGCCAACTTTTGGTCTTATCCGAGATTTCTGTGTGCTAACTGCCGATCGTCGGCGATTGTTTCTTAACAGCCCAATTACCGCGAACAGTGATCGACTAGAACGAATTCGGCAGGTCGAAAGGAATCTGTCCTGTAAAATAAAATTCGACGACGAAACTGGTGATCGATCTCGACAGTGCAACTTTCCGCGGCCTATCATTTCCCGCACGCGAAACTTTCATCTTTCTGCATCCTTTGCGTGCTCATATACCACCGATCGATTTATCTTTTATTTAAATTATTTTCTTAGAGATGGAGCTCGAAAGACACATGGTATCGTAAAAGGAATTCGATTCGATTCGACGCGACTGAACCGCATCGATCCTATACATGTAATCCCAATTTACAATACAACGGAAGAATGAATGACGTGCGGTACCGCCGATAAAACGTTACGATTCACTGGGTCACCGGTAGTCCGTGTTTACGGTTCTCTGACTACATTGTTGTAGAAAGCGACCGTTCGTTTCTTTCGATCGGATAGAATTCGTGCGTTCACATCGTAAATGCGACGCGACGAGACGAAACGTAAATCATTAAAGCTAATTAACGCGTGGTTACGCAATCCGAGAAATGAACGGGAAAAGGAACTATTTCGTGAAATATCTATAGCACCGGAACGAGAAACTGCGATTAAAGAGATACATATACATATATATTTTTTACTCTCTTAGTTACACCGGACATTGTCCCACTCTTAAATTTCGAGTCGGGAAACGATTCGGAGCGAGCACGGAAGAAATCATGAAGGTAAGAGGAATCGAATTTCCCTAACTCTGCCGAGACTCGTTACTCGATGAGTAACGTAGTAATTGATATGGAGGGAAGAAAAAAAAGAAATCTCGTTCGGAGAAACCGTTAGTTCCGAATATGTTGATTCGCGCAGGAATTACTTGAGAAGAAAATCCTTAAGACGGGACCTTATAGGCCGAATTCCGGGAGGGATGCGCTGGAAAACGGATCGATTTTACACGAGAAGGACGATATTCGAAGAGACTTGAAAAATGAGACGCGCTTATTCAAAGCTTCTCCATATATCTTGGGATACACGGGTAAACGATAGAAACGATATACTTCCATTTCAACCGTACAAAAAATACCGAGTCTTAAGTGGCTAATCGATGCAGCACGAGCACAGGATGAAATCTGAAATCATTCAATTACAGGATATATTCCTGGATTTAATAGCGTGTACGGTCTGTCATTTATGAGAGCCGTGGAAGAAGGTGGTAAGGAATGGCGTGAGAATCAAACGAAGCTGAGAGCTCGGAGAGCCGAGACACGCGATCCGAGAAATCTCATGTCCCGCTCGAGACCCGACAATGTAGCCACTGAACTTGACTGCGCTCGTAATCCGAATCTAGCCGCGTTTCGTACGTTCTTGTCAATTATTATTCGCGATCGGTGGTAGTATGTATTTTCATCGACGAGCTATCTTCGGCGCGACCATGTTTAACGGACGATTCTCTTGCAGATTACGAAATTTCACCCGACAGACCACCGATCGTGGGCTATACCGGTCATATTCCAGGAGCAAAAGGGGAGGTCGCGCTCTCCAAGAGGTATGCCCAAGCCGCGAAGAAAGGACTCGAATTGATTCGAAGAGAGCGCGGCGAACAAAGGCTGAACGAGACGGCGAACGTGGCCGGATCAGAAAAGTCTTTCGATGATGGCCACGTTTATCGATCCGAACGAACGGCCGCATAAATTCTCTCGATCCTCACTTTTTCTCAAAAAACGAAGTACTATGCAAACTTCTACGTGACTCTCCGGCGAAAACGACAATCCGTTCCCTACGAACAACGAAAATCTACAGTCTGTCTAGTAAGAGTGCGACCGGCAACAATTGTATGCCTGGATGCAGCTATCATAAACATTCCGATGGATTCAGGTAGCCTGACTGTATGTTACTTTTTATGGGGTCGCGTGAACGCGATTTCATTTCAGACTTGTCGAGAACTTCTTGCAAATATTTTCAACTGGAAATATTTTCCAAGAATCGACACCGGGACTGATCGTCCTATTTATCGCTATTTTCTTTTCGAAATGAAATGAAATTTAGCGAATACGTAGTTTTGTATTGCGAAGCGTTTCACCGTGATAAGCGCCGTTTTTTACCGCTTCGTAAAATTGCCACATTAATTCGGCCTGAATTTATATTTTAAAAAAATATATACAAAAAAGAAAGGCAAACAGAAAACAGTTTTCTTTAATTTGGCAACTAATTCGAAGGATGCACAAAATGAACGACAAACTTCCATATAAAAATGTAATTAAAAAAAGTATATATTTAACGTTATCGCCTGTATTATTCATACCATTTAAATCTCTTTCTTCTCCGGTAATCTACCCAATCTTTCTATTTCCATTCCAACAGCCATTTTCCAATATTCCGTAGTTAAAGTGTTTAATCCATACGACAAGGACAATAGTCTGGCCAATACCATTAGCGAGTGTAAATGATCCATACTTACGTTCTTCTGCGTTTGACGCAATTCTACAAAATCATTCTGGACCACCTGAACAAAAGTAACAGAAATTTAAGTGTAGCGGAAAAAATTAGGTTATCGATGCTAGTAACATGCAACGCGTATTACCTTCACAATGTCTTCGTTAAACTCAAACTTTGCATTCCTAATGACTTTCAAATACCCACGAATATCTGCTAATCGGTTCACACCTTTTAAGTACTGTTCTACGATTTCCATTACATGAGGATAAACAGTCTTCGATTCTGTGTCTATCTTCAAGACGACTTGATTCTGACACTGGAGCAAGCGTATACATGATTTAAATCGTTCATATTATGGACTCGGTCGAACTAACTCCATTTTCATTTATGTTTCTTACGCACAGGAATGAATGACTTTGCTTCCGATAAAATTAAAACCGGGATATCCGTTTCGTACTCCATCTTATAAAATTTAAAATCGTACGTCACTTTCTGAAAATTGATTAAATCGCAGATTGTATTATAATTTTCTCGGCCGGCCTGTGAAACTTGGCCTGTGGTTAATCCCGTTTCGTCTATTACGAGATGAGTGTTGTCGCCGAGTTGAAATATTCCACTACTCAGCCTATTGCAATCGTAATCCTTCCTATGCACAAAAATACCAAGTTATTCTATAATACATTCGATTTTTAATAATGTTTCATATTTATAAAATTACTTCCATCGATTTTTACCTACGTACTTTGGGGTTAAGGTCAGATCGTTTAAGTTCTCCAATGTTACTTCCAACAAATGACTCTTCTCGACTAGTAGCATTAAAAATTTATACAAATCCTTTGCAAATGTTTTGTATTTATCAACGGGAAAATGTGTTATATTTAATGGATAAGTGCCAAGACAAAAGTAGTCTCTTCTCATATAACTAAAAGGGAATCATGCTTCTATCAATCCGGTTTCTCGATTCTTCGTTACAATTTTGTGAAAATGTTAATGTAACGAATACATACATAGAAGAAAGTAAATGACAAATTAAATAGTCGGCAGCCAAGCGATCTCCAAACAGAAGCTGACTCAATACTAGATGAAGTTCGCTTCTTATAGCTGTAACTTTAGACACAATTTCTGGAGCATTTTCGATTTCCTCTTTAGCTAAATGGATTACTTTGACAGCGTGTAACCGAGGAACAAGAGACGCAGGTGGCCAATGAATGGTCATTTCCGCTTCTGTCATGGTCTCGTCCTCGTTGCACATAGTACTTAGAAGAGGATCTAAAGAAACGAAACCTATTATTTCGATGAGTTGATTCAACTTCAGAGCCACATCTTCATATACCTGTCGACAAGTGTATGCGAGAAAATGTATTAAAAAAGTCCTTCTGTCCGATTTCTAGGTATATTGTTCGAAAAATTACTGGAGAAAAATGCTTTTAAACCTTGACAATACACGCTTTACCATCCTCCATTGGAATTGGAAAATTCAATAGATAGTCTTTTGAAAATATATTTTGTCTTTCTGCACCACATTCCATAGTATCTGTTTCTTTGCCACTGGTGCATGGTAAAACCTTTTCTTTTTTTCTAACCAGCTCGGAACAATCCATATCTTCGCAAGCATATTCATCTAGGCTTCTTTTGCAACTACTGCTTCCATTTCCACTCATTCTTAAAGGTTGTTCATATTTTTCCTTTGCCCAATCATTCAAACCAGGCGTCGATATAACAATACATGTATGTCTTTCAGAACTCCGACTTCTTTCAGAGTCCTCCAAAATCTCCTCATGTGGCTATAAAAATGTTTGATAGAATTAAACTTTGGCTACTATAAGAATAGCCACAGAATATGATGATTATAAACTATACGTTAAGTAAATAAAGCACTGTTGGCAGTTTTATACATGAGATAAGTTGTTCTTTTAACATCTCACACCTGGAACTACCATCCATATTTAATATAAGCCCCGACATTCACCCAAAATGTCTATGTAATTGAGACACGGATCAGTCACTATGTACCAACGGGCTATATAAAATATTTTTTTCACTATATAATTACCATACATCGTGCAGAGTCTGCATACATTCCAAATCTGACTTCATATGTTCCGGTTCGAGTGTCTCTTACTTCGTACTGCTCAAAGTAATATTCAGGGTTATGCATGTCTTGAACCATCCCTCGAAATCTAACCAATTGTCGATCCGTAAAATTATGTAACGGGGCATAGTTTAGCAAAGGAATTTCTTTCAAAATTTTAGGATTTTCTAAAATCACGTTACATGTTGATCTGTTTGCAATATAATGTTCAGGAGTCCAATCCGGTACCCTAAGCGGTGCTAAAACAGAGTAGATATTTCTGTACTCGTAGTTCAAGTAAATACGTTCAAAGACGATTTTATTGTTAAATCACGTTTCCGTGTATCATTCCTACTGTTTTCGTTAATTAAAAACATTTACTTACACAACATGATACCCACATTCAACGAATATGTTTGAATATGTTGTTACGTGTTTATTGAACAACAAGGAACAAACTCAGAATCACTCAGAATAACGGTAGAACCATGATTAAAACCGCTTTTGTCCGCTGCGCTGCAATGAAGCGCAATGGTGGCCATGGTGGCTAATTGGCTAAAGCGCGCGAGAATGGTAGAAAATGCGCGCGAAAATAATACATTGTTACGTCGGTACACGGACGATGAAAATACGTGCAAAAGAGTGTCTATTAACATTTCCGGTTCCCACTTGCACGTCTACTGACGACCTTTATCGTAATAAGAGATGATTATTAGTTTCTTCTCTATTTATGTAGTTGTGAATCCACACTTCAATAACTTAAATGTTTCGACGGGAGTAACCCATAACACTATTTATATGTACATAAATATATTTAGAACTTTCTCATATGTCATAATTTGATACAGTACAAGAAATATACTGTATATCTGACCATTTTACTAAATATATTTCTTCTCTTTATCCCCTCTTGACGAAAATAAGTACATATGTACGAAACTGAAGTCTATTACTTCTATTGCTTAATTCGTATAACCACCGACTAGGTATAGGATAGACCTATCATCTTATGGGACTTCGTGTCTCATGTTCTGAAATACCGATAGTGTAAAATGTCAGGGATTTTCTGCTGCCCTCTACGTTACGAGAACGGTGAATTTGTGAACTACGTTAAATCTAAGAAGAGACCATGGTCGTGAACGGATTCTTTTCCATCCGTTCGCTATAAAGCAGACGTATTAGAAAGGAGTCTTGGGTTGTAATCCCGACGGATCTATATTAGTTTTTCTTCGCGTACAAGAAAGTTATTGCGTTTAATATTGTTTTTATGGATATGTATATGTATTATTATGTACATTTGAGTAAATTATTTTATTATTCCATTGATATTACAACAATTTAACAGTGACAACGAACGTATGCATATTTTCAAATATCGGACTAATAGTATATTTTTATTCTATATTATTACATGTAAGTGAGTAATTCGTATCAAAAACATAATCGAAACACAGATTTTTATTACACCACAAACATCGCATAAAAGATATTTCGTTATATTGACATTTGTAATAATTATGGATGTTGCAAGGAAATCAATATTATTGACATTATGAAACATATAACGAAATATCACTGTAACACTTAAAAAAGTTTTAAAGTTCCATTTATATCATTGTCCTGTGAAAATGTTCATACTTCCAGCAACATTCATATTCCAATCAAAGAATTTACAGAATAAGGAAAAGGAATCTAAAGTAATTTTCAGTAGTTCCATACATCTTTATCTCGAATACTTTTCTAAAACATTCAAAGTACTAGACATTTTTACACTTTGAATATCATATCGATTTCTAGAATAATCCTAGTTCGATGTAATATAGAACGTGGTTTTATGAAATAGATTCGTAGTTCGCAGCCATTAGCTCGGTATTGTCTTCAGTTTACTGTACTTTATCGATGATAATACCGATTGCCCAGGCCTCACCACGAGGAGGTTGCTGAAGATCTCATTTCTGAAGCAAAAAATGATCCGACCTTCATGAAACGGATAATTACAGGCGATGAGACATGGGTATACGAGTACGACGTGGAAACAAGTCAACAATCGTCCAAGTGGCGCTTGGAAAACGAGCCGAAACCGAAAAAACCAAGCCAAAGTCGCTCAAAAGTTAAGGTTTTGTTGACGGTTTTCTTCGATTTTCGAGGTGTAGTGCATTTTGAGTACCTACCGCCGGGCCAGACAGTGAACACTAGGTTTACGGGACGCGTCATTTTGACGCATTTCGAATGCTTTCTAACCTCGAAATTCTCTATGTGGTATACCTATCTCTATAGCTATGCATTAATTTCAGAGATCATGAATTGTGTATTATATAAAATAAGTTGTTTTTTTAAAGAAAATCTGCGGGTTCGTTGATGCGTGCCGTGGAGATACCTATACGACAAGTGCCCGTAAACCTGGTGTTAATAAGGAATACTACCTGTCCGTTTTGAAGCGTTTGAGGGATGCTGTACGTCGCAAACGGCCAGAATTGTGGTCCAACAATTCATGGATTTTGCATAACGATAATGCGCCGTCGCATCGAGCTCGGATAGTGCTGGATTATTTTACTAAACACCAAGTAAATACCATCGAACAGCCACCGTATTCGCCAGATTTGGCCCCCTATGACTTTTTCCTTTTCCCAAAACTCAAATTACCTCTTCGGGGAAAAAGATTTGAGTCTTTGGAAGCGATAAAAGGGAATGCGACTAAGGAGCTGGAAGTCATACCTTCATCGGCCTACCAAAAGTTCATGGATGAGTGGGTGAAGCGTTGGCATATGTGTGTCGCTTGGGATGGTTGTTATTTTGAAGGAGATAAAATAAATTTACCTGAAAATTAAGCCAAAGTTGTTTTATTTACAAATTCCCGGTACTTTTTGATCATAGTGTATATGTATTTATATCAAGGTAGCAGAGCAGCTGCAGGAACTTCGAAAGTTTCCTTTGATCGGCGAATCGTGAACGAAATGATTTTTCGAAACTGTGTTGAATCGTTCAATTCATAAAGCTCAAAACGGGTACTATAAAGTTTCAATTATTTTCAAAGTAAACAGCATTACGAGCGCATAGAAAAATCGAGATTATTCATCCGAAACGGTCGCGTATTAATTAATTTTTCTACAGTTTGATAGAAAAATTGTTAATGTTATTAAAAAGCTGTTTAATGGGATAAATATATAACACTTTATTCACTGTAAAAATATATTAATACTTAACTGTTTTTATTCATGGATAAGTATTATGTAAAAGAATAGCAATCTGTATAACTGTTAAGTTGGGCACTCTTGCAACATAAATTAATATTTGTTAATATTAGAGTTATTCGTTTACTGTACATATACAACTTACGAGTATAGTTAAAAGGAACGATAAAAGGAAACTAATTAACAACCCCTACTTACACAATACAAGTGTTACATGTACATTATTTCACATATATTATTTCTAATCAGGTCTCTAAATATTTAAATATTACAATCTTCGCCGGAATCTACAGATTTTAAATCCCTTTGCTTTAGTTTGACATACTCTCCTCTTATAGCAATATCCGGATCTACTGATATTGAATTTGCAATTTTTTGTTCCGACAAGTACATATTGACTTTAATCAACGGCATTTCTATCAAACCACTTTTAGACTGATTTTCGTTCATCTTAGATTTATCCGTGAGACTTTCATTTTTCACATTTTTATTCTGCTTGGAACATTCATCACGATCATTCTTTATGGTAGAATCTCTTATTAGTCGTTCTGTATTTTTACCAGAAATATCACTCATAACTTTGGTATCAGTTTCGTCTGGACTTAAATTGACTTCCCGTTTGTCGCGTTCGTGGTTCTCTAAAATATCTCTACGAAGCACTTGAATATTTTCCTCTGATTTATTTGCGAGTAAAACCGATGCATTTTCCATTTTTGTTTGATTATGCATTTTTAATGCGATGGGTAAGGAATACTCGTACTGTGCTTTTTGATTTTCACTGTTCAGGACCGATTTTTCTTGTAAATTGGACATAATATCTTCAGGCATGTCGTTTTTAGATAGAGCTTTAACGTCTTCATCAGTATTTACCAATTCATTCGAAGATTTAGATTTCGGAATTCTTCGTTTCATTAAAGCATTCAGAATGGGACCTCTCGGTAAGTCTTTAGAATGAATAGATCTTTCCTTAGCATGCTTGCCTTTCTCTTCCTTAATCTCTTTATTGTTTAAAGTTTTACTGTTTACATCTTTGGTTAGAAAAGAATTTTCCTTGTGAACGTTCATTCGAACACTTACTTCATTTTTAATATCTTCTTCTTCATTTCCCGATGGCTTAGTTTTAGCATCCAACTCATAGTTTCTTATCTCATTAAATTGTTCTTTGGATCTCGGTTTTTCGAATTCTGTTTCAAACTCTTTGTCATTGTCGCTTCCTTTCGTTTTATTTAAAACTTCGTTTTCCTGTTTGACACTTAAATCTGTAGAATTGTTGTTTTTTCGAATAACCAACTTTTCATTCAAAGTTTTCAATCTTCTCTCATTTTCTCCAAGCTCCTTTGCATTATTTATTATTCTTTGCTTCTGTCTTTCAAATTCTTCTTTATGAGTTTTCAGATTTGTATTTGTAAGTTTTTCATACTTATCTGCAACCGCTACGTTAGCAATGTCTGCATCCGCAGCTAGCTCCGCTTCTTCTTTCTTGATTGCATCAAAATTGATTAGATTATCATTCTTTTGCATGTCGACAAAATTCTGTTTTAATTCCGCGACAGCACTTTCTTCTATCGTTTTCGCTGTTACAGATTCTGCAGTCTTTATGACATTGTCTTTCGGCATAAATTTTGATTCTTCGTGAAAATTTTTGTTCAATGTTCTTATTTCTTCCATAACTTTCCCAATTATCGGAGGAAGGGTGACTACTACACTTTCGATAGGTTTTTGCGTTTCTACCACTGGTTTTTCGGTGACAATAATGCGTTCAACGGGAATCGGTGGTTCCTGACGTATGTCATTCGACTTTAAATTTACTAATTTCTCCAGAATATTCGACTCTGGCAGCTGATCTATTTTCTCTAAAAATGATTGTTATCATCTTATTGTATTGTTATATACGCGTCGCAGAAAAATAAATTAATCCATATAAAGTACTTTGTAAACAGTATTTAATACCTTTAATATCTGGTAAAATCTCCTGGTTGTGAGGAATATTCGCCATTGCATTAATATCATCTTTGTTCAAATTTAATGGTAAGTTATTAATCTGATTAATAGGTTTACTGGTTGTTATTAAAAGTTTTGTGTTGCTAGATTCTTCTAACGCATACAAATTTGCGTATGTGCTCAGAATCATAATACAGATGCCAGTGAATAAAATTACCTGAATAATGTACAAATAAAACGTTAACAGTAGAGCAATGAACTGTATTAAAATTGACAAATTTCTTTAACAATCATACTTGTGCCAGTAGTCTCTCATTAGTGTGTTTGCTACTAATAGATATAAAGAATATTGCTGGAAATATAAGGCATATCATGACACCAATTGTGGATCCCACTAAACCAAGGACGAATTCTATATTTGGTATTAGAATGCCAGTAATCATAGAGATAGCTACAATTGCGATTGTCAGACATCTAAACCTTAATTCTGGTAAATAATTTATTGATGGTTCATGAGCATATACCTGTAAATAGTTACTATTAATAGTTTATTTATTAATTTATCTGTATTAATTAAAATAGTCGAACCTATATTATTGTTAGTGTGTGCAATTGTATCTATACAAACCCTGCGAAATAAAAGGGAGTTTAAACTGGCGCGACATGGGAAAATAACTAGAGGAAAGCTAAATGCAATAGAAAACACAAATCCCATTTTGATCATTTCCGATGAAAGGCTAGGTTTAAAGCTCATCAATATATTGCCTGTAAATTCAATAATAATTGAATTGACGATGTTTTAAAGGATAACACGTGCTTTAAACTGTCTGAAAATACCTGTAAAAGGTTGCGTGCAAAACGCGATATAGCCAAAAAAACCGACGCACAGATACACAATAGTGCATATATTTAACGCGCCTCGGACAACATCATTCATTTTCTCCAGTGACACATTTGGAATGGTTTCATATATTTCAAATAGTTGAGTCTGGCAGAATAAAGCCATAGAAAAGATTGGTATACATTGAAGTATACCAGATGGTCTCCAGTAATATACATGTTCATACCAATCTCCAGCAAAAATGTGTTGCATAGACTCTGTTACTATCTGGAAAAAAAGAAGAAAACAGTGTGGTTTAATTTTACAAATTGTATCCAATATAGGTTCTGGTGTTTAAAATTTCATATAAAATGAAACAAATTGATTACCTTTAATACAAGACAGAGGTAAAAGATAACTGCAGCAGTACAAAAACTGGATAAACTGTCAATGTTTCGAAGTAATCCCAAAGGTAAAACAATAAAGATGCTTGTTGTTACGAGTAAACTAGTTCTAATGTCGTGTGGGCTTTTGTTTATCACTTTTCCTACAATTTGTGGTCCTAAATCACCCATAACAACAAAGAAAGCGATGCATGTTCCCACAAGAAATCCAATGATGAATAATTCCACCAAGAACTTTCCCATGTGACCAAATGCGTGAAAAGCCAAAAGTTCAAAATTTCTTCTTCTTGACATTACAGCTGATTTGATAAGAAAATGACAAGCAAGTCGGGACAATAGGCTACTTAGTAGCAAAACCAAAGCTGCCAAAATAATGCCACATTGCTTGAAACAAAATGGCATAGCAAGAACACTTACTCCAATAATACTGTTTGCAAGAGTCATAACATGTGATAGTTGGGAAATCATTTTAACAGATTATATAAATCTAAACTATTTGTTTTATTTTGTACAACAAAATTTGCATTGATCAATTTCTGAAAACTTTCAAGAGCTTTGATGGATGGCAACCATCAAATTTATCTCATTTACATAAATTTTCTTGAGAAAATAAGCAGTAATATGTATTATCTTATTTGGTGGAAATCTTATGATTTCATACATATGTAAATGATAGTCAATCACACATTGTTTTCATACCATACAACATATGTATATATACATATATATATATATGTATATATATATATAAATAAGATTGTTCAAATACAAGGTTAGAACTGGAAGTCTTCTAGGGTCAGTTTCATACGGCCAACAGTACTACGTGTAAAACGAATAATATAATTCGTTATCATATTGGACGTATCGAAGTTGCGCTTCGAACGTCATGCTTTTGATAAAACACACCTCTTGCAATCCAATTTTTGAAGATAGCATCGAGCGGTTTTTGGACTTCCAAAGACTGCCACCATTTTGATAGGACAGAACAGGCACTCCGTGAAGTCGCGCGGCAAAATAAGTCAATACACTAATATACACGCGCGGTAGATTTCTTTATTTTTTATTATAAATATTTAAAAACATTCGTGTTATTCATGTCTGGACATAAATATATATATATATATACACATACATGTATATATTTATGTATATATATATATATATATATATATATATATACGTACTTGATTGATCTATCTCAAACGGACTTAGTTAGATATACGCAATATTACATCGAATTTGTCTTTGTGTTGCGGTGGATAATTAATTACAAATAGTTGTAGGTACTTAATTACAATTAGATTAATCGACTTATTTTTGTTTCGATCAATGACCTGTTATTGTGCAACTAGACGTATTCAATTTCATCAGGAAATATTCTCGAGGTTGAAAGATTTCAATTTTATATACACGCAATCATTAACGTATTTTGTATTTTCGCGCAAATGTCTAAGAGTTACGCGTTTGGAGGGTAACATTATTTTTTCTTTCTTTCTTTGTCAATGAGAGTGCTTTCGCAAACTCAATGCACAGATACAAATCGATCAAATCACATATGTAATGTTGAACACTTAAAATTACTGTTGTTTAATTTATGATTAAGATTCTACATCTACGCTTGAATTTAATATGTTCATTGACCGTTCGAATTTCATCGTTGATCATTGAATTTCATCCGTATAAAATAAAATACTTTACATATCAAAAGGAATAAATATTTGTCCATAGTACAACCATTTTTCTTTTCGATTTCAAATCGCGCTTATCAAATGATTTTATTAAGATCACACTGCGAATAATGAGTAAGAAGAGAAAGGACATCGAGCGTCTGAAATATTACAATTATTATATTTCTGCATGATTTATCGAAATGTGCTAATTGTAAACCTGGATACCTTGAAATGCTGTCATCATTCTACGATCCCATCGGAAACATCAAACAAATGTTATAAAATGTAATTTTGCTGGTACGAAAATTGTCTTTACAATCAAGGAGCCTGTTATCGTTTAACCGATCAGATACACTCGGTTTGCGCGGACACGGAGAGGATTTGATCGCATCAAAAAATTAGACAGACTATTCAAGATACCGTTCGACTCCAAAAATGTTTCCAGATTTGGTCGCTCGGTGAACTATACATTTAAGAATATCGAGAAACGTCTGTAAATTTAATGAAACTACAATTAAAATTGCAGAGCGCTTGGAGTCAATTACACGCTCATACGTGTACGCGATAAGAATACCGCTTGCCACGAATTCAATCGACACGTGCCACTAACATTTCCGTCGAAGTTGATTACTTTGAACCGGAATAGCGAAAAATTATAATGAAAACGTCGAATCGTATACCGAGTTCGAGGCAGCGTACGTCGTTAGTTTCTTCACTTAAGTTAACTATACTTATCTATACTTGATTTAAATAAGGACTTTTTCCAATTTCTTAAATGCTCAACGGCAATCGTTTATCAGGGATTCGCCCCGCCATCTTTCTTTGTTTCTTCGTTTGTGACATTCGCTTTCTCATCTTTTTCATTTTCTGCAAAACAATTGTCAACAAACTCAATGTAAAAGCACAAGCAAATTCATACGCAGAAGAACAGGCATCGTCGTTTATATACCTTTTGGTTCTGATTTTATGTCGTCTTCCTTTTTCAGATCACTTTCTATGCCTTCTTGACCTTTCTCTAGGCGAGGTCGTTTTCTGGAACCCTTTTTCAAAAAGAATTACACTTTAAACACGAATGTATATAAAACAGATGTAACATTGCGCGTATGACGTAAAATCGAAATCGACATTATTGAAGAGTTTATCTTTTTGAAAATAAAAAATATTACCTTAAACGACCTATTGTCTCTCCGTCCACCTTCACCTTCATCCTCGCTATCGCTATATTCGTTTTCATGTTGTATCCTTTTATCCAAATCCCGTTGTGGTAATCGTTCATCTGGATTTACTTTTTCTTCAGCCTCTGAATCCTCGATAACGGCACCATCTTCAGGAATGGGTTGAACTTGTACACCCGGTGCGTGTGGTAACATCCGTAAATTTTCGAATAATCTGGTCCTGCAGAAAATGTTAAAAAACGTTGAAGGCGTAAAAGCTAACAACACTCTTATCGATATTCTGATGAAACATACTTAATTTTCTCAAGATATTCAGGAGTATTTTGATTCGCCATGTTCGAAGGACTAATATGCAACTTGAAATCAGGTCCAAAGTATTCAAAATAGTCGTTATAAGGTAACTCATTTGCAATTTCGGAACCGAGAGCTACCGATGTTTCATACGTCCAACATCTAGAGACGTTTCTTATTGTGTATCCACCACCACCAACCATTAAGAACGGCAAATTATATTTCTTTACAAATTCAACACATTTACCATGACCTCTAACTGTTAGATTGAAACAACCCAATCTGTCTCCTAGAAATAGCATACAACAAGTTTAAACCAATACATTTCTGAAAAATTTATAGACATGTGTAACTAAAGTTGTACCTGTTAACGAATCTGCTCCGCACTGTAAAACAACTGCAGAGGGCTGAAAAGTTTCCATCACCTTGGATATAATGGGTACAAATATTGACTCGTAACTTTCATCATCCATACCATCCCTCAGTGGTATGTTGACTGCATAATATTTTCCCTAAATACACAGAATTTATTAGTATCGACTTTAATGTAATGCAAACAATTGTATTTGTTGTTGTTTGCCAAATTTTTTACCTTCCCTGCTCCAATGTCACGGAGATCGCCTGTGCCAGGAAAATATTCACCGTATTTGTGAAAAGAAACTGTCATTACTCTATCGGTAGTATAAAAAGCTTCTTCTACACCATCTCCATGATGAACGTCAATATCAATATATAAAACTCTCTGATGATATTTGAGCAGTTCTAAGATTCCCAAAACAATGTCATTTACATAACAAAAACCAGATGCTTCACTCTTTTTGGCATGATGTAATCCACCACCCCAGTTTATGCAAATTTCTGAGGCCTGCTTGTTAAGTTTTACAGCAGCAGCTACAGAACCACCAGCCGATAATTGACAGAACTCGTATAAACCATCGAAAACAGGGCAATCCTCACCTACATTGACTGTAAAAAAAACAAAGTTTCCTTAAAATTTATCCCTAAATTTGACAGAACTTACATTGTCACTAAAACAGTTAACTGCTAAAGATTAATTACTATGGCCTTACATCTTTGCATCTGTTTGTTATACTCCGACATATTATCAGGCCTTATGGACCTCAAAAATCTAATATATTCGTCACTATGGAATTTTGTCATTTCATCCGCAGTAGCTTTATGAGGTCGCTAAATTAAGAAATTACACATAAATATTGAAGAACTCTGTAAATATGTATGATATTGAACACTGAAAATGTTTTATTATGTACGACTGAATTAAAAATCCTTACATATATCTCCATTTTTCTATAAAGACCATAATTAAGAAGTAAGTTATGTGTCATCCTTATACGATGCGGCTTCATAGGATGTCCTTGTCCATAGTAGTAATTGCCAATATCACCTAATAAAAGATTTTATATTACGATTCATGTCATTGTACTGGGAAAACTCACATAGAAAAAAAAAACAGAAAACTTCATGTTATAAAGGTTTAAGAACGTTGAACATGGGAAGAGTACACTACGATGAGTACGCTACGTACTCGGTATCTACGGTCGCCCGAAATGTACTTGAGAATCTTTCGCATAGCTAACAGAAAAATCATTCTTCTAATAAAGATTCGTACGAAAGACTGAAACTGTAATATTCTTGAAACTTCTGCAAAATATCTAATGCAATTTTGTATCTTCGCACACTCGCGTTTATACTAATTAAAAATTTCCTATAGCTTCTCAATAGATTTCCATAACCTACAATTAGTGTGTTTCGCTCGTGATGCTGAGAAACATTCACGGAAATCAGAATGTCATCGAATGAAATCAATTTCATCGACACAAACGATCTATACTGTGTTTAATTACAAAAACAATGGTATTTGTAAGTGATGATTTGCTTTTCGAACAACTGGTCGCTATCAATTTTGATACATTACAGACAATTGATGTATCGTGGCATTATGTACATAAGACGAGTAAAAACTAAACTATGAATATTTGTATACAAATGAAGCAGAAAATTGGTAAAGAAGGGTGAATGATAGGGATAGGTGGAAATAGATGGGCAGATAAAGCTGACGCTCTTTCGTCGTTGAAGTAAGGTAGCATGGAGCCATACCCGCGAATCTTTCGCGTTAACGCTGCTAAAACCGTACAAGGAGGTAAAAGGAACGCCGCGAATGTGAAGCATTTTGTACGAAACAAAAGTGTTTAATGTACTTTTGAAAGTAGCAGAAGTAATTACGATGGGAATGCTTTAAATTTCTTTGCTGGATATGAAAAGAATCTGTTGAAGACTACACAAGCGCGGATAGCACAAACACATTTTGACAATCTCCCCGTACGTGTAGAATGTTTTCGCGGGATCATAAATTCCTACGAAATTTTGCATTTTTTTCACTTACTGTCATAGTAGTAGCAGACGCGCTTCTTGCTGTGTGGTAATGTAGACATTTTATCCGATTTCTTTCTGCTAAGTAGGAAAATATCTGATATGAATCAAATGCGGACCGCGGAGTGTCGCGGCACCCACCGACAGAACACAGCGTCACTGGATGTCTCCTGTACGCGTGCGCAATGTTCGGTAGATAAGCTTTCAAACTTCTCGCATAGGTGCCGCTTCGCTTCAAATTGAACTTAACCATAAAATATATAATATTGAGAGTAGATGCATCATTACCAAAATTAGACTGAATAGATAAAAATTTACTGCATCTAGTGATAACGCGATTAAACTAGTACCAGGTACCAGCTAGTTCTAATCAGCAGGTACCCTCACGAGCAAACTCGACTTCCTCTAGAGGAAAATGTGAGGTTGACGAAAGGCCTCCTACCATTTAGTTTTGGGAGTTACTGAAATTTATGCCAAATTAACATTCGATTTAACAGTTATTTCACTATTTGGAATAAATTTCCCAAGTGGTAGAAGACTTTTCTTCTGCCCCGCTTTTTCCCCTAGTGGAAGCCGAGTTTGCTCTTGGGTGTACATTGAATGAAAGGTCTATTCTTATAGCTTATACTGGCTTATACCATCTTATACTTTGTGGGTGGAGCAGCTTTTAAACTTGGTCACGTTGATACAGTAGAGATTTGTAGAGATCAGTATGAGAGATGAATATTATCATATGTTATGCCGTTACAAAATACCAAGAATTGATCACGATTGCACAAGTAAAAAGCGAAATAAATACATACAATGCTACGTGCTATGCTTACAAGCCATGCACGTTCGTTCGTACGGATAGTTATACATATATACAATCTAATAAATATGATCATTCATGCAACCAGCATTAACATCTTCTAGATAAGAATCCGAAGTTTACTATTTTGTTTTCAAGTGAACAAAAATAAGACGCAAAAGTAGCTCGGGAGAATACCCAAAATATTATGGTAGTAGGAAAGTTTAAATTGTTGACCTACATATTTAGAAGAAAGGACATTGATGCTATATAATATGTACTGCATACATGCGTAAGATGTTACATGTATGTATATTGCATACGCATGCGTGCAACACAAATAAACAAATGTAATTATCACAAATTTCTCGAAAGCATACGCAAATTGAAAATGTAAATGAAACCACTGAACATATTACACGAATAATGTACGCACATATACACAAAGTGTATAAAATGTTCAGTAAAGGTGATCTTTAATATCTGCATCGTTTAACGAATATAATATGTATAATAGCTACATGCGTATGCATTAGTGACAGTTACATAATTTCACCAGTCTCTGATTTCACTAATGGCTCAATCATCTGGTCTAGTAGATCGTGTAAGTAACATATGTATAAGAATAATAGGAATTTAAAAAAATACAGTTTTTCATATGTACATCAGTATGTACAGATAGTGGTACATATACATACTTAAATGAATTTTAATATATATATTAAAAAGATTGTAAGAGACATACAAATTTCAATATATATATTAAAACAATTTAATGTATATATACAAGTATTTTTTTTATTTGAAAGCATTTTACACAACGCTGCTCTACAATTGTTTACGTAAGTAAAATAATGTCGATCCAAGAGAGCACAGGTCGGTGCATGAAACGATGCAGCGTCCAACGAACTGCTAGATGGTTGCACCTGTCTACAGCTCGTATTGCATTCGGCCACCGAAGACCATATGTATAATATGTATATATGTATGCACGTATAACGCAAATGTCGTTTGGTCGTCCCTTTTTAGTAATCCGTCGGATTAGTAAAATGTATATATACGCGTGCAATGATCGTAATTGTTACCGTTAAAAGAAAACAAGCAATATCAAAAGAACTATACCGTACCTCTGTGAAAAGAATTTACAGAAGACGCTACAATTCGTCTATATGCAATAGCATCCGTTTTGGCAGTATAATTTTCAACGTTCCAAAATAATCGATCATTGTTCTTTCTGTATTTGCGAAATCTTGGAAAATCCGATGACGTTTTATAGTCGTCGTCATAAATCAGTACATAGAATAAAAAATGTATACTAAGCATCGTGAGATAGGAATTCTTCCATTGTTTAAAGGAGCATACACAGTGCGACGACGGAGTTCACGTGTTTCCGTGCTCTTGTCTTTAATTGTCGTGAATGTAGCTGGATTCGTAGATACGTTACACTGTACTCGAAAATTAGAAGAGAATTCACTCGTCGTAATTTGTCCGACTATTTGAAAAAATAATTATCTCTGTCTTTGACGAGGACAGAAGGCGAGCGAACATCCACGCGGAATGTATACGCATAGAATCTACATATAAAAACGGATATAAGTAAGTGTAAAAATGCTCGAGACAGAGCTCGTATTATCGTGCGAAATAAATGCAAAGATTCGAAATTAAATTCACCTAAGTAGAAACCAACTATCGCTACAACAGCTGCCGAAAGGAGGGCCAAACGAATTCCGCAAACGGTCGCGCAGATTCGAAGACGCGCCGATACGTTTTTCGATTAGTACCAACTGAATAATTGTCGTTTCGTTATTATAAGCTCTAATCTGTTCACTCGTCTCCTAGAAGTTCGAACGCCCCATTTGTAAACAGTTCATCGGATGACTGTTGAGTGTGTAAGTTAGAATTACGTATGCGGAATTCTGGTAGCTTGTAGAACGTCAAAGCTTGAAACACAAATATAAGAAAAAGATGGTGCAATTTCTGCCTTCGGATTAATCCGTTAGAATTGAACATACATTAGGAAGTTTGAACGACGACGTTAGAGTTTCTAGGCGAGGAGTGACGCGTTTTGATCGCGTATGTTTAGCTGAAGTTGGATAACGCGCCGCGTGCCGGTACAGCCGAAGAATAATGACCGGTCGCGGACGGTTTCGATGCTTGTGTGTGATTGATCGCGTGTTTAAAACACGAGCGCGTGCGAAGCGTTCACAGCGAAAAGAACTTGAGAAAGGTTTGCGGAGGAATGGGAACGTGGAGGGAGGCTTGATCGACATCCGCCAATTTTTCTTGAAATGCCGGATCCTGGTCAGCGATACAAGGATGACCCAACGATCGCCAAAACAAGCAACGGCAATTGCGGCACAACTGAATCATCTCTGCATATTCTTCTCGCAGCCCGAACGACCTAAACACATTGGTTCGCGATAAACGCGATAAGACCTGTTCGCGAGTTCTACGCTTCGCCATGAACGGTCCAATAAAAACAGCAGCCGTGCGCGCGTATCCGTATCATACCTTCGAGCGATGGTGAATATTGTTTTCCAGTCTTTCCCAGGATTGTTTTGTCTGGTAGTGGTTATTTGTTGGGGTGTGAAGTGATACTGTGCGAGCTCTCGCCAGATTCTTTGCTCCTGAGCCAGGACAGCGAGATGTTCGCAGGCTTCGGACGAAGCTTCGATGTCTCGCGGATCACTCAACCGGAGAAGCACCTCTCGGCGGCATTCGGCGGGCAAGTCGGACCACTGCGGTTGCTGTTTTTCGTCCGGCTGGAAAACGAATTGCGACCGTGATGATCGACCCGGTCTATTCTTTCTTTCCTTCAGTTTAAATTACCGGGCCGTACCGGGCCGTACCTGAGTTATAGTGATCGACGAGGCAATTTGCAGGATTCTCTCAAGAGCTGCTTTGTGCTTCTCCCACAAGATTACCGAACCCAAAGGTCTTCCTCCCCAACAGCAGCCTGCGCTGAAAGCTCGCACTCTTTCGATCAAACGCCGAAGCCTTCCAGTTTGTTGCTGCGACAACGACACTGCACAACACACATGGTATAAACGTAATGCAGAAACGAACCAATATTTCTTTTCGATCGATCGGAAGGATTTCGCGATCGGCAGATTGTACGAACGAACGATTCGTGATTCGGGAGTTACCTTCTAGCGCGACTTCTTCCAGCATGTTGAAAAGGACTCGCTGAGCGCACCCACTGAGACCACCCATTCTATGGCTGACCAATAGATCCAACAGTCGTACGATGTAGTTGAAGCGCCGACAATCGTGCACCGCGGACAAGAAGTCGAGCCGTTTGAGCGCGTCGCTCAATCCGTTGAAACCCGCGATCTACGGAATACAACATACAACACAACGCTGCTACATCCACTTTCCATTTTCCACGCTTCTTCTCATTCGCTTCGTTTACTTTCCCTTCGTCGTTCTTTTATGTCCCTTGCATTCCCCGTTAATCTGTACGCGACAAACATACGATCTTCTTTTAACCGACAAATCTCATCTCGCACCGTTTCCCCTTTCGCGAAGCTGAGTTAAATATAAGCGGGCCTGGAACGAGTCACTCACCTCGCGCGTGCATTTGAGCGTGATGTGGCAATGCGGCTGGACGATGTTCTCTAAAATTATACGAAGGAAACGTTAATCGAAAGAATCAAAACGGGAACGGTGGTCCTTTCGTCCTAGCGGACGCGCTTTCTTTAATGTACGACTTTAGTCTCACACTCACCCTTCCTTTTGTCCTTTTCCTTCTTCTCCGCCGCATCCTTGTCGCCATTGCTGCAACAACCAAACGAACCGAACGATCATACATGTGTATATCATCCTTTTTTCCATCGCGTTCGCTGCGCTTAGAAAGAGTAGAATCGTTGTCGTTTGTTAACAACCAAAATACATGTACACAGACGGCGGGACACTAGTAAACTGTTCGAATAGCGACGTGCGATAACAATCAAACTGGTCCTTGCAATCACCCGTGACTAATTCCTGCGATTATAACATAGTACCGACGAAAAACAGAACTCACACCCTTCCCTGCAACAAACTGACTCGAAAATTCAACACGCGAATCAAAACTGAAAGTAAACTCGATTTTTGCTCGATTCTTATTGAAGAAACCCGACCTTCGAAATTGTCTTACTATACATATGTATACAATGAGTAGTAACTCCTGGACAGGGATTCGCGCGTCTGAAAGCAGAAGAAGAAGAAGAAGAAGAAGTAGAAGGAAAATAAACGCGTCTGACTCAGTGAATTCAATAGACTTGAATACATTATGAATTGTAACGATATGTCAGTGGCCAACCCGTTTCTGTTCGCTTGGAAATCGAACTTCACAATGCGTACGCTGAAGGTGAATTGTCGATATAAATGTCGGTTGAAATTGTAGACCGAAACGAAGACAGACGAATCGTTGGATCCCTTCGATCGTATTTTTCGATGCGGTTCGCAACTTTTAGGTTGACGAATTTTCAATCACTTGATCGATGTATGTATCCTCACTGGCAAAGACCTTGTACTAACGCGCTCACGCGACACCGGGAGAGAAACCCCGTACCAATAATCTGTTACATTATGTAACCAACGGTAATACTCGGGACACGCGTGCAAGCAATATCTCCGACAGGTTAGGTACCGTATTCACAATGGTTGAGAGCATCTGAAAGGATTATCTCGGGGTAGCAAATTTTCAGCCTACCCATAATTTAAAAAAAGAAAGGTGACTCATACGAAATATATCGCTTCTTTACGAAAATCCTGATAAACAAGATATCTGTCCAGATGCATGTATTGTTGTACTGAATTTGTCAGAACCAACCGAAACGAAAGCAGATCGTGAAATTGGTTCAGGTCTGGGTTAGCTAGGTCACGACCTACTTTCGTACCAGGATACGGTCATGAAATAGAATTGTATACATATGTACATATACCATTTCTATTCGCAATTTCAGGAACTTCGCTCGGTCCTTTCTCCAACGATAATTTATCCGTGTACCGAGAAACGAAGCACGCATTGCACATCTTCGATATAAGATTCGAGAAGAATTTGGAGGGGATTTCGTGGGAATTCGAGTCCGTACCAAAACGCTTCGAGCAATAGTTGGTTTCGTTTCGCGTCAACGTTACACGTTCCGAAACAAAGTTCAGAATTCGCGATTCAGAACGGTTTCGTCGCCTGGGTCTTGGGATTCGTTGATTGCAAGTATGCTGCGCGATACGCGAAACCAAGGCCAACGAATACGTAACTACTGCGCTCCAGTATTTATTGCCTACTGTGCCTAGTGCACAGTGCACAGCAAATTGATATAAATACGCGTGCCGTTGAAACGTAGCTCGCAGAACTATCGACGGAGACCTGCTTCCAAGCATAAAGCGAGGTCCGCGAAGACGGACTTTGAGATTGATACCGGTGGTAAACAATGCGGAAGGGGAAAGGCTTAGAAAAGGTATCGTTTGTTTGGCGAAGCGCGTGACAGCGCGACGGTGATGCGGTGCCAACAGTTCGCTTGCCTCCTTGCTCCCTGTCAGTTTGCAAACGGGTCTAGGGCCTAGACTCTAGACATTTACACGAGCAGCTTTCACGGTCCCGCAACGTCACGTCGCAGAGCATAATTTGCGCGCAAGACCATCCACTGTAAATACACGTTCAATCCATTGGGCCGTATGTCGCATACCACTAGCTTAACAAAGGAAGATCAAATAGGAGAATACGTGGCAGACACGAAAGAAGCAGCGAGCTTGTGCAGGGGATCCCATGTATCGAACATGCATGCACCGTTAATTACAAACACGACGATTCACTGTCGTGGAAAACAAGGAGAACGAAAGGAAGCATACGACGCGCGGCAATTCGGACGGAATTGTTTATCGATGCAAGCAAAAATCTTGAACAAGTAGGAATGAAAACCAAGCAACGACATTGGACCGAGAACAGCTATTTTTGGAATTAAGTTTAAATTAAATTGCCTATACAACAACAGACCATCTTAAAATATCCTACATTCATCTCGGAAGTTAAGTAAATATTTTCCACTCGCTTCCCTTCAATGGATTTGTGTCGAACTGTTCCCGATGCACGAATAATTCCAGCGACAAGAATTATCGTACGACGATGAATCGATACGTTTTATGAATGCGCATCATGCGTATCTTTCGAAAACGTATCGAAAATTATTTGAACGTGAAGCGTATTCCTTTTTTTCCGCTCATAATGGAACCGCGGATTTGAGAGACTTTCTCGAACAAAGCCGAAGTTCCGTGCAAATTATGAATCATTTCACAAATTTTACAACAGCGAATGCAAGAAGGACTGTTCGTCAGGGAATGGGAAAAAATTGTCTTACCAGAAAACACTGACCACTATACAGGCTAATCGCTTCGATGACACGGAATGTCCGTCGCGAGCGGTAGAACGACTAACACGTTTGACACAACTGACACGGTAGCACGAGACACGATTGTAAACAAACCGAGAACTAACTGTCACCCGATCGATGTAACAGCTGTCATCGGAGCCTATTATCTGGAAGCAACTCACGAGTGTCTACTGTTACTTGCTAAACAAAGGAACGCAACCGAGAAGGTGGAATGAGAACAAAAAGCGGCAGACACGGCGGTTGCTTTGTATTGCACTTACCGGAGTAGAAGAGAAAGCGTTTTATTGTTGGCGCACTCCAGAATTTTTTTCTTTTCCCAACCCTCGACTGTCTTCACCCATTCCTCGCCAGGACTCCGCCAATCCTTCGATATAAACGGCATCGTCTGCGAGAAAGACGCCAGAGAGACAAGCGTACTCTCTCGCGCGCGCGCGCGCGCGCGATTTTACCTTCCCCGGAGAAACCTCGCTAAATCCAGCTCACTGTTTCGCGGACGCCCAATGTTTGGCAGCGAGACGGTACGGTCCGTTCGGTCTGCTTCGCGGCTCCGATCGACCGCGCATGGCTTTGTTTTACTGACGTCACTCTCCTATCAGCTGTGCGACCATCCGACCGTTTCGTCGTTCTCGGGAATATCCCCCGCCATCTTGAATCACGCAAAAGAAGCGCATGCGCGACACATGAGTCCCAGACAACCGCGATATTCGAATACCTTACGTATTAAAAAAAAAAAACATTTCGGTTCTATCGGCTGAAAACGAGGAACATATCACTCGATCCTTTTTTTATTGCTCACACCTGAAAAATAGAACATACGCAAACGCGTAACGCGGTGGATCTCTTTTGGAAGAGTACAATACACTCAAACAATATGTATAATCTTCATGTTATATTTAGATCCGTTAAACGTTCCTCTACTTCTGATGCGGTGTTCGTAAGTACCGGCTCTTCCTTCTCTTCTTCAGATTCCGAATCGGTTGGTGGAAAATCTGAAACAGCTATCAAAAAAAGCAAAATTACGGCGATTGTATGAGTCGATCGAACGTTGTGTGTATGTACATGTAACATGTACCAAGTACATGAAACACTAATCGCAATATTACCGAGCCTGTCTATCCTTTCCTGTTTGGCGTCGACTAAAAATTGCTCCTGTGCAGCTATAACCTCCACCGCATTCGCACAAAGAGCATACTTCTTCAACAATTCATCGTTCAATTCCAAAAAAGAATGGCCCCAAGAAAATTTACTAAGATAAAATTTACCCTCTTCCGGAAAGCCTGTTATGGTTAAAGCTGCTGCTATAGCTTCGACGCAACTTAATTGGCACGGTTTACCGTAATTTATTGGATTCGCAGCAACTAGAAACGGCAACAGTCGAGGATTCGGAGTTCTCATTCTACCGAACGGGGTATCGTCCAAACGTGCCCAACTACAATCTACCACTGCGCAACCGTAATCTCTTACAATATCGTGATCAGCTGGACTGACGCACTGCAACGCAATATTTTCTTACTAAACATATATATTGTAAGTAATTTTGTCTATATTACATTATACCGATGTACCTTCTGACCGACTGGAGTAAGGACCAAGCCTGAGAATCGAACACCTAACCTCAGCATTTTCACCAGGCCGTGCCTAGCGAGTTTTCTACCGGAACATTTCTTGGGATCACACTGTTCCAAATCCCACATAGCGACTGGGAACGAAAGAGGCCAATCTTCTTCATCCGCTAGAAATTCAATAATAAAGTTTCTATTTTTTTTTAAAACACTCGATCAAAGGTTTTTCTTTTCCTAACCTGATTCTTCATCCTCTTTGTCAGACTTGTCCCTTTCTTGCCGATATTTTTCTTCCTTCCCGACGACATGACGAGGTCGTCTCGTTAATATTTTCTTCTTATTTTTCTTTCCGCGAGATGACATGTACCTACGAATCGTCGAAATACTTTGTAATATCAGACCTATGCAGATACATATACTGTCGTACACTGTGGCCCACTATGGCCTGCTCAGCCTGCTGTGGCGGTGTGGCCTCTTCGGCCTCTTCACTCTTCACACTTTTCACACTTTTCACACTCTTCACACTCTTCACACTCTTCACACTCTTCACACTCTTCACACTCTTTACAGTCTTCACCGTCTTCACCGTCTTCACCTCGGAGGCTCGGAGGCCAGTGGCCACTTGTCACACACGAACAAATTCACACTCTGTCGATAACTTTCGTATAATCACGTGCGTGCACTTGCAATGACGCATTATATATATAATGTATATACATACAGAACACGCATTTATGTAAAAGCAACCACTATTCGTACACATTTATTTCCATCGTAAACGTAACATTGTATAATACGTGTAAGCAACATTATCATTTTTCGAATTACAACACTACTAAATATACCTATATTTATGTATTAGCAACAATTAGTTGCACAGTATAGTTGATTCACGCGTTTCCAAAACTTCTGAAGACTATATATATTTAGGTATATAAATAGAGAAAATGCTAACGCACTTGAAATGATAATGAAAACGCCAATGTATGTTTTGCAATTCGAATATATGAGAAACTAAAAACGTGATATCGATCATAAATGAAATGTTCACATTTTGTAGTAGCATAGTGCCACTGCATTAAACGGCCCTGACGCACTCCTATAGTGTGAGTAACAAGTGGCTGTTCTGTTCTCAATCGGTTCGCGGAGCACAGATCGTTCAAAGAGCGATACATCTCTAATAAACATGTGTTTGAAAGCATTTTCATTCGCCTAAGAATGTTTTGTATACTGTGATCAACTGTGATATTCCGTTTACTTAGAAGGTAGGTAAATATTCATTGTATTTCGTGCGTTAATATTTTCACATTGATTATGCATCATTGTAATTATAATCTCGCAGTCGCATATAAAAACAATAACTGGCTAATGCTTATTTGTGCAAAAAACGCGCTCGTTTTTTTCTTCATTTTAATCCTGTTATCTTCATCGTGCTGCTTGAAGGATATGGATCCAGGTATTTCACTAATGTTTAGCAGGCTTTTTGCTAGATATTTAAAATCTAAATTCGTAATTCATTCAATTATGTAATTATTGTGTATATAAAATATTTGTAACGCGCGTATGTAACACAAACTGTTCTGTACATAAATATGTGTATAGCAAGTTCCATATACTTTGCAAAAATAAATTTACAAATGAATACAGAATTATGTAGTCTTTAAAACTAAATTCTTTAAATGTTAGGACTTCTGTGCATCATTCAATAATCATTGTTTGTGATTCATTAGAAAATATAGGCAAAGAAACAGTTATAAAAGTAACTGATTGGCTACGTGGAATTTGGGACATGAGACGTCGAACTAGTCCAGTTCAACAATGGGTTGATTCATTGCCTTCACCCATCAAATCAAACGTATCGGTGGCATCAGAGCCAAAGGAATGTCAAGACGCACAATTAGAAGAAGTTACTACTTCATTGATGACAGAACCTAAGGAAATTCCATATTCAATGGAAACCAAATCCCTGACCATGACTGTATCAGCACCTATTAATGTTCCTAATATGTCAACAATTAATACATCTGGCCTACCTAGGTATTATGTGGAAAAAAATCTATACACATATATACACAGAATGATGTGATTATATTTCTTTGTAGTTCATTGCCCCATAAACTAGTTCGTGATCCAAGTTTGCAGTCTGATAGCAGTCATTGCAGTAGTGTGGAAAGCTTGTTAGAGCTCAGGAAAGCAGATCCAGAAGCTATCTTACTTGGCCTAGGATTTGGTGGTTGTCCCAGCAGTCCTCAAGAGAATGGTTCTTTGTCTCGTATACCAAAAAGATTTTTACAGCCATCAAAGTTAAAGGGCATAGCCATCAATGATTTTATGAAGCATCAACAAGAAACAAGTGAATCTTTTGATTCTGTTTCATTAGGATACAGAGGATTAACAGGTAAAATATGTACAAAGAATTGATTCACATTTGAAGCTAATATATGAATATTAAATGACAAAGTAGCTAATGTGTAAAAGTTATAAGTATTTAATGGTAACTGACTGGAACAAGCTTTATTATGGATATGTTCATGCAAATCAATAGCAATAGTGTGTTACGGAAACGGTAATTTTGTAGGAAGCGACGACACATTATCTGTGTCTCGACTATTTCCGCATCGCAGACAGTCTGGACCAATTAAGTTTGTAAGTCTCGCGAGAATTAGGACATGTTAAATAAAAATTTCCTGTATTGGGAAAATGGTTTTTATTTAGATAATTCAAAACTGAATTTATCGATATATCATTTAGATTATAAATTATGCCACTTAATTTGCTTTTTTCTGGTTGTTACATGTAAATATGTGTGCACTTAGAAAGTTTGTTATCTGTCTTTTGTTATTTCAAACTGACAAGAAAACGGATATGCATGAAATTCGTATTATATTATCGTGATCGTACATTGGAAATGATTTTTATTTCCTTTACAATATGAAGCAGCTGCTTGTAATACTAAGAACTATTTTTCATTCATAAAATCTGTCAATGCCGAATGCATTTATACATAATTTCTATAAATTATTATTAGTTGCCTGAATGTCGTCGTTATTATTATTGTTATTATGAATGCTGTCACTATTGTGTAGTGAGTAGTGTGTTCGGTGTGTATTGTTACGGTACATAAAATGATATTTTGTGATATTTGAAAGGCTCACCGTACGTAGCACCGTCGGAAATTGTACAGAAAATTATGCAACGCTTACGAGAACACGAAAGTCATGAACATGATCCATATGTACTTTACAATTCTTACGAGCAGTACAGTCCATTGCAACAAAGTGGTACGACGCTTTCCGTACTTTCCCCGGACAATAGGCAATTTTTGGAACGACCACGTTCAAAAAGTCCTGATATGCGTAATAAACGTATGATTATCGGTAAGAATTGATTACATGTTACATTTCTGTCACTAAATATACATATACATATTTTATTTCCATGTGGCGAATCTTTTGTAAGAAAACCGAAATGCTTCACAGGACAAAAATCTTTCGCATTTGGGCATGATGGGGACTTAATCGAAATTAATCCTGCCGATGTAAAAGTAACGTACGAAAACAATCTGACCGATGGCCTTAGTTCTATAGGTAGTTCACAGGCATCTAGAAATTTGGAAAATACAGACATAAATCACGATCAAATGTTCCAAGACGCAGATATCCAGGAAGTGGATAAAATGTTTCCAAGAAAATTACTGTTTGATGACAGTATAGAACTTTGCGCTAACGTCAGTGTGCCAGAGGAGATACCTAAGGAGCACGCAAATACGCAATCGAAAAATTTAGGAGAAAGTGTTGACTTCATGGAGGATACCTTGTTAAATACAACTTCGTTGAATTTGTATGATATCCGAAGAGCTAGTGATGGATCGTGCGATATAAAACCTGGAGAGAATTTTTCGATGGTGCTGGGCCGAAGACATAGCGACAGCTTTGTTCCCGGTATTCAGAACATTCATGAGCCTGTTTTAGCGCAGAGGAGAAGAACCTTGAAACGCCAGACTAGAGTAAGCGATATAGATGCAATAGATTTCTGTAATTCCAAGACGTGTACTTCCGATACAGTGCAACACAGAGTAATGGATTTGCAAGAAAATGTAAGATTACGAAACGAAGACCAAAGTTGCAGCACGCAACGCTCAAATACGCTTTCGGAAGAACATAGTGATTGTGCTCAATGCATAGGCAATGGTCTAAACAAAGAAAATGGACAACAGGATGTCAGTAAGCACCGCATAAAGAAAGATCTGTCTTTAAGGCGACCGCGTACGGATGAAGAGGAGACTACAACAAGTTGTTGTTGTCGTCGTTCTGGTTCGACGAAGTATTGGGAAAAGATGGACAAAATTATTCAAGAGAATAAAAACTTGGAGAACATGGTAGCGAAAAACAGAAGGGAAATGGCAGAAATTCGTGAAATGTTGAGTAGCGTATTATCCGTACGATTGGAACCTGGTTTTTAATGTACATAAACAAGTATAATGCAAAAAGATTAATTCATGAATAAGCGGAAGATAAAAACAATCGATTAATAATATTATAAAACATTTTATCCCGTACACGACTTTTGAAGTTCCATTTCACTTTTCTGTTTAAAGAATGAGATATTTATTTCTCACGCATCAATAAGTACTGCTCTGCAAATGCATTTTCCAGCACTATGCATTGCAATAAAACCGGCACATGGTAGTCTCTCAGGAAGTAAATCAGTATAATTTTTCATATACTAAGAAATATCTTTGTTCGTAACAACTGCGTTTTCCACAAGTCTTCAGTTATAAATAAAGATGTATCTATTTTGTTATGATTTCAAATTTTATTCTTATTATATATAGTTCAAACACCAATGTTCAATACAGAATAACATTTACAAATAACTTCTCAGTGCCACATGTGATGATAGTGTTTCGTTATGTTTGAAAATTATTTTTATTGTGTTATTATACTTGTTAATTTTAATAGATTTCTTACTTGTTTAACACTCAAAGTTATATCATTGTTATATCAACATCTGAATAGTTTAAACTTTGTATCATGCATATATGCATCGTGCAATGTTTGTTAAAATTGATGGTTAACAAAGTCATACCATATTCATATAGTCACTGAACTAAATTCGTAGAATTTAGTTCCGTAATTTTGTGCAGCAATAACGTGATAGTAATATACCATCATTTATTGCACTCTATCATTTGTAATTGAAACGTAATCAATTACTGAAATGAACGATAGGTAATGAACATTGGTACCTACATGCAGTGTATCTATTCACATTCACAATGTTTTCGATGCTTCTGTAAAATCTTTGATACTTTGACTGCGATTGTGACTCTTAACACCGTCAAACAATAATTTATGTCTTTTTTACGTAATCGAGAACATTTTTTTTAAATACTTGATGAATGTTTATATTTGTAGCGAGAACACCAATGCTGCAGAAACTGCGTTCGAGACCTGTGTAAACTTTAAGTCTAATTCTAGTGGTACACATTAGACAAAAAAGAAACTGCTAACATCTAAATTCCTACAACGCGACATGAGTGCATCATTATGCTTATGAACTGCACAAACCTAAAATGTATACTTTTATGACATATTTTGTTTGATCTAACATTATGTATTATATAATATAACGTATAGTAAATTTTGTATTCTCTATACATCGACGGACTATCCAGTGATGAGATGTACATTACAAATATTTTTAATTTTCCAGAAACAAATCTGGTACTGATACACACTTTTCACAACTGCTTTGATAAGAGGCAAAAATGAAACTGAAAAGGTTTGTATTTGCAACATTTTATATTCTTTACTTTTGCAACGTGTTTGCACAATTAGTAAATAAAAAAGAAAAGATTGTTAACTACAGAACACTAGATGTATGCAGTTCTAATTTTGTAAGGTTATCATTTTTGTGTTTTATACTCAAAATCCTATATGCGTTTGTGGTTATGATTAATAATTTGTTTTTAGTACGAAATAAATATTGTTTTATTTGAGCATTTCATTAACATCGATGAAAGATTTTAGATACGAATTTATATATGTTTATCAAATTCTATTTAAAATTTTAGGAAATGAACTCATAGAATTGTGTTTCTGTGTGTTCTTAAATGTTTCATTTAATTTTTAAATTTATAATGAAAATTATATTCCTTACTATATGCCTACATTCCAATAAGTTTGATGTACATAGATAATACAAACGAATTAGTTGTATTTTCATTTTTGTAGAAGAAACAGTGAAATGTACAAAATACGGGATATACCGAATAAATGTCCAACACAATTAAGTTTTACTTCTTCTTTTTTTTTTCGTGTATGCGAACCACAATTTGTATGTCCATAAAACTAGAAGTAACATATGACACCATTGAACATGATCCGTAACAATACAATTTAATTTCTCGATCGTATTCTTGCTACTAACATAAATGCATTATACATTACACATTTACGACAACGAAAATTGCTCCGGGTTTAAATAGAAGATTGGAAACAACATGATTTTCCAAGGAATTTACAGAATGATAGGAACACAAGATAAGCGGTAACTGAGACACTATGATTTCTATACCTAACCATTTTGCATTTCGTTGACTAAACAGAATGCAAGATTTCATTATTCAAAGTAACGCTATACGATATAAATATTTAAAGTACTATAGACGGCCATTTCAATTTTGAAATCAAGATTGCGGCTGTTACCAGAAGAAAAAATCATGGGTTCGTTTTAAAAATAATTTGTAGTCCGAGTAAAAAGGGCCGAAACTTATGTCGAAGATATAAAATGTAAGATGTGAGTGGATATTGTACATTTATATAACTGGATAATAACGCAGGTTCGTAGGTAGCTTTACCGTCAATTTGAGCACGTATCCGCGTTCGAACATTCCATCAATTATATGTAAAGCTACCTTCTGCGAGAAACTGAGTTCCATGGTCCACTCAATTTTATTTTTAAACATGAATCTGCTAGAATATCGTTTTGTAAACTGCACCTATGTGTCTGCGCAATATGCTTGTGTAGTGTTTATTGTGTACATGTAAATGTATTCTTTCTTAGCATACCTTAAAACGTATATAAACAAATAAGACCAATCTTGATCTTATATTTAGTCTTCTTTTTCTTCCCTAAAATGAAACGAATAATTCCCATTATAACTCTGGTAGAAATATTCTACAAGTAGAAAGAAGTTTCCGAGCTCACTTTACAACTTCTTGTTGTTGCTGATCAAGATGAAGTTCAACGATTGTTTCTGTTCTACTTTGAACTTTGAAAGTTACTTGCGCAGCCAAGTATTTGTCTTTGTTATTCACTGACCATCCAGAATACTGAAACAATGTAGAATCGATATAGGAAAATCTTGAAAATATAAACTGCAGTGAGTGCGATAGATATGTAAAACCTACACTCGACGTGCTTTTGTACAATGTCTTTCCTTCTTCTTTAAAAGGCAAAAACTTTTGTAGTAAAGCTTTCCCATCTATCCTCCATAACGTTGGTTCCGTGCTTGCACCAATGTCGAGTTTCGACACGACAAATGCACCAGACTAGAAAAATTGCCAGGAACAATAGTAAGCACAGTTTGTTTAGTAATTAAGCAGTTCCATATGCAAACTCACAGTAAAATCTTTCGGCGTCTCTCCGGACGATTCGTTGAAGCTATTATCGTCAGAATCCTCCTCGTCTTCATCTTCTTTTTCATCTTCTTCTTTTTTCGACCGCCGTTTTTTTTTAGGTTTCTTCCCTGTGTCAGAATCAGATTCGTCATCTTCTTCCTCGTCTTCTTCCTCATCCTCTTCCTCTTCTTCGTCTTCTTCCTCTTCCGAATGTTGCCGCTTCTTGGCGACTTCTCTTTGAGGCCTCTTCTTAGCGCCGCTCTGCGTGAAATTAATTATTGCATAATACATTATCATCCGATATTGAAAACGATACGCGAAAGCTGCCTGATTGTGTTTATGACGACTGTGCGTTAAAGCAACGATAATACTTCATTAGGACAAAACGCATCTCGCGTAATTCGTACGGATTTCGAATTTACTTAAATTTATAAGATCAATTATCATTGACGCTTTAAATTTACAGCGTTCAATTATGGATCATTCGGTTCGACATAAAACAGAGACTGTAAAATGCATAAATGGACGGAACACGCATTGCATTCTATTGTCATGCTGTTTTGAAGAATTCATTGGCCGGCGCCACTGACTGACCGGCCGGCGAAGATAATTTGCGGTGGTGGCAGCGGTGGCGACGGTTGTACAGCTACGCGGCGATTAATAAGAGCTGTTTCACATGCATAAATAGTACAAATCAACGGAAAATTTTTTCCCTGAGCCCGTAATCACTGATGATTTTCGTATAACCATAAGTGTGAAACATTTTCAGCAATTTATAAGAATTGAAAGAAATGTACGGTGTGTAGGTATTGCATATCGCACAGCGTGTTTGTCACGACATCGAAGTGGCTGTTTCGCAAACGATTCATATTTTCTCGTGATTCGTACTCGAGTAGATTAATTGAAACACGATTTCTATTCGAAGACAATGAGCCGCGTAATACTGACAGTGAGCAGGGAGCGATTAAGGACGAGCTAGTTGAATAATTGTGTCAAGAATGGGTAAAAGATTTCTTTCCGAACTTTTCTCAAAAGCAATGGATCGAATCGAGATTCTAATTGACAGATCTTTACTAAAAAAATTATGGTGTAGAAATGTTTTGCTCACGTTTGGAACCGAACGAGAAGTTTAATCGGCCAGTGGATAAATACGCCGAGTAAAGGAATAAGGGGGAAAGTGTTGGAAATATGTGAGAATACAGGAAGCAAAAGCGTCAGCGTGGGCTTACCTCTGCTCCGGGCTCAGGAGTCCACTCTTCTTCTGAGGCTCCTTCCATTTCTTCTGGATCGTCCGCGGAATATTCGTCCTCGTCCGACACGTCCTTGGTCTTCTTCATGTTGCTTTTTCGCGAAATGTTTGCAAACTTTCCCGAGGGAACTGACCGAACGAAAGAAACAGTGACGAGACCGCGTACAAATCGACTAACGTTCGGGACTACCGCAAACAATATGGCGGTGTATAGCGGTGGGAATCGGTTATCGCGCATATACTCCTGCGCAACCCGGAAGCGACGTGTACTTTGGCATTTCCTGCACGTTTCTATTGCCGCGAGATGCACCGTATTTCAAACGGGAAAAGTAAAGACTATCAAAACATTAGTGAAATACGTTGAATAATGTTTAACGAAATTCGGTTTTATTCAGGACTTTACCTATCCGTCAACGTGGATAACTTGTTTATCTACTGTCAAAGCAATCGAGTAAAGTTATTGTTGTCAGTGAGTGACGTAATGCGACGTATCGTATTCGCGAGATAATATCTAATTCGTGTGCGAAAACATCGCATTGTCCAATGAATTTTTCTCCAGTTTAATCGTTTCGAGGAAAGTTTGTAGATTTAAACGATGCTTATCCCCGATATCGGGTCGATACAGGAGCTGCCGCATGCGCAAGCGTGTCACGGAACAAGACGCACCGTTTGGTATTTATACGGTTCGAAGAAGGTTTTCGCCAAAATAACGGCAGGTTCACGGAAATAGTTGAACATGTTCGAGCTTTACGGAATGAATAAAGACGGTATGGTTTATCGGTCTCCACCACCGAGAAGAAAAGAAGTGGACATACTAGAGGTAATTGACCGCGAACGTTTCGTTTCTTCGTTAAATAGAAGTCACGGTTACGTTCTCGGTGACTTGACGATTCGCTGTGGTTCAGCCTGTTTGTGTCTGGGTTTGTAAAAGCGACGATCGTTTTTGAAAATTCTGAGGGAAGTTGGGCTATAGATGACCGTAGACTGTGAAATCGAAATGCCAGATTTTCTTTTATAATGAGATAACGATAACGTTACAGACCTGTCTACAGCTATCGTCGCCGGAGTTAATGAGAAAATTGCCTAATGGCGACGCGGTGCATCATGCAAAGGATCCAGGTGTTTCCACTTCCTTGGACAAAGATAAAGGTCCGCCGCGAGAAAACGGTACGTTTTGAATGAATTAACACGGCGTGTAGTCGAATCTGTACAAGGTAGCCGGTAAGTTAACCCTTAGGTCGCGAATGAAGGAACATAAATTGACTGGATTCATGCATACGATACAGGACGAAGTATGCTGCGAAGGTGGATAGTGATGGCAGGTTTCTTCTTTCTCGGATGCGCATTGGTCGCCGGTGTAGGATTACCGTTGGCTTTAGAGCTGCGAAGCTCGCACCTGTTGGAGGCCAGACTTCAAGTGGTGCGACGACTGTTATCTGAGATTCCTCTGGTCGATGGGTAACCGATATTTTTTTTCAAACGAGGTCGTTTCAGAAGGCGAAGGAGCACGGCGTTCTCCGTTCGCGTCGCCAGGAATCATAGTCAATTAACTATTTTCTGTCGATCCTTTCAGGCACAACGATTTCGCATGGAAACTCCGAAAGCATCGAGGAAGCACGAAATTACAAGATTTCCCGTTCGACGAGAACTTGTCGCGAAACGGGAGCTGGGGTCCTCTGTGGCAAACCGATCTGGTGCGATTGCAAGAAGGCATCGTCGGTGGTCAATTTTGGTCCGTATACGTGCCGTGCGAGGCACAGTTCCTTGACGCTGTTCAGCTCACCTTGGAGCAGATAGACGTGGTACGTCGATTAGCGTCAAGGTACCCGAAAAGAATGAGGCTGGTGACAAGCAGCAAGGAGCTGGAGAAAGCGCACAAGGACGGCGTGATCGGAAGTTTGGTAGGGATCGAGGGTGGTCACAGCATCGGCACCTCTATGGCGGTGCTTAGGAGCTTTCACCGACTCGGAGCGAGATACATGAGTTTGACGCACAAATGTAACACTCCGTGGTAAGTTTTGCCGAGCGTTGTTGAGACCGCGGAGAGTAGGAAACGCGCGAGACGATCGTATTGATTTTTGCGATGCTCTCTCAGGGCAGATTCGTGTACGACGGAGGATCCGACTTCGATCGCGTCGATGGACTTCCACAGCGACGGATTGTCGATGTTCGGCAAAGCAGTGGTCAGGGAGCTAAATCGGCTGGGAATGCTGGTGGATTTGTCGTACGTCTCGATAAGAGCGATGCGGGACGCTCTGACGATCACCAAAGCGCCGGTGATATTTTCCCATAGCGCGGCCAGAACTCTCTGTAATTCGTCCAGCAACGTTCCGGACGATGTGCTTGGTAACTTGGTGAGAAAAGTGTCAACGGTGAAACGAACTGTACACAACAACGCGTTCCGATCGATTCCTCTCGATTTCATGCTTTCCTCGTCGTTGGTGCGTTCGCGCGTAACAACGGGGTTGGGGGGAGTTCTTCTCGTTCGATTTCATCGTTGGTCATTTCGGTTTCTCTTTTCAGTCGGTGAATGGTGGTCTGGTTATGGTCAGCTTCGACGGGGCGCACTTAAGCTGCGGCGATAAAGCCTCCATGTACGACGTCATAGGTATGAGAGCCCGGTAACCCGTTAAATTATCGGGTATATGTATACATGTACACTCGTCGAGAAATCTCTTACACGTTGCTAGAAATGGATGAACACACGCGTGTCTATGCGAGAACGACCCGTATATGCTTGCTTTCCAGCTCACATCAATCATATCCGGCGAGTAGCTGGCGTAAACAACGTGGGTCTTGGGGCCGGTTACGACGGTATATTAAGGTTAGTAAGTTAACATTAACCTTTAGACAGCCGGAATTGTTTCATTGAAAAAAAGTGATCTTTTATGGCCAAAAATCTATGTATATGTGTACATATGTATAACATGTGCACTGTTGGAATTTCAAGTTTCGTTAATAATGCTTCCAAACGTGATACTCCCGGCAGCCTAAAAGTTAAACGTTCCAGCTACTATAATATATTCGAACAACTGTCTTGTCTCGATCGACGATAATAACACGCTACTCCACCCGTTGCGCTTCACGTTTATAGTCCGCCGGTCGAACTACCGGACGTTTCCGGTTATCCCCTGTTGTTGGCCGAATTAACGCGGGACCGAAGGTGGTCTGCTTCGGATATCAAGAAGTTGGTCGGCGGGAATCTGTTGAGGGTGTTCAGAGAGGTGGAGAGTTATGCGGCCACGGTAACGCATCAAACACCATCCGAAGAACTGATTCCCCAAGATCTCATCAAGGAGTCTGCCTACTGTAGGTACCACGACGCGTGAATCCGAGATCGCGACAACACTCCGCTCGAAGAATCTCACCAACTTTGTACACCACGTTTCATCTTTGTACCTGGATTACTCTGTTTTACATTTTTAATAACTAATAAAGTTAGTCGGGAATTCTGCGCCACGACTCTTTATCTGGTTTGTTCTCGTTCCGAATCGAGACGAAAGTGAACAACACCGCAATCGTAGCGTGAACGGGAACGAAAACGGTTCCGCGCAAGATTGCTCTCTTACGACCAAAAGGGATCTTCTAGCCTTTCGAGTTCAAGAGGCAATTTACCTTGTCATCGACGGAGCTGTCCTCGACGCGTGTTGGCCGTCTACGCAGAATCTATGTCGAAGCAATTATTTAATTTCATATCTATTTCAGAGCGGTTAACGAGTGCTGACGACTCAAGACACGATTGTGTTCTGTCTGATTTACTTGTCGAAACGTATACATTTCAGAAATTTCGCGCGAGTATGCCTACCGACTGTCGAAATTCTGTCACGATTATCCGGTTACGATCGTCGTTAGGACCGGTGTGATTTTAAACGAATCGTTTTCGTATTTTAGCTCGAAGCTTTGTTTCGGCTCGTATGACCGTGAAATCGTGGAACAAGGTGTATCTGCGAATGGTTTTGACTCATTGACGGCGGCCGTCACGACGTCAGTCGTTCCAAGGTAGGATAAGGATACTTTACATTCTTCTCAAAGTCTCGTAACCGCAATGGCTACAGTGAACAGCGGGTCCTCATTTACAATCTGACCCCCCCCCCCTCCCCCCATGGAATATACATATGTATGTACTGTACTTACACCATCTAACGTTCGTCACACGACAGAACATTATCGATAATCCGGTATTTCTTTTCGAATCATCGACAGCGATGAAGTTTACGAGGAGAATCGCGGGATTCGGAGAAAATGTATTCCGTTATCGTTCTTAATTTCCCAATGACAATCGTAGAAGAATACTGTCCTGAGAAACGCGCGTAAGGCGTTCTCGGAATTCGCGTATCGAGTATCGAAAATTCCGAAACAAAAACTTGAGTCTTTTGCCGGGCCAAAGAGACGGCAAAGAGCAATGAGGAGCGTTCGCGCGTTGGTGAGCGGCGCGCGGAGGCAGGGGTGTAAGAAAGAACGAAGGCGGGGGCGCGACCTCGTCTTCGCGCGATAAAGCGAATCGAATCTTTCTCGTGGAGCGGAGAGCGTGCCCGACGAAAAGAAATTTGTCTCATCCGCGACGTTCAGCTAAATAATAAATAGCACGTAACCGAACCGGTGGATCGAATCAAAGAGGACAGAAGCCCGAGATGAAACACCAACAACACGTTCCCTGTTCGCCGCGTTGCGTCGCGTCGTCACGGCGAATGACAACTGGCCGGCCAAATGAAACACGAGTTCCCCGAACGTTGACGAGCACCAGCGATACTCGACGATCTTGCCAGGACCGTGTACGTAAGTACGTACACACGACTTTTCGAACAACGAACGGAAGAAACGTCGAAGAGAACTGTCCGACCGTCGGACTCCGACGACGACCAAGCGGAGGGAGCACGTTCGGCGCTGGATGGCGGCGGGATGGCATCGCGCGGCGCGGAAGTGGTAGGGGATTCAAAGATTATCCTCTCCGGTTCACGAGCCCAAAGATCAGTTTAGTTTACTATCGGTTCCGCGTCGTACATCCTTCTTCGAATTTTGAAAAACACACACACACATACGGAAACAGGAGAAAACCGCGGAAAGATGCGGTAAATAAGGTTGAATCAGTGGAAAAAGAAGGTAAGAAGACAGCACGGCGGTTTATAATCCATCTTGTCGTTAGAATTGGGGGGGTGGGGGGAGAGGAGACGAGAGATTGACAGAAAGATCGAATTGGCGCGAACTTGAGACGAACCGTCGCGCCCGTCCTGTCGTTGTCCCGTAAACTTCGTCGAACAAGGAGAACTCCTCGACTATGGAAACATGAAGTTCAGTACGATGGAACGAAACGCGTTTTTTTAACGAATTCAATGACGTGAATTTCAATAACGTCGTTTTAGTCGGAACGACGACGCGTTTCGCGACGGGATAATCGTTTCTACGTGTATTCATTTCGTCCGGTTGAAGTTGAAACAAGCGGTCGACGAGTACGAGACAGTATTGGGGAAGAAACGGTCCAGCAAACAGACGAACGTGCATCTGAATATCCGTGGGCCACGTGTTTCTTGTGCATAGCCGACCGGAGTTGCGGTTGATCCGCTTCGCAGCGCGTAGGTACACGTTCGCGAGAAATTTGACCATCCCGTCGAAACCAAGAGATCTCGTAAAAATAGCCGCGGTGGCTGCTGCTGCTTACCACGTACGTATTTTTTCCTTTTTCTTCGCCGCGACAAAAATATACGGTTCGGATGAAGTTTAGGCGCGTCCCGTCCATCACTGTTCCTCTAAGCGAAGAGCGAACCGCGAGTCCTCGATTAGACCACACCAGCGAATAAGAAAACTAGACCGCGGTATCGTTCTAGGCGTCGAAAGAATCGCGTTCGATAACCGATGAGACGAGGACGCGCGCGTTCGATCGATAGATTCTCTACGATCATCGTGAAATCGTTAATTTTCCATTTCGGGATGATGTCTCTCGATTCTCGTTAAAAGGGCTTTCGGGATGCGACAGTAACGCTGATAACGGAAACTTTGTTCCAGACCGACTGACGGCAGCCGTGGAAAGGAAAATAGAGAGGAAGCGAGAGGATGAGATACAAGGTGAGAGAGGATTCGTTGACGTATTTTTCATTCGCGCGTTTACGAATACCAGCATTATAGTGTGGCCTCGCCGCATCACGGGGAACAAGGAATAATCGTAATCAGTCCCCTCTACACTCATAACTCTGCGTCGTCGTCGTCGTCGTTGGGCTTTCTTTCTTCCTTGGTTCGTCGTCTCCGGAGGCACCGATTTGCATAATATATGAGCCCGTATAAACGCTCGACGACGATCTAGACGCCTCCGTTTCTGCTTCGCGATCGTGATTTTTCATTTCTTATCTTATTGGTCTACAAACTTTTTTCCAGTCCTTGCACGAGTTTCGCACGGTGAGCAAGAAAACACGTGTACCACAGAGAAAAAGTGGTGGTCACGCGCGCGCACCGATGAATAGAGAACCACCGATCACGTTCATGGTCAATACCGATGCATTCCTTTTCGAGCTCGCAACTTAACTAGACACCGATAGACACACGGACGCATATGTATAATTTCATACTAGAACAAAAGGTGCTTCTACCGGAACTTATATTGGCTCTTAATTTATTATACTTTTCATGTTATACTCTATTGTCTGATATCGGATTATATATTATACAATTCAGTTTAACGTACATTCAACACCGGTAGTTCTAGTGTTAATCTTGCACGTACCTGCTACATATGTAGGTACATCTATTCGTTCGTCGAAAAGGAAAGGCGAGGTATCGCGCTAACGGATGATGATGATTGTCATCTTTGTCGAGGGTTTGTCAGCGATGACACTTTCGTTGTATAACTGGTTGGAGCACACTGTCGAGTAGTGTGTATATATATGTATAGACATTGTTTTATTGCATACGATATAGGTATCGACTGGTACGAAGAGACGAGTATCAGTCGTCGCCCATCGTGAACCGACTGCAATCGACGTCTGTACATCTATAATAACAGATGATTTTACGGTTACGAATTGCGTAGCGTAATCTCATCGTTCACTCCTCCCGATCACCTTCACCGACACATGTATCGCCTCCTCGCTGTTCCTATTAGCGAAGAGAATAACTCGTGGGATCCTGTCCGATGCGATACCCGTCACACCGTAAGACAAAAGCACAACGTTCGAATTATGCATCGATTTTCTTCTTGTTCCGAATAGACGGGTACACGCGGTACACGTGGTTTCGTAAGACCGGCAGCTTCCCCGTAATCTAGATCTCTCGCAGGCCAAACAGCCTCGAAAATATAGGTATATACAACCATTTTGCGATTCGCGAGTACATAACTCTTCTTCGAAATAGAGAATCGATAGCGGAGAATATTGTGGGCACAAGAAGAAGTGTGATACCGACGCGAGGTATACACAGTAATACAAACGCATCTGGGGCAAGGTGAAAAAATGATCGATCACATAACGAGAAGAGACTATGTATTTAATTGGATCGTATCGATCGCGTTTAGGGTTCGCCATTGCTCGTCGATCAGACGGACAGAGAGAGAGAGAGAGAGAGAGAGAGAGAGAGAGAGAGAGAGATTATGCAGAGAGGGTACAAAAGGTGGTAACATTTCCGTCGCTTTCCTGTTTCGCCAGGTGAACGATCCAGAGGGTCATGAAAGGGACGCGCAACACGTCGAAACGTTTGGGAACTCGATGGTTTCGTGGTAATTAAGCAACATTTTCTGATCATTCACGAACCTCCCGTTACAGACGGTTCTCTTCCGTTTGATTCGGATATAGGCAGCGCGAAACGAGGGACGAGAAAGAGTCGAGCCGAAAGGAGAAAACGAGATTGGTGATGATCGTTGGCTTGTTAATGTTAACCGTGATTGCGTTGGTGGTAACGCTAACCTTGCAGATAGCGGTTTTCCGCAAAGAAGAATACAAAGGGATGTGCCAGAGCGATGAATGCGTCAAGACAGGTACCGTACCGCACCGTACCGTACCAAAGCCGTCGCACAGTCTTCCTTCCTTCCTTCCTTCCTTGTTTTCTTCGTTTTTTTCCCGTCGACTGACCAACTTCGAACCAGCATTTACGTAACCATTCGTCTCTATGCTTTCGCAATCACGAATACATCTATCGACGCCGCACAATTTCCGTTCGTCGTTTCAGCCGCTAGAATAATAGAGGCGATGAACCGATCGGTAGATCCCTGTCGAGACTTTTACGAATTCGCTTGTGGTGGCTGGATCTCGAAGAATCCGATACCGCAGAGCCAAACCTCTTGGGATCAATTGAGCCTTCTCAGGGAACAGTTGCTCAAGAATCTGAGGGTCCTGCTCGAGGAACCGGACAAACCGAACGATCCGAGATCGGTGAAACTGGCCAGAGATTTGTACAAAACTTGCATGGACACTGGTAAGTAAAATATCATAAATGTACGGATATAGCGATCACGCGCAAAAATACTTGTATCCTATTCAATGGGTATTTTCAGCGAGCGTCGAAGCCTTGGGACTGAAACCGATCCACGACACACTGGCCAAGCTCGGTCTGCCGAAGGATCCACCGTCCCGTACAGACAACTGGGACGATCTCGAGATTTCGCGGATCGCTGGAACGGCTCAGAGGCTACTGGGCTTGGATCTGTTTGTGAACTTTTACGTGAGCGAAGACGTTCGGGATACTACGAGAAACCGAATGATGGTAAGCCATCTATCTACCAAGGGGGTATTGTCTGTCTCTTCGGTCCACGAACGATTCTCTACGATCGCCATCGTGACTTTCAGATGGAACAATCGTCCCCGGGATTCAGCGAGCGTTATTTACTCGAACCTCAACGGTTTAGCGCGGAATTAAACGAATACAAAAAGTACGTCAGAGCTATGGTCGAGCTAGCTGGTGCCGGAAATCGGAGCGTTTCCTTTGCCAATGAAATTTTACATTTTAGTACGAAAGTCGCCAAGGTACGTGCATACAGTCCACCGCCGTAAGTACCTATACATGTACATACATATTTGCCTTTGGTCGTTTTTCGCACAGTCATTCCGTGTACAGATCATGGCGACATCGGAACAAAGACGGAGCGCAAGTTATCTGTTCCACGACCTAACTATCGAAGAATTGCAACAATTCACGGATCTGCACGCGCAACAGGTGATCGACTGTTTGATCGTAAAGCACACAGCCTTTCGAGCGATACATTATTACTTTGTAAACGATAACAAAGTATGTATCTGTTTCTCGGGTCGCGTCAGTGGAACTGGACGGAATACGTGCAGGCTGTTTTCGATGATACGAACGCGACGATAAACACCGGAACTGATCGCGCGATCGTGATAGATCTACGGTATCTGCAGAAATTGCCCGAACTGTTGGCGATCACACCGCCCTACACTATAGGTATACATATTGTACATTCCCGTCGTTGTCACTGCGCGTGTCTTCGCCGTTACGTGTCCCGCGATAGAATAAATTTCTCCCCGAGAGAAAAAGAAAAGTAAACAAAAAAAAACTCGAAACGCGACGGTGTTTCAGCACGTTTCCTCTGGTGGAGCATTTACTCGACGGTCGCTCCGTTGACGTTACAACGATTCCGTGACCTGGGATTCGAATTCTCGCAAAAAGTGTTCGGGCTGAAAGAGAAGCGACCTAGATGGAAGGATTGCACCGGAAACGCGAACGCGAACTTCGGTATGGCGCTCAGTTACGTGTACGCGGAGAAGCATTTCAACGAGCGGTCACGGGAAAAGGTCTGCTGGTTTTACCTTTTTTTTTTTTTTAGAGCCTCCATCACCTTGAACCGATCACGTTTTTTTTCAGGCTTTGGAGATGTTGCTCGACGTGAAGGACGCATTCGACGAGATGCTCGGAGAACTGGACTGGATGGACGTCGCTACGAGAACTCGAGCACACGACAAGTTGCGCGCGATCAGACCGTTCGTAGGGATTCCGGAATGGATCACCGATTCGGACAAACTGGACAAATATTACGAAGGGGTGAGCGCTACACGTTTGGTGAATCATGGAGAATCCGAGTTTATGGATCAGAAAACACATTACAATTGTACATGATATACATACACGTATACATATGTATACAGACGGAGATTGTGCCGGGAAGATTGTTCGAGACGTTTTTGAAGCTGACCGACGCAGGGATCAAGAAAAGTTTGAACGGTTTGCGTAAGAAGCCGGACAAAGATCGGTGGATATCGACGGGTACGGCGGTAAACGCGTTCTATAGCGCGATATTAAACTCTGTGAGTAAGTATCCAAAGTCACGATCCGGTGTCGATGTCCTTGTGTTTCTCTTGTTTGCTCTCGCTCGATCTTACACACATACTATATATTACGGTACGCTTCCCTCGTCTTGCAGCTTTCCCGGCCGGCATTTTGAATCCTCCATTTTATGGAAACGGCCTAGAGTACGTACCAATAGATATACCCTAACGCAAACACTTTCGTTTTTTTATTCTTTTCGCTCCGGTGCCTGCCTTTTAATGTTCTACGCGTCCTGCAGGTCCATCAATTACGGGGCCATGGGCGCGATCATGGGTCACGAGCTCACTCACGGATTCGACAACCAAGGTATCCGCCACCGTTCCTAAATCGACACTTTCCTGCCATCGACGTTATTCCACTCGTAGAAAGTAGAAAAAACAATTAACGTACCATTACACTGACCACTACTACTACTACTACTACTACTACTACTACTACTACTACTACTACTACTACTACTACTAATTAGTAACATAGCCAGCCTGTCGATTGCACAATCTTTTCTTTGCGCCGTTAAGGCCGTAGATACGACGAAACCGGGAATCTCAAGCAGTGGTGGAGCGAGGAAACGTTGCAACATTATCAGAAGAAAGTTGAGTGCATAATTAAACAATACAATGACTATCGGGTACCAGAGCTGGACAACAATTTCACGGTAAGTATTATCCTTGCGGGGTCGCTAGACAAGAAGATTTGTGCCAAGGTGTATACAATCCGGATGCAATTCGGACGGGCTCCACTAATAACGAGTCTGTTCTTTTGTTTTCGTCATTCAGGTAAACGGCGTCAACACCCAGGGAGAGAACATAGCCGACAACGGTGGTATACGGGAGGCTTACAGGGCCTATCGGAAACTCGAAACACGATCCCCGATTGTCCGACAAGCTCTGCCCGGACTCGCCAAATACACACGGAATCAGCTGTTTTTCTTGGGTTTCGCACAAGTAAGACTTTCTATAATAACTATCAGCCAACAAATTATACGACAATTTTTGCTTTTCCCTTCCATCTTTATTTCTCTGACACTTCATTCGCAACTTTTTGCACCATTCGGAAATCATACAAACTGACCCCACCAATCTACATATACCATACACGTATATATCTGTACTTCACAGGTCTGGTGCGGTAATTACACAAATGGGGCTCTAAAATCGAAACTGATAGAAGGGGTTCACGCACCGAATCACTTCAGAGTTATCGGGACGCTGTCAAACAATGCGGATTTTGCGAAAGCGTGGAATTGTCCAGTCGGAAGTCTCATGAACCCACCTGATAAGTGTATTTTCTGGTGAACGATGATCAAACCAATTGTATCGTCTAATCAAACATCACAGTGTAGTTATTCAAAGTTTCGCATTGTTTCGCCTACGCATGCATTACAATATTGGGGAATACGTACCCGCGATATACTTACGTCAAGTGTAACGAGATTCGGTCAGACTGATTCGTAGGAACTAACGTGAACTTAACATACTGTTTGACCATATTTGTAAATATTATACAAAATGTGAATAAAAATTTTTTAACCGGTTCATCTTCCTCGACGTCTAATACCGTTTCATTGCTTAATCTTCTTCTTCTTCTTCTTCTTCTTCTTGGGAATTGTTCCAACCATCGTCGATTCTATCGTCGTTGTCTTTCTCCTCTTTTGTGGAAATACTTCCTCGTCGTTATCTTTCGATCGTATCGATTTCTTTTTTAACCTCTTAACAGTTACGTTATCCACTTTGAAATTACCGTCCCCATTTAATGCTTTTGCTCCTTTTGAAGATGGTTTATCGGTTTTCCTTTTCTTTTTCTCGACAATGATCTCCTGTTCATTTTCGATCATCCAATTTGCTGATTTTTTCTTTTTCTTCGGAACGTTCATGATTATACAGCACTCCTCCTCCTCCTCCTCCTCCTCCTCCTCCTCCTCTCCTTCCTCTCTTACTTTTTTCTTTAAAGTCGATACCTTTCTTTTCTTATCGCATAAACTCGGAACATCCTCTTTTCCCGTACTTCTTCTCTTCTTCTTTTTCTTTTCCATCAATCCCATTCGAGGAACTGTAACCGACGTTACATCCCAATCCCCTTCCTTTTCTATAACGACCTCCTGGCGTAACCGAAATTTTATCCGTTTAGCCTGCTCTTGCTCGTCTTCCAATTTAACTTCATTGTACCATATGATATTGTTGCACGGCATTGCGAGAGTCAGGCAGGTAATTCTAGCGCCACAATTCACGCTCTGCAACATGTCCAATCTATTTTTGCTGTATCTCCAAAGTTTTATCTCACCAGAACTCGAAGCAGTTACCAATAAGTTGTCCTTAAAAGCCATACATTTTACTCTAATGTCATGAGCCAACGCTTCCACAGTTTGTTCTGACTTCTCGAGATCGTAAAATCTAATCTGACCGTTTTCTAAACCGACAGCGATTAAATTGTCCCTCAAGAATTCTACGCAAACGATTTTTACATCCAATTTAATCTCGCTGTCGATTCCAGCCAATTCTACCGAATATATGTCTATTCGTTGATTTACAGCGAGCAAATACTTTTCACCGTTCGGACTCCATTTCAGAACAGTTACGTTTCGTGCGTCCAATTTTAATCGCGGTGTCAAGTTGGTCGCGTACGCCTGTCTTCCTTTCACTAAATTCCAAGTTCGAAGAATTCCGTCAGCTCCTGTAGATAAAGCGATTTTTCCGGTAGGATGGATTGCCATGGTATTAACCGCTAAACCTTTGTGTGGTTTCTTCCAATGTTTGTCAATTTGCCAGTTACCACATCGAATCGCAACTATACTGCCGTCGTTGCTGCATGTAAACATATGAGACGCTTCCGGAGTAAACGCGATGCAGTTCACTGTATCTACATGAACAAAAAAAGAGTAAGAGAAACTATCTTACAAAGAAACTTACTGTCTTTGCTTACCGTTATGGTGTACCAATTTGCCAGATTCGAGTCTGTAACGCATATTGTATAAACAAACAGAGTCGTCTGCACCTCCGGACGTTAAATAATGTTTATTAGTTGCAATGCTCCGCACACTAGCCACATGACTGTGCGTCGCAAATGTTCTTTCCATTTTGTATTCCTGAAAATTTATCGATTAATTAATAAATAAAAACATTAACATACTAGCGAAACGCACACCGGCAGCGAAAGGGTTCAAAATTGCGCCTTAAGAAAACAAAATATAACCTGCGAAATTATAAGAGTGAGATAAATCTGCACTTACATTGACGATACTGTTCACTTTATAACCGAGCACGTATTGCTCATACGTTCCTACAACTATTTCAAACGGATCCGGCATCTTTAAATCTAAATACACAATTTTACAGAAACTTTTCAGTCACCATGCAGAACATAAATTCGTCTGCACGTGCACACCACAAAAACTACTGCAAGTGTGAAGCGTACCGCAGCTATATGCAGAGCCCAACACAGAAACGAAAGTTGTGGTCCTAAGTACAGTCATAGATAAGTAATATGGCTGTGGTACTACGCCACGTAAATCTCAATCATTCACCATAAACGAAATACATAGATATAGGTCTCATCCATGGATCTGACTCATTATCTAGTGACAAGAGTGTAATACTAAATACTACTTGACTAGTATAAGTATAGTTCAGTCGTTTTACCCTAGTGCCGGTAGATGCCGTCAGCACTTCAATGCAAAACAAATTAATTATTAATTATTTTACCCAAACATATCTTAAAACTAATCAACAATCAGCTGTCACTAGTTGAGTCTAACGACAGGTTCCTAAAATAATATCCATGTATGTAATGATTTGTACACCTACGAGCAAACTCGGCTTCCGCTAGGGGAAAAAGTGACGTAGGTGATGGGCCTCCAGTATCTGGAATAAATTTACCAAGTGATAGGAGATTTTTAATCTACGCCGTTTTTTCCCCTAGTGGAAATATATACGTATATACGTATGTATATATATATATATATTAGACGAATATCCTATATATATATGTATATATATATTTCCTGTAGTACAAGTTTTTTAAATCTCACTTATCGTTACATATATAAAATAAGATATTGCATAAAACTATCATAATCAAAAGTTATTAATGCACACATTATTGATTCGACACTTGGTAAACAATCCAATAACACTTCATAATACATTCAATCAATTTATTGGCGCATGGTGAGAGTGATGTTTCAGAGTTTGTCCAAGTTTATTGACACGGATTGAGAAATTACTGTTTTTCGTGCACGTGTCATTACTTCGATTTTGCTTCGATTGACTTCGATTAACATTATTTTCAATTTAAACTTTTCGTACTAAAATTTCTTATTTCAATGCTCTAAACTCGAAGCTACTAAAGCATTCTATGATAGATCATGATAGATATACATACATAGATATATGTAATACGGTATGGTGAAATGTCGTTTCTAATACGAGAGCTCTATTCACGTTGTCTAACCCCATTTCTTCAATCTTCGAAAATCAGTCAAAATTTATTTAGGAAATATTCTCTACCGAGGCTGATTCTAAATATGAATGAAGCAGTTTTCAGATACGATGAAGGTAGTGACAAGTTTGAAGTGATGCTTCGTTACGTTAACACTGATTTAAATGTTGACAGACAATTCAATTTCAATAGAAACGTGAACGAACCAATAAATCATTTTCTTCGGAGATTAGAAAGCAATATACAAAGTTTAACGATAAAGAAGCTTAAAAGAAAGAACAAAGGAAAAAGTATTAATACAGACACGATGGACAACTTGTTGAATAATGTCGAAAATAAAAGGATCAAGTTTGTAAAAGACAATTCTATCCTCGATGGAAATCTTACTTGTAAGGCAATCCTAGAGGATTTGTCGAATGTGAAATTAATCATTTTCGACACAGAATATAAGTTGATACAGAACACACCAATTGTTACTAATATAAAATTGCCATTGTGTATTTTGGTTGGTTTTCTTACTTATCCCTCAAAATTTGTAACAATGCACGTTGATAAAACAATATCAGCTTTTGACTGGTATAAAATGGAAACAAATAAATGGATTCACGTTGGAGAAGGCTATTTTTATATACCTACCGCCTCTGATGTAGGATGTAAATTAAAACTAAAATGTGTACCAAGAAAAGGTGATCAGACTGGACCAGCAATAGAAATTATATCTAATGGTAAAGTAGAAGCTGGACCAGGAGTTTGTCCTTTTGAAATTAGACATTGTTTTACCAAAACGAAATTGTCAGGTAAAAGGTAAACGTTTTGGAAATAAGTTATCATTACAACCATATTTGGCCTCAGGTAAACATTTGTAATTTGTTTTAATTATAGCTTTAGGGTAACGTCCTATAATATTTTGGCAAATGTGTATTCATTAACTGATGTATCTAAGGATGTATTGTATCCATACTGTCCAGAGTATGCCTTATCTATGGATTACAGAAAACTGCTGATTCTCAAAGAATTAAGAGGTACATTTTCATTAATAGAAAATATTTCACCTTTATTGGGAAAACGAATATATTATTTAAATAACTATAATAAATTATTACAGGATACAATGCAGATATTATATGTCTGCAGGAAGTTGAAAATAAAGTTTTTGAAAATGATCTATTACCAGCTTTGTCTATATTGAACTACAGTGGCATATGTAATCTTAAAAATGATCTGCAAGAAGGACTTGCAGTTTTTTATAATCAGGATAGATTTGACCAATTGAATTGCAGTTATAGCATTCTTTCTCAAGGCACAGATTTAAGTGAATTCAATATTACTTGGTTACAGATAGAAAATGAAAACGTGAAACAGGCTTTTCTAAATAGAAATACAGTTATACAGGTATTTGAAAATAATTTTTAATTGATCCATTCTGTATATTATACGTATACATGAATCATATTGCAGGCAATAGCACTACGATCCAAAGAAAACTCAGAAATCTTAGTTGTTGGGAATACGCATTTATTTTTTCGTTCAGATGCGGACCATATACGATTGCTGCAGGCATATTATGGGTTAATGTATTTACAGAAATTTTCCCGAGAAATAAAGAAAGAAGTAAGTGCATTCACAAAATATTCAAATACAAATGTACACAATTATAATATATTTTGAAGGATTAAATATACTTTCAGAATCTTGAATGCAACGTTAGCATCGTGTACTGTGGAGATTTTAACAGCGCGCCATACAATGGTATTTATCAATTAATGACTCAAAAATATATACCAGAAGACTATGCTGATTGGAAATCTAGTAAGTTAATTTTTGCAACAGTATAGAGATATACACAGATGATACATACATGAGAGTTTGTTCAAATGCTTTTTCATAATTTTATTACAGGTCCCAATGAACACATAAAAAACGTTACCTTGCAGCACAATATTAGTTTCTCTAGTGCTTGTGGTACTCCAGAATACACAAATTACACAGCAAACTTTTCTGGATGCTTGGATTATATATTTTATCAAAACGATTACTTAGAAGTTGAACAAGTTATTCCAATGCCAAGTAAAGAAGAGCTTAGTTTACACACAGGCCTTCCATCTGTTGTATTTCCAAGCGATCATATTTCTTTGTGCGCCGATTTAAAATGGTTAAAATAAAAATCAACACCTTTTTGAAACATGTTTTTCAAGTTTATTTAACATTTATACTTGACCATTTTTGTAGTCAATAAAAAGAATTTAGCAACTTTTCGGGAATTCTATGGTTCCTGAAGGTCTTGTCGAGGAATCTAGGAATATTTACCAATATCTATAAAGCGATAATGTATCTTCTAATTTATTACTAAATTGTACATTGTCTCATACGAGTTTTTTTGTTTAATCATTTATGTGGTGTACATATATATCGCACTCGCACTTCTCCTGCTTTTTTTGTTATCGAAATGTGCAATCGGACGCCAACGTAGACTCACTGAATACAGCATTAAGCTTCTCTACCCGTACAAGTTAAACGTTTTATGAAAGCCAGTTATTATGTTTTTTGATATTCGAATGATTGAACCGAGGAATCAGAAACCAAATTAGTTTTCTCAGTTACATGAAAAATTGGGAATATACGAAGCTACAGTACTGTAAAAGTATAGTGCCAAATAGTGCGTTGCTCAACCCATGTCGACGTGGCATTAGAAGAAGTGCGACCGCGCTCTGCTCGTCACTTTCTGCGTTCATTCTCGTGACCACTCTTGGAACTCGCACAATTACATAATAATAAAAATAATAATAATAATAACTCTGTAGAATTTTGTATAAAATGTACACAATATGTTTATCTGCCAGTGTTGTTAAAATAGTATTTATAGTCTAAGTCAAATACATACAGCGAATGGTTAAAAAATAATCTTTGTATTCTATTCTATATTAAGAAATGAAAATCTTACGCACGCTACAATCACTCAAATTATCACGTATACGAATGAACAAATGTTGGTGTTCGCGCAGTTACATTTGTATACTAGAAGAGGATTTTCACATCCACATTTTGTTTATCACATTAATTTTACTGTGTAATTTATCGAAGTGTACACCCACGTTTCAGTGTAATACGAAGTTACATCGGCATTTGTATCTATGAGTGACTGGACATAAATATCATTAACATGACGTGAATGTCAATTTACAAAACATTTTGTATAGATTTTTCGCTAATAGAGACCTGCAGGACTAATGACAGACTGTTAAATGTAATATTACCATCTAAAATATTGCCCTATCTACGCCCTGTATAAGTATAATACATACAGTATTAACAGTTTGTAGACGAAACAAACTTCTTGTATAGCTTGTGAACGTTTCATTAGGAATCTATAGCTAAATACAATCAATATAAATTTATATGCACCTTTTCTTAGCACGAATGTTTAAGTTCAAAATCTGTATTTCTTCTGTGCCATTCAAAATGTTTGTAGAGAATGTTTTTTTCTAACTGGGAAGTTCGATAATTTCAGAGGACTAATTCAAGAACCCTATTAATACAAGGCCATTATATATTCTATATATAATTACATAAAAAGAATGTACAGAAACAGCACGGGTAATAATTAGTGCCCTAAGTATTAGCGTTGCGCCAATTAGTAGAAAGAATGTACTTCATCGTTATCAACATTATTTAAAATGTTCATCACTATCATTATTATTGCCTTATTCATATGAAAGGAAATTGTATTTATACTATTTTTTGCCTGCAGGTCCCTCGAGCTCTTTCAAGCATTCTTTTTTATCATGTAACATATGTACCTATACCTTTCGTAAACAAATAGCTCTGCAAATTTTGATGTAATCACGATAGATTTTTACATAAAACTTCACATTATACGCTTTGTACATGTAATAATGATGTTTACTACTCTGTTGCTAGTTATTTTCGTTTAAACAGATTCGGCGTACCGTGTAGTGTACATTATAATAAACCGGTTTTGAAAGTGTAATAACACGTGGATACACACGCTTTATACTTTGAAATCATTATACGTATTGTATAAATAAATTACTATTTTTAAGAACGAACTCTATGTTCATATATTGAATGCAACATCTAATACGTGTACGAAGAACAACGTTTTTGCATTAATTGTGTATTAATTGGTCAAGATTACTAACATTAGAGTGTGTGTGTGTGTGTGTGTGTGCTTCGTAAGATGCAAGTGTTTTTGCAAGACACATTGCAAAATATTTATCAAGTTTCCGTTGAAAACAAAACGAAGAACACTTGCATTTCTGAAGGAACGACTGGCCACGCGTATACGCGACCTCATTCTTATATGGTTCTGTTACATTGATATTCAAACCATATTATTATAGTAACAAAACCTCCCTCTTTTTACGTTAATATCGACAAGAAAAGATTTAATACTATAGGAATTTACAGGTTCGTACGCCGTCTTTTGATATTTAAGATCACATTCCTCTTCGTGGCGCGCTTGGGACTAACAATTGTAAGGCGGTCATCGCGTCCGGAAATAATGAATGATAATTTACAACTGGTACATACGCGGCAGTAATCACGCGACCCGCGAACCATCGACCGTGTAACGAGTTAACAGCAGCGACCGCCGTCGCAATTGACGGACACTTGACGTAAACATTACCCTGAGGAGATGCTTGGTCCACATACACGTGCAACACACCTCCATGCTTGTTGCATTCTTCGATAACATCGTCGCGAATTTCTTTCGCCCAGTTCGGATTTGTTTCGCTGAAAAAAAAATTACAGTACCACTTTCTTAGTTTGTTTGTGTTTAGTTTTTCTACGCTAACGTACTTTACAACAAATTGGTTAAAATAGTGTGTCAAGTTATCGATAATTGACATACACACATACAACGGTACGCATGACATTATTGTGTTTTAAGATAACTTATTTCATATAGCATATATGTTCCTCCAATGAAAGGACAGGAAAGACAAACACTGGGTCTACAGATATGCACTTATGCGCTGTAGTAATTAAATGTGATGACTTACTTTTGCGGATCGAACATATTCGATAACATAAAGCATTGCGTGGCTATAGGGGGGGCCGCTTGCGGTGGTGGCTGTGGCGTAGACATAACTGGTGCCATATTCAAAGCATTCGCTGCTGCGGGAGGGATTTCAAGACCAGTCCCTTCTGCTAATTTGAACATTAACTGTAACCTAAAAATATAATTAATAAAACAGATTAAATGGATATAATTTGAAGAATATTTCGTCCGATAAAAGTATTTCCTTTACCTTCCAGTAGCACCCAAGTCAATACCACTTCTATCTAGTTCGTCGGTATCTAGAAGCGAAGGTCCTTGTATTAAGTCTGTACGTTCTGTAACATTACCGACTTTCATGGGTCTACCAGCAAGTTCAAACCCGTTCAATTGTTCCAACGCTTTCTTCGCATCGTCAGCATTTCGAAACTATAAACGGACAAACGTGAAATTAGACGGAATACGCATACGCATACAACTGATTTATAATTTCAACACGTACTGTTAAGAATCCATAGCCTTTGCTCCGGCCGGTTTCAGGGTCCATAATTAACTGAATATTGTCAATTTTTCCGAAAGGTTCAAAAATGCCACGAAGCATGTCTTCGGTAATGTTAAAGTGAAGAGATCCAACGTACAATCTCATAGGCCCTGTCTGACCCTTTGGCATAAGATTAGGCATAGAATTGCCCATACGGTTTTTTTCGGCTTGAGTGTGTTGTACCACTATAGGAACACCAAGAAGTTTTTGTCCAGACAATCCAAGAGCCTAGAAAAGTAATAAAATGATATGGTAGCCTATAATGATCTCAACGCCCGTACATTATTTCTGTTAACTTACTAGTGTAACACTTTCAGGATCCTTGAATTCAACGTAAGCTATACCCTTAAATCTCCTTGTCTTGTTGCACGTAATGAGCCGTACATCTTGAACTTTGCCAACGCTGGAGAAGAACTCTTCTAAATCCCGTGCACGGATGCGCTGACTTAACTGCATGCAAAATACTGTCCGAGCATCCCGTTCTTCTGGCGTTAACTCATCATTTCTACTGAAATATGTATAAAAATACGATATTAAAAATTTGAAGAATCGATAGAAATAGTTTTCAATCGTTCAATTACCCCTAAAAAACTGTATACTTACATTCCAAGGGGGCTGACACCTTTTCCAAATGGTGGCCTTGCTCTGGGAAGTGTTATTGGTGTAAGCGATCGTTTTCTTCTTCTATCTCGATCCCGGTCTCTGTCTCGTCGTTCCCTATCCCTGTCGCCATCTCGGTTCTCTCTGTCACGATCTCTTCGATCTCTTGATCTTGATCTGCGTCGACGATCACGATCCCGATCGCGATCTCTGTCCCTGTCACGATCCCTGTCTCTATCTCTATCGCGATCGCGACGATCCTTTTCCCTACGGTCTCGCGATCGAGAACGGGAACGAGAACGATGTTTACTTTTCCTAAAAATGAAAAATCAGAAAAGAACATTTTCAACTAAATAAAGCTCTATTTAGTTCATGAAATACAACGCATATGAAATTGAACAGTAAATAAATTTCGTTAGTCGATTCAAATTTCGTTTGCACAGGATAACTTTGACGTTATAAATAAATCGTTAAAGAAATAAATACATAAACTTACAATTCCGAACCCTTAGAGGTAAAAACACTTTAGTTAAATTACAATTTTGTAACAATAAGAACCGTTTAAGCATGGAAAATTGCTTATCCCATTCCAATCCCATACAGTTTTTAACAATATATATATATATATATATATATATATGTTTTTTTCATTAGATATATATATATATATGTAATGAAAAAAAATGCAATTAAACCATTGAACAATATAATATGTAACATTTTGTAAGTTAGACAATATTTTCATGAAACTAGTAGAATATAATCAACAAAGAAATTTAAATAATCTGTCTGTTCTTGCGAAAGCAAGCTTCTTACAAAATACAATTCACAGTCTTGTCCCCTGTTTTAATGCTTGGGATCTCTACTAATTAGCATTTACTATATTTCACGTTTGCAACAGAATCTGTAGTACAGCCATTCTTCCTAGACACTTACCATCATTGTGTTTAACCTTTGGAATTATGAAAATAACCAGCATTTACACTAATTGTATTGGGTCTATAACAAAGAGAATATAACTTCAAATAGTTATATATATTTATTTATAGCAACAAACAAATACAAGTACCAAGCTGAACTTTGATTAAAATAGCGTACTTAATTGCAAAACATCTAAAGAAAACAGATATCCAGTCCTCTTACTTTTTGGAATTGTCTTTTATAAAAATCATGTAATGTACTACAATAATATTATGTGAAATATGATTTATAATTTAATAACAAACAAAACAACGAATTTTCTAACTGTACTCTTAGATTTAAGTTAGTGTTACTTGATACCTTGTGTTCTCAACCTCTATTTTACCCTGTTCAACCTAAACCACAAGTCAGGTTTGTAGTGCATGATCTGGATACCTGACTATTGATGGCTGAATGGGTTAAACTACTCAAAAATGATGTATATAACACACGTTTGACATGCTTCAAGATTTCAATAAATTAAATCGACTTTCTATAGTTTGTTGAAGTTTATAAACAATATTAACCACACCACCACAATATATATGTTGCTAAATAGAGTATCGAGCACAACGCATTAGTTAATACAATTGTAACATGTTAAATATAGTTACCCAGATGTTTTACGGCTAGACCCATTCTCCTTGGAGGATTTGTCTTTGGATGAGGAGTCCTGCTCCTACGAACAGCAAACAGTTGAATGCCATGCCAGCCAGCCGATGTGGCAGGGACGCGCGAACAAGGGGACAAAAAGCAAATCATAGAACGTTAGTAAATTTGGTAACGACAGATTGTGTACAAATTGCACAATTTAACGTCTGACAATAGTATCAGAAATAAAGTATATCAGTAATAATGTATTGGTTTTTTTTTTTTTGTCAATCTTTACATCCATGTAGACAACTCTCCTGCGAGCATTAATATTACCGAAGATCTATACCGTTGAATGGTGGTGCACTCTCGTGCTCTTTCTCTTTTCCAGTCACGTTATATTGTCTCTGGGGGCTGAGATGGGGAGACAGAGAAGAAAAAGAGAGAGACAGACGGGGCGAGCATAGTGTTGCGACATCTCGCATACACCTGGCTCAAACTTACCAATTGTTTTATCGGGTTTTAGGAAAGCATTGCATTCTTGGGTTGAGCATGCCTTGGTCTTAAACTACCAATGGCCAACCACACATCCTTTTTCTTCTGCAAAAGAGAGCCCTCATCAAAGACAGCACGTTTTTAATGTAACACGAGATGTGAACCCTAATTGCTAGCCTACAACTCCTCCATACACAAGGTGTTCCATTTTAATCTTTTCACGCGATTATCTCCCTAATTATTCATTAATCGCAAAAATATTTCAAACGGAAATTACTCAGTTTCAAGTGGGACATCTTATGATGTGAACAAATTTCTTGTAAGCTGAGATGCCTCCAAAGTTTCACAATGATTTTTGTTGTTTTACACAGAATTGTGCATTCTGTTTTAGATAGACGCATAGTCCGCTCCGACACTAGTTCATTGACCTAGAACGTGGGTCTCTCAAGGTTATTTACGATCGTTGTACGTCTAGCTTCGCATAAACGACCTGAAAATGTTCCTTATCTTTTATATTTTAAAGGACGAACTTGGGCATTAATACATTGGCCTACTCTGTCGCTTGATTATAGTTCTACCTCCTCGACAGTTATCTTGGTAATTTCTTTGCAGGCATTCGGCGATGTTGCAGACGGATGTAGCGAAACTAGGCATCGAACGATCATAAATGGCTTTAAAGGATCTTGCAAGACCCGTATGTCCTAGGCCAATAGACTAGTCCTAAAACGGGATATCCGTCTAACTAAAAAGGGATACATAGTTTTGTTCAAAAGAACGAGGATTAAATTGATATCTTCGAGGCACCTCCGCCTAGAAAAATTTGTTTCCATCATAAGACAGCCCTCTTGAAACAAGAGTAAATTCTCTTTGACATATTTTTGAGAATACCGAATAGTTTGAAGGATAATCACGTGGAAAGACTAAAATAGAACACCCTGCATATTGATTTAATTATCTCTATCCAAGTAATAGGAATAAAATGATCAACGATCATTTGCCGTTGCCGGTAGATATACACGGCGGAATGACTTTGTTATGCAGAGAAAATGTTTTAGATGTTCAACAGGAACACGTATTTAATATGCTACACTGATGCATTGGAACAATTGCATCAATCGTACCAACAACATTACAATCGCTTGATTTATATCTGAAAATACTTTCTGATTTTCTTTAATATTTTGGTTAAAAAAATGAATATTTCTTTAAAACATTTTCTCATTTAATTTGTGTGAAGTATTTATCCTGCTTGCCAATTTACCATGCATGTCGTTTAGAAAGCACTAGTTTTAAATTTACAATACAAGAAACAATACCTTACAGATGAAAAATTAGAAAATTTATGGAACAAAGAAGACTGCAAACACTTTTGTAAATAATTTATTTTTAGTATCACTCAAACGACATTTGCACATTATTTATTCTAACAGAATAGTAATGATAATAAGATTAATATTGTACTTATGTTACCCTCAACTTTGCATATATATTACTATCTGAAAAAAATGTAGAACTTCTAAATATTAAGATGGTTCTGTACGTTTCATAACATAAGATGAATTTTTGTGTTTTTCTTCAACAATGAAAACACATTCATATTAGTCAAATATGTTTCATTAATATTGGACTGGCTTTATTTTATAAATTTCAAGCAGAATATCAGCATCCATTTCTTTCAAAAAAGAACATTAATATGTAATTGTATACACACACATATATATATATATAACATATATTGCGTATGAAAAATTCCTATAAACCGGAAAGAAAGCTAAGTCAACACAGAAATGTTTTAATTTTAAAATGTACAGAGTACATTTATTATTGTTTCACCTAATAGTACAGAAAATATATATAAACGACATGGCTTACTACCATGAAGTACTGTATAGTCCTCGCAGAGATATAGCGTGGAAGTAAATTAACACATCGAGAGGTGGCACCGATTGATGCCATAGCATTCAGGGCCGTAGGTGGCTTGCAGCTGTAGGGTTCCAAGCAATAAAACGGAAACGACTGTTCACTGACTGTAGTTCATTTACTACAGGGGTACCTGTAAGTAAGTTCTCTTTAATATTCGGTATATTTGGATGAACTTCATCTTTTCGTAGATTGTTAACAAAAAAAAAAGTCAAAAATATCACAGATCTGAATTGACATTATGCACTGAAAGACGCTCAAGATCCTTATTGTCCCCTTTGTTTTTTAAATTGCTATTCTGATGATCAGAACATGTTTATTTTGCAGTCCGACTGATTTTTGAACCACGCTATGAATCTGCGATGACTATTGTAACCATAGTGTTAACAAATGTACGTGTACATAACACTTACGAAATGTTCAGTTTATTGTTTCACACTTAACGCGTAAAGACAAAAAGCACAGCATGGCACATGGCAGAACAGCACCTAATCATTGATTTTTTCCTTTCTTTTCTGTATTAAGTTATACAATTGAGAGAACAGAAGAACACTGTTTCTCGTGTTTTTTCCTTCCCTACAGTCATACAAAGATGACAACAGCAATTCTATCTACGTCGTGAAAATAATAAACGTTACTTCTTTTGTGAAAGTAAAATTTAAAGAAAAAAAACTGAACTAAAGAAAGAAAAAAAGAATTGAGTAAAAATGATGTTAGTGATGGCTTTTCTTAATACCTCGTATTTCAAGTGCATTCTAGGAACTCGCTGCCGAACATCCTACGAGCGCGAGGGTACATGTTACGTACCATCTATAAGTACAGAAAACGGAGGTATTGATCAATAGTCGGTATGAAAGACAAGGGTGTACTTTGTTCTACATGTATATACAGGAAGTAAGGACGGATGTTTCTATTTTTTTCCTTTCTCGAACGCAACAAAACTGAACACATCCAGAACGGCACACCACCGTAAATGGATTCTGCGTGCGTCGAGATTAGAGTAGGCTTTATGGAATTACAAAGAGAGCGAGAGAGACAGAGAAAGAGAGACAGGACCTCGAGGGAACAAACCGAGACATAAAAAAAAAATATAAGAAAAAGAAAACCAAGAAAAAAGATATATGCCTTACCCCTTTCTTGTATGGCGCCTCCAGCATTGCCTCGACATCCAAATCCTCCGCCATTGCAAGTGTCGGAGAGTATTCTGAAATACCACGCATTAGCACTGGATACACCAAAAGCGATTGCGATGAACGATAGAAATGAAGTATGAAGATATTATGCAACGTACAGACTAGCGAGCGTTTTTAATTATATGATTTCAAACGTCTGAACGATTACTTAAAATCGTCACGATCAATAACGAAGGTGCGTGAACAAGAACGCAATCGTTCGCGACACGATGACCAAAAGAAAATGGAGGACCGGAAGTTGCGGACGAGTTCAGCGCCACCATCATCGGATGTAATTATAATGTATTGTCTCCTTAGTTACATTCACAAGTTCACAACAATATCTTTTAAAATTTCCCTAGACACTTCATGAATTATAATATTCTTTCACTGTAAATTCCTTTCTGTTTCTTTAAACAAATACACTCTACCATCACATAAAACCACGGTATATTAAAGTAATCGAAAACAGATTTACGAATATCTGTGATAGACAATCCTGTTAAATCCTGTCACAATCTATATATATATATATATATATATATGAATACGCATTTTAAAGTAGGCTTAATTACTAATTGTTATAAATTTTTGCACATGAACAATTGTTGGACATTTATTATAATACCTATGTAATAAAAGAAACAAATTTGAAATCGACATTCTATTCAACAATTATTATGTTATAATATACATAGCAATTTTTGAAAATGTTTAAAGCGATCTCTGGCGTGTACATGTTAAAGCACGTTTTACACTATTGACGTACCTTCTAGACTTAGATTCAACTTTGTCCAGGACATAAATGTATGACGTAACAGTCTGGCGCAGTTTGCCTAGTGGCCATTTTGTTTTCATTCGCACGGCTGATTAAGGTATTTTATACAAAGCTATTTCGCGTAATTGTAGAATACTTAGACGGCTAAAATAGTCGATGATTTGTTCAAGAATATTGTAGAAAGGTTTTAATTATACTTTTGTGAAAGCTAATTTTTATACTAATTCGAAATCTGTATTTCATTTTTGGTAAGGGTTTTCCATCAAATTACGTGTTCTTTTATTCCTGTCTACCTCTTATCAATTTTTGTACTATCTACTCCTCTATGAATTAATCATCCGTGTATTGAAAAGTAATTGTACATTTCAATGTTGAAAGTATGAATCTGTTATTTGAATTGGGTTGACTTAGTTTTCATTTCGTCGGTATTTCGTTTCTTCATGGTATTACGTTGCATTGAATCTGTTTGATCACAATTTAGTGCAGCTATGGTTTTAAGAAAGTTTCTTATTAATAAGATAAACGCGATTTTAATTGACAATGACATAAAGGTATCAAGTGTGTTCCAAATACTTTTTTTTCTAAATGACTGTAGGAATCATATTTGGAAGTATTACACTGTTGTTAGTCGATTCACATTGATTATCACAAACGATGTAATTAAAGGTATCGTTGATAATACTAGGTATATACCTACATATACTTTTGATTCAACAACTATTCAGTAAGGAGATATACAGTAAAATTATATAATAATGCATAATTAAATCTAATGAAAAAAACATTCGGAAAAATATAATTATAATTGTTAAATAATAGTAGTAATTGAACAAGATATCTATAAATAAAGAAATACGTATAATTGTAACTATACAGGGTGTTAATAAAAATGTGGGACATTTTCACAGGATGGATTCTATATGCCAGACTAAGATGAAAATCAAGAGCGGCGAAATCGCGTTGGAGGCTTCGTTTCCGAGTTACTAATTGTTGAAAATACGCGTAAAATACGTCTGACACAACGTGTTGTACTATTATCAATATATGTTGGCCAGCTAATTTAAGGGCTTGGTCGATGATAGTCAATGCTGTAGCCACCTAGAAGGACCCACTCTTACTCCTTACCCTCTCTACTTGACAATCCCATAGGGTGGATTTTGATAAGCTTTTGTGGACTTTAGTAAGTAGGAAGGTTTAATATTCTGTAATGATTAGTATTACATACTCTAGAAAGTTTTAGAAAAAACTATCACAGTATCACTTAGCATTGTATGTCATCATTTCAGTTACGAGGCAGGTGGGTCTTTCTAGGTCGTTACTGCATTGACAGTTATCAATGAGCCTGTGAATCAGCTGGCGAATGTATGCCGACAGTAGTATAACTCGTTGTGTTGGACGTATTTCACCTGCACGTGTGTATTCAGGTTGTCAGTCGGGGATAAGGGGGAGGGGTATTTATCTTAAGGTAAATTTCATAGGATAGGGAAGAAGCCATTTTTTCCCTCTAGGGGAGAGGACAAGCACAAGCCCCTCACCTTCGGTTATGCTTATGTTCACCGGTTTTTTTCAACAATTAATGATTCGCAAACCAAGCCTTTAACAAAATTTCATCATTCGTAATTTTCATCTCAGTTTAGTATATAGATTTCATTATGTGAAAATGTTTTACACTTTTATTAACACCTTGTAGATTAGGCATACAATTGAAGCTAGATTTATGTCATGTGTATGATTAGTTGTAATAGAAATGTATATATTTCGAACAAACAAACTATTGTCTTAGAAAACTATAAAACTACATAAATTCTGGCTTCGATTGAACTCTCTTGATTCAAATGTTGATCTAAAAATGTCTTGGTCTCTCGCTATAAATCCGCTTGTCTCTTGCAAACGCGTACATTTAAAACCAATCAGATAAAGGCGTGGTAAGAAAAACTGAGCGGTGTACTTATAGAAGGCAGTTTCTATCCTTGTAGGTGTCCATCTGTCCATTCAGCCTGGTGAGAGAGGCACTCAAGCGCAACAATGGATTCAAAGCGGCATGAACGTGGCTCCAAGTCCAATACAGACTCGCCACCTGCACCACCTTCACCTCCTATGTATAGTGCATCTTATACAACATATGATGGGTACAAAAATAGAATGTCGTCTCGTCGCTCGCCTTCACCCTTGGATTACAGAAGCAGTAGAACTTCCAGAAACGATTCGCCCCAGGATAGACGTAGAAGAAGACGTAGTGGTTCAAAGTCTCCCCCAAGTCGATCACATAGACGATCTCGATCATCTGACAGGGACAAGGATCGAGACAGGGATAGGGATCGATCACGAAAATACTCCAGAAGAGACAGATCACGATCGAGATCAAGAGGAAGGTCACGATCCAGAGACAGAAGGCGTAGTCGTAGTCGTAATAGAAGTAGAGATAGACACAGAGGCAGAGAAAACCGTAGATATCATAGGGCACTGTCGTATGAATCTGATACTGCCGAAGATAATATTGAAACAACTATGCAACAACCAGTTGTTCCACCACAGTCTAATGCTTTTAAAAATGATGGTAGCTTTATGGAAATGTTTAAAAAAATGCAAGAGCAAATGCAACCAGCACAAAAACCAACGACTTCTGTTTTGGAAGAGAAAACTGTAGTTCCCCCACCATTAATGGTAGGAAAGAGACGAGGAGGAAGGATTTTAAAAACTGGAATGGTTGCTAAACCAAAGACTGAACAAACCGTTGAACAGCCCAAGGATGCTTGGTCACTGTATATGGCTGAAGTGAAGAAATATAGAGAAGTTTGTTGTCAAGAAGAAGACAACACTAGACCACTGGTCAAATAGTTGAATTCAATTTTATATTTCATATTTTGTTACTTTTGTTCAACTATAATGGAATGTACTTTTGAAAAATGCTCTACTCCTTATAACGTTTTAATGATTGCGTTTAAATGTACCAGAATGGCGATCTATCAAGTTTAAGAAGCATTGCTTGTACTCAAATCATTTTAAATTTTGATAAACTTGGAACGATGTTTCGATATTTAAACAAATATGAAATTCAAGAGTGTAAATGCAATACATCCTTTCTTTTTCTATTATTATGTGAAATGTACAAATGTGTTGATCAGACATTATGAATGCGTTCTATCAAATTATAAAGTATTTCGACATGAACAGCATTGTTTAACGACATAAAACTGGGAAACATTTGTAGTGAAAAAACAACTATTATTCGTGATAGTGTTAAGTGGTGCAAGAGACAAAGGACTGCAGCGAGAGACGCATATAGAGAGTTTGCTTTTGGGGAGGAAAGGGAGGGTAAAATACGTAAATCGTTCACTAAATATAATAGATTAAGTAACTTGTAACTTGTTAAGCAGCAACAATATGGTCAAATACACGAAAATTGGATCTCCCGATGATACTACCATCATTCCCCCAGGCGATTTCAAGCCGATGACAGCACCATATGACCCAAGATTCCCAAATACAAACCAGACGAGGTAAATAAAAAAACTAAAGTAATGTTCTGTTTCATGGTACTAATTTGCGTTCCTTGCAATATCACTTATTCGTAATGTTTTGAGTGCAGATATTGTTACACTAGCTATGTGGATTTCCATCGTTGCAAAAAACGTCATAGCGAGGAGTACGAAGCTTGTAAATATTTCAAGAAAGTTTACAAGGCGATGTGCCCCAACTTTTGGATAGAGAAATGGGATGAACAGCTTGAACAGGGAACATTTCCAGGAAAGATATAATAAATTGAGGCACTACATAATGCTTTTGCCTCTTCCATTAGTGATATTTCTTTCACGAGAACAGGATTTTGCACTTCTACTTTCCTGTTTGTAAAGTAATTGATATCAAATAAATTAAGGATAGTTTAATTTCTATCGATTTTCATGTCACACTCTTTTCTTTCTGAACTTCGAACAGTGTAAATCATTCAATGGAAATAAACGTTACGTCAAAACGACATGCTACGTTTAATTATAAAATTGTTTATAAAAATATTCAGTAATTATTATTCAGACCGGTAATTCTTAAACCATTTTTTTTCAAACGATGAAAGTATTATGTCGTTCGTTTAAAAAAAAATGAACATTAGCGCCTGATTTTCTTCCGAATATGATGACCTTCTACTAATTAGATAAATAATCGATCTGACATCATTGGAATAAGTATGTAATTGCAATTAGGAGTGTTGTGCATTTTTATTATAGGGAAGCTGTTTAGTTCCATTGTTCGATTTCTAAATCACTGTAATAGATCGCCCTGTGTGATTAATTTTCTCACACGTTAGAATCTCCGTGAATTAATTAAAAATTTATTCCGACAGTTTTGGATTGCTTACTATACTTTCGTGAAAATAGAACATGCATTGGCAGTTACGAATTTCTATGCTATTATTAATTTATTAACAATCAGCATGAGCTCCAGGAATATATTGTCATATAAACTGTGAGGTATTCAATCTAATTATGCCGTGATAACTTACTTCACACTTACTTAAAAAATATATTTTACAAATTGCATACTGTTTACGGATTTAGACTATCGACGATGTTTAGTAACAAAACTTGCCAATAATAATGCAATAATTGCATATTTAATCAAATTACAAATTAGGCGCGTAAAAGTGAATAGTTGCGTCATCTAGTAGCGAAAATGAAGAAGCAAAAGTCCGCCAAAAGTAAGTGAAAAAGGGCGGGATTCATAGTCGTTGCTCATTCATACGTATACACGTATACATTCATAACTGGGAACTTAAGCATTTGTTTAAGAATAAGTAGTGACTATGAATCCCGGCCAAAGAGCGGAAGAATTTCTGCAACCTATATATAATTCAAAATTAACATTGTAAGTCATAAATCCCTACAATCGTTGTGTTTCATAGATTCTTGTGCCTCTGTGAAGTTAGCCGGGCAATTATGACTTTTAACATTTCATTACACCCAATCGATTGGTGATCGATGGTACTTAGTTTCTATAAAAAACGAAAAAAACGATGTAGTCATCTGGCATTTCAGGATGCAGTATTTAGAAAAGTGCCGGAAAAATTTGGGATTTATGGGACATTTAGTGGCGCCCCCACACCAATTTGGTGGCGAAAATTTGAACTAATTCTAAAACTTTTTACGCCGCGCCATCTGGCGGCGTTTTTGCGAACTATCGAAGAAGTTCTGTGATTAGTTCCAATTTTCGCCACCAAAGTGGTGAGGGCGCCATTAAATGTCCCATAAATCCCACATTTTTCCGGCACTTTTCTGAATCCTGCATCCTGAAATGCCAGATGACTACATCGTTTTTTTCGTTTTTTTATAGAAACTAAGTACCACCAAATGTTGTAATTAGAACACCAATGACCACCAAACGATTACACGTCAATTGAGCATTTAAAAAACTGAATCCGGTGAAAAAAAAAATTTTTTCGGCTAACTTCACGGTCAAATTTTGATCACTTAATTACAAAAGAACGCGTGATCACCAAATGTTCTAATTAGGCCATCAATGACCACCAAACGACCACCAATCGATTGGGTACAATGAAACGTTAAAAAGGTAAAGTGGTCCGGCTAACTTCACAGAGGTGATTCTTGTAAAGTGGTCGTACCACGGGCACAGAAACATTCTAACCACGGGATCGTGTTGATCGTGTGATTCTAACTGGTTCTAACAATCTAGCGGGTAAGGGGTGAAACCAAACTCTGTACATAATAAAAACTATACGAAATTCCCTTGAATTGCGATTAAATTTAAACCTTGGGTTGCTTAGCGTGTAATCCTTGGAATTCACATTGCAGTGGTTGAATAAAACTTATGAAAACTTAAGTATGTCCATTAAGGGCAATCTTTTAATAGTCATTGTTTACATAATTTCGATTAGACGCTCATGGAGAACGAACGTCTAATTTACTACTGTTCGCTACCCTCTAGCGGTAAAATTAAGAAACGTACATCTCATTGCGTCTTAAAATTTGAAACATTCTTATTTTGTGTGCTAGCATACTTATGTATATGTATGTAACTGAACAGAACGAGTGTGGTGTAAGGGATGTGCAGATGCGGATGAGATCCACGATATTCTCGTTTTGTTCGCTATCCCGAAAGTTTCGGGCAGCAACACGGAAGTATCGAGATTTCGTCCGATCCCGCCAAAACTTTTCTGTCCTATCCTGTGCCCGTAATTTCAGGTATCCGACATCCCTAGTACTAAACATTCTTCGGTCATGTTTTGCATGTTTTGTTGAACTTGGCACCCTTGGCACAACTTGGCAATGTCAATGTGAGCACATGCTACCAAAAGAGACTAAAATAAATATATGTACATACATCAGTATTTGTACTTACAGAATAAAAGTATTTTACAATACTATTAGACTTTAAAATAGATTAATTATCTTCTGTTGAATTACAGGTACATACTTATATATTTGATCGTACTTTTAGGCGTGATTAGTTCGTATGACTGTATAACTGTATACTATTTTACATAATGCGAATGAATTCATGCTGTTTCAGTACTTTTGTTTGCGTAATTAATAATCACAAAATGGATACTAATCGAAAGAATTTTGGAAATTCATCCCACTTTTCAAAAAGCTACACTCAAAGTTCAAGATACAGCGACGGGGATGGACGACGAAGAAGTAATTACTCTAAGAAAAGGGAAAATCTGTCTTATGATTCTATCCATGATAGTTTTGATGATAAACTGGAGAAATTTATCATACACATTGAAACAGACAAAGTGGGAAAACTAATTGGAAGAAGTGGATCGAATATTAGAGAATTGCAAGATAAAACAAATACAAAGATTCAAGTAAGCATTAGCGGATTCACATTAATTTTTTAATTCCATAAGAAGAAAGTTTTAATATTCATAAAAGTAATAACAGTATTGTGTGTCGTGATGATTTTAGGAAAAATTAAAATTCTTTTTATATAGTATTTGCTTGTCTTCTTGTACAATAGAAATCGTATATGCTATGTATACATATGTATTCTGGGTGTAATAAAATTGGTTTTTATTTTATAAGAAATAAACACATTTTTGTATAGGTTGATCGATCAACTGGAAACGATACAACTGCTGTAACTATAATTGGTTCCAAAGAAGCACAGGAACAAGCAAAACAATTGATTGAAGAATCATTAATGGATTCTTCGTATTTACTATCAAAAAAAGAGGGGCAAGAAAAGCAACAAAATAATGAATCACAAATTGATTTTAATAACTTTGACTGGTCTCAAGCTAGTCAGAAATGTGTAAGTTTATCATTTCCAAACTCTTTACAATACAATCACTTTCTTACAATTGTCTTAATGCTTATTAGGATGACTTTCAAAAAGAAAAATGGTCAAAACTTGTTCCTATTATAAAGAATTTTTATAAAGAGCATCCAGATGTTACTAACATGACAAAAGAACAGGTAGCTCATATCAGGCAAATAAATAATAACATAGAAGTAAGATATATGTTTGATGAACAAGAGAAACAGTCACAAGTGTTTGATATACCCAATCCTATTGAAACATTTGAACAGGCTTTTGAGGTAAGTAATCAAGAAATATTTAATAAGGTAGAATGCAGCACCACAATAAAAATATGTAATTAGAGTTACTCAGATATACTGGAAGAAATAAGGAAGCAGGGTTTTGTTAAACCAAGTCCCATACAGTGTCAGGCATGGCCTGTACTTCTCAGTGGTAAAGATCTTATTGGTATTGCACAAACAGGCACAGGTAGATTATTTAGACTTTTATCATTACTACAGTGTACCAAATTAGATAAAGGAACTTCTGTCATTGCTTTCCGTTTGATTTAGGAAAAACATTGGCGTTTCTGCTACCAGCTTTGATTCACATAGAAGGACAAGAAACACCACGGTCAGAGCGAAATGGTCCTAATGTCCTTGTTATGGCTCCAACAAGAGAGTTGGCATTACAAATTGAAAAAGAAGTGAACAAATATTCTTACCATGGTATAAAAGCGTAAGTAACAAGAGCAATACAGTTTTTATACTAGTGAGACAGTTATCTTTCAGTTTCATATATTAAAGATTAAAACACAATTAAAGGGTATGTGTGTATGGAGGTGGCAGTCGTAAAGAACAAGTAAATATGGTCTTAAAGGGAGTCGAAATAGTTATTGCAACTCCTGGCAGATTAAATGATCTTGTTGAAGCGAATATTTTAAATATTTCGTCCGTCACGTACCTTGTATTAGATGAAGCTGATCGTATGCTTGACATGGGTTTTGAACCACAAATTAGAAAAACTTTGTTAGATATTAGACCAGATCGTCAAACAGTTATGACAAGGTATCTAAAACACATCATACGAAAGGTTAGAATAAACCTGTACATTGGAGAAGAAGCACTACTGTTAATTTTTTACATTTCAGTGCTACATGGCCCCAAGGCGTAAGACGTTTGGCTCAGTCGTATATGCAAAATCCAATACAGATATTTGTTGGATCTCTTGATTTGGCTACTGTACACACTGTAGTACAGAAGATTTACATAATCGATGAACCAGAAAAAATAGATATGGTTGATATATTATCTTCTCAATGCAAGGGTACTAAAGAATATAGGCATACTAAATTCATTTATTTCAATAGATGCATCAGTTTTTCCGTGAAATGGGTCCTAAGGACAAAGTGATAGTATTCTTTGGAAAAAAGTCTAGAGTTGACGATATAGCGAGTGACTTAGCTTTACAAGGTATGAATTGTCAGAGTATACATGGAGGGAGAGAACAATCTGACAGGGAACAAGCATTAGAGGATTTAAAAACTGGAGAAGTCCAAATACTGCTTGCAACGGACGTAGCCAGTCGAGGAATTGATATTGAAGATGTCTCGTAAGTTTCGTCTGTACATCATTTTGTCCATACATATCTGAATACCTTAAGAAGTTTTTAATCTGTTGAATCTGAATTTTTCTGCAGGCATGTGCTAAATTATGATTTTCCTCGAGATATAGAAGAGTATGTTCATCGAGTTGGTCGTACTGGTCGCGCTGGGCGTACAGGAGAAAGCATAACATTCATGACAAGGAAAGATTGGTCTCTTGCCAGACAACTAATTAATATTTTAGAAGAAGCTAATCAGGTCTGGGTCATTGTAGAAGTATGCGTTTATGCGAGAATTTTAATTTAACAGTGTCTGTAACAACATTTTCCATTAAAGGAAGTTCCTGTGGAAGTGTATAAAATGGCTGATAGGTATGCAGCATGGAAGGAAAAACGAGCACAAGAGAAACAATTTGAACGACCAGACAGATCTGATTATTCAAACAGAAGGAGCAATAGAAGATGGTAATCTATGGAAATTATGCTTGAATCAATCATTGTATGCAAATTTGTGTGCATGAAATCTTCTTAAGTTAGTTACTTGAGGGCAGTTATAACATTTTTTTTTCATGTATCATGACATTTCTCATTTCATATATACATGAATTAAATAAAAAAAATCACTCAGGTAAGTTTGGTTTTCTCAACATTAACTTTAGTCATTCATTCAGTTCTTTAGTATTACTATGACTTTGCTCTATTAAACATTTTGCCTAAAAACAATATCAAATTTTATTTCCTCAAATTACAATCGTATAATATTTAGCAAAACTTGTAATAACAAAAACCATACATATTACTTATTACATAGTAAAATAATAAAAGTAATATTATTAAAAAATGATTTAATTGCGAACCTTTTAAACGTGACATTGAATTCAATGTTTTTTTTCTTTGCAACACCGATTTATGTTTGTAATCTAATTTTGTGCTATGAATTTCAAAACAATTTTGTTAACAAACGTCTACATTGCAATTCTGGCACTAGTACACAATATATTCTTTTTCTCTTTATGCGTTTCGCATGTACAACGCATTCAACCGAAAATAAATTAAAAAAATAAACATACTATGAATGAGAAGAGAATGAGAATAACACGCTTAGATTAATATAAACAGAATTTTCCTATTCATTCATACAAATCAAACTGTTGAAAAACAATTATTCCGGGATTTTAGTATAACACGACACACAATGTTGTAATACATAGTAAAAAAGAATGTCATGCAGTGGCAATTCAAAATGACTGTTGTCAATAATATTAATAAATACTTTTGGCTGCACCACAGAAATGGAGGTAGAATAAACTAGCTACGTAATAAAAAATTATACGAAGAAACAAACAAACAAACAAACAAACAAACAAGTAAGTAAGTAAGTAAGTAAGTAAGTAAGTAAGTAAGTAAATCTACGTAAAACCAAATTTATAATTAATAACATAAACGAATTGTGTACAATGATTTCAGTTTTTGGTTTACTCAAAGAAGGGATAACGTTCGTACCTACTATTAACAGTAAACCTTATAATTTCGGGTTTTGGTATAGTTTTCAGCAAATTTTTTACCACTCGGCGACGGAATTGAAAATGCGATATCGTCCACAGACATTACATATCCGTATAAAAAATGAGGTCTAAAACGATTGAACAAGTTATTGGAAAATAATGAAAAGTTAGTGCATATTTTTTAGAGCAAAAAAACTTTACCTTAATGTATCTAGTAGTTTAGAAGCGATGCCTTGTCTACGATGATTCATATCAGTCCATACAATATCAATACCGCATTTGGCAGGTGTACTTTCTGCTGTACAACAATCTAATTCCAGTAATTCTGGTATCATACGATGTGCAGTAGTTATATGTTCTGCAACTAACACTCCTAAGACAGTTTTATCCCTTACATATAAGTACACCTAAAAAAGTACAATATGTTGATGTTAAAAATATATACATAAATAAATGGATGGAAATATTTATAGTTACTTTTTTGTGCTCAAAATCTGATAGTTTTGTGTCAGGTAATCCTAAATCTCTGTTCACGTATGCTAACACATCTGCTATCTTATTCCAACATTGTTTCGGATCATTTGGCTCTACCAAGATCACTCGACTGATCCTGAGAGGATCGTCCATAATGACACGTTCTGTCTTCCAACCCTGGAATAAGCAGTCGACATCAGTGAAGTGTTGGTTAGATAATTTATAGATACGTATTATGCATGTATAATACACTTGGCACATACAGAAAACTTTAGACTTTTCCTGTTATTGTGATAATTTAGATGAGCATTTTCGTCTATAGGATCACCTATCTGATACACAACACCACATTCTGTACACTGTGTTGCTCCGAAATTTTTTTGTCCTGCATCTAACTGATACTGATTCACATTACGAATTTGTTTTCTCGATAACTGCCAATTTATTGTATTTTTTGTATTATGTACTGATTTTTTACCAATTTCTCTGAAATAATAATTAATTAAGCAGATTTAATAAGCATTCAGAATTAAAAATATATTAATGATTTTGTAGCACTTACTCGTATATTTTATTAGAGAAGTGATCTTTATAGAATAATGGATAATATTTGGGTTCGTTCTCTTTGATATTATTTTCATTACCATCTAAAGAAATATTTTCAAATGTTAATTGTGTACTAATGTCTTTAATGTTCATACTCGACGTCGTGTTACTAAGTTCAGTTGCTGGAAACATAATAACATCTTTTAGAATTGCTACTGGTTTTATTGGAGAAATATGGACAAAATTTCTGTTTGTTAGTTTCTCCATTTTGTCATAGTCATCATCTGCCCAATCATCTTCCAATGCTTTTAGTATATTGGCAACTTTATTTTTCTCTATAGTGATTTCTAACTCTGGTTCATCTACTGTCAGATCAGTGGTATCGAATGATATATCCATTAGCTTTGGCCGTTTATGTGTTTGCGAAACAGATTGAAAGTTCTCTTGATTTGGTAATACTTTGCTATCCGAGACGACCTTTAATTTGACATTATTATTTATTGTTACAGTGGCTGCATCATTTCTTTTTGACGTTCCTTTAAGTTTGAAAAATCGCTTAGTAAGATCAATTTCCGGCGTCGGAGACCTTTCAATCGATACTGTAACAGGTGTTCTCGTATCTTGTATCTTTGCTACTTCCGAAAGATCTTTCTGTATATTCGAAATATTTTGTGTAGACCCTGTTGTATTATTTTTTGCAGAATCGATTACAGTATTTTTCATAGTATGCACATTAGGTTTTCGTTTTGGTTTTTTGATTCCATGCGATACCCCACCATTGACTCCCCCTATTGTGTGTCTTTTCATAGATTGTTTACTATGATGCACCTGCCCTGAAAAACTTTTTCTATGTGGTTTTTGTTCCGATGATACATACGAAGTAAACGTGTAACTGTATTTTGCCTCTGTATTAGCTTTACTATAAAAACTGTTAGTACTCAACATGAAGTTCTTGATTTTTGTTTCATAGATATTATCCTGAAACAAAGCTGCTCTAGCTCTGGACACTGTACAATTTTCCTCCGTTTTTAATAATTTTACGATGCCACCAGTTTCTTCCGATGTATGTCTTTTTATTGCATTTTCTTTCCTCTTCGGTGAAAAACTCTTGATCATATCAGAAATGCCAAGAAATTTGCGCCTATGCAATTTTGGCAATGGTATTACTTTATGTTCTGAAGTCATTGGTGCTCTGTTCTAGGCTGTTCTGTGTGAAGTATACAATATATTCTGCTGTATAAAATCCATAGGCTTGTGATAATTCTTTTGACTATGTATATAATAAACACAGGAACAGCTGAATAAGTAATAGTATATTATATATAGATAACTGTAACTGAAGTAACATATTATAAAACGTGACCCACATGTTGAGTCATCGCTCAAACAGGTGTATTATGGTATGACTCATATGCTGGGACATCAAACTCGAACGTTTAATACTATTCGGAGTCACTGAATACATGAAGGAAAACAAATATAACTTCAAATGGTTATCATATTGGAATATTATATATTCGATAGTCCAAAAGGTTTTTTAAACCACTATGAATAAAACTGAGATAAAGATGATATGTACAAATTAGTACGTAAATAAACTAACCTGAAATAGTATTACAAAACGTTTGTGAAAATAATTTTACTATTGTTTATGTCTGTCAATTTTTCAAATATGTTTTGGTCTTGGATCTAATTACAATAAGAATGACAGAATTAATATAAAATAAGTCAAAAAGCCGACAAATTGAATCGCGTACCAATTTCCCAGTATTTCCTACGCGATCATACTGGATCATACGCGATAAGGCGAAGGCGAAACCGCTACAAAAACTTACCGTTTCCTTCCTCCGCTTTCTACCGCTTTCGCGGTCTTTCAAATCCGCCTGAGATTACACACGATACAGAAAGTACGCACTGCACATAGGGATGACTCGATACAAGTAAATACGAGTACATTAATCGATATGAGTACTTTTGGTATCGATACCTGCGGTTGCGATTAGAGATGGCGTGAACTGCTACTTGTGAATCACTCGTGATTCGATCACGTTCGTTCCCAATCACGATGATTTTTCACAGTGATTCGTGATTTCCCGTGATCCTTTCTTATTGGTGGAGAAACCTAACAGTTCTTCACACGCGATACACAATTTGTATATTTCACATTAACGACATCAAAACAAAAATTAGGGTTATATCGTATAAAGTGAAGGAATAAGTAGAAACAATGAAGAATAATGAATAAATTAATGATTACAAATTATAATCTACATGTTACCTAGCAAATCATTTTTTTAGAATTTCTTGTTTTTTCTACTGATGTTTACAAACACGAATAGTAATGTAATTATCGTAAAATCATATTGAATACGTTTTTCTGTTTAAAGATCAAGGACTTACGATCGCAGTGAGCAAATTCACCCAAGATAGAAAAATCGCAATCACGGTTGTGAATGAAGTTAAATCACGACCGTGATCGTGATTCGGCGATCACTGTGATAAATCACCGTTAGTGATTTTGCACGCCATCTCTAGTTACGATACCAAATAGGTATCGAACTAAAGTACTCATATCGAGTAGTGTGAGTATCGACCACGGTCGTATATACGACCGTGGTAGTAGTTCGGTAAGAGGGGTCATAGAACCCCCGGAGCATGTGTAAGAGCCCCCGTGTGTGAGAGAAAGTGGGGTCATAGGACCCCGAAAGAATGCGTAAGAGACCCCGTGTCTGTGAGAAAGTGAGGTTACGTACGAGATTTTATTCTGCCTATTCTGTTGGTGTGGTTCCACCGTTCCATCTTCCACCGATCAGCTTGCGTACAAACCAGTACGCAAAGCAACTAATTAGATCCAGAGCGGTAAATATGTATTATTTGAACCTAGGTTGGTTGCATCTTTTAACTGTACTTACAGCATTATATTGTTAGCCTTTTATTAGCTAGGAGTAGGATTAAATCTTCAGGAGGCATAAATAGAAATACAACAACTGTTACATAATTAAGAAGAATTATAATTCATTGTGATAGTTTTTTCTTCAGCAAGTTCTTCTACTACAGCTAAAGTAACACCATACATACAAAGTTGCTTATACATGTACAATTTTTAGGGTACAAGCAACAATTAATGCGAGAAAAAAATAATATGACAAATAGTTATATAGTGATCTTTTATTAATACGAATAACAAATGTTCAGTTGATTGTACGAGTCATGGCTAACTCATGAAGTACAATGTCTCCGGAAATTCTAAGGGTATCAATTACATTAGGTTGTAACCTGTGTTTCATTTCACCAATCATTTTGTCGTCCAGCCATATCGAGTATGCTTCGCATTCACACCGAATTCTATCACGAATAAAACAACAAATTAATACCGTAGAAAGAACCGATTCTTCCTTTCTTTGTCAACTTCGTATAAAGACAGCGATACAAACGTCAGAAGAAAGTCACGACCAGGCATCCAAGATAATTGCCCCTGGTGTCTTTCCTCGTGTCCCCAAGATCCATTCGACCAACAGTTCATTACGATATATGGCCCGCTGTTACCATATAAAAAGCGCGGATTTAAGTGCAAAGCGATTATGGGATGAGGATATATCGTTTTTCCCTTTTGTAGATTTACGTAAAATCTGTTCAGAATAAAAGAAATGTTTATAAGTTTTGGTGATCGACTCATCATTTCTCCTTCTATAAAGAGAAACCGGAAACGGAACAATAGTTGTTAAAACTTACGAATGGGGAAGAAGTTTCAATCTCCCAGCGATAAAGAGTCTAGTTCCTATCTTGAACTCATTTTCGAGATCCACAGTAATAGGAACAGCCTGTGCATAAAGTTTATTCAATATATTTTCGTCAATACCAAAGGATAAAATTGTCAATTATTATAAAAGGACATACGAGACATTCAACGAGTGGTTTATCGATTTTTAAACTCAAAGAAGTGCTCGACTTGCATATCTTTGGATCTGGATAAACGAACAGCATGAGCTGTCGACATCTAATATCTTCCAGCGATTCATTTATTTCGAGGCTAGTCACATCCTCGAGTGGCATCCGATACGAAAACCCACAGAAATGCTCTCCATTTACAGCCACCTAAAAAATTAGCCTTGGTTCAAGAAGGAATTGTCGTTACCACGATCTTGGAAAATTCTACGTAGAATGTAGATGTCGAATGAATTTTTGCCTGAAATGCGTCGACAGTGCAAAATATTAGAATGTGAATGTAAGTGTTCCGCCGAAAGGCGGTATGTCCAGCAGGAGAACATGTTTCCTCTTCCTCCCAAGAACCTTTGTATTTCGTATTTCGCACAACGTATCCCCTATCCAATCGTGCATTGAAATGTAACGCAATATTACTTGCCGTTTTACATAATAAGTTTACTGAAAATCTGCAACGTTTTATGCATTAATTAACACATCGGTCTTTTGTTTGCGTTTTTTTAGTATTATTTTTGCAACAACAATGTACCTCAATGCATTCGGAGGTATGTATCCCGTAACCACAATAGCTGATGTTGGTTTAAGAGGTTGCAATGGAAACGGTTTCGAATCATTCTGAAACAAAAATTACGGTCTGTCAATATACGTTACACGGAACGATAAAGTTTATCATAGTCAAATCATGTATGTAAGTATATCCTTACAAATCAGATACTGAATATGTAACAGCGTGAAAATATTTATTGAAAGAAAAAAACACAAGAATAAAAAGCAAAATATTTTCTGCATACTTTATCAATGAATGTGATTTCTCGTCAAGATATCGAGTACATAACAGATATCTAGTACATATAATACTCCTAGTATTATTGTATAGAATTTTTCACAAGTAGAAAAGGGAAATAATGACTTAAATATTTTACACAACGTGATAATTAGATACTGTGTCAATGATTGAATAATAAAGTTTTTAAAAAACACTTAGTTTTACTTAGTTTTCGAAAGCAAAACAGATCATCCCTTGCGGGGATCGAACCCGCGACCTTTGGATTAGAAGTCCAACGCGCTATCCTCTGCGCCAAAGGGACTACGTGAATCAAATCTTTTCAGGCTAATAATATTGCACAACGAGAAACCAATTCAATTATAATGATCAGCAGTTAACTTTTTTTATGGGAACAATACGTTTATGCAGTTTAACATCCGTGTGCAGGATGGTGTCTAAAGGGAATGTGACTACTTGGGACAGGAATTGAAGGTTCATACATAGAAGCTACTCAAAGTCTGAATTCGAATCCTCGACATTAGTCTCCGTGGGAATCATTTTTCGTTGGGTGCAGCTGTTCATCTTCATTTTAATACGAAATAATCGTTCGCGCACCTGCATTGAAAAGATGGGGTTCAAATATAAAGACAGATTTAACAAATGTATAAAGTTTTCAACAAACAAACTAAACAGTAGAGATCATGATATAATGCAACATATTGATCAATGTATCTACCATGAAACTTTATTTTATTATCGTCTAATCGGACGATCTTTTTGTCTCAGTATTTCAATTTCACAATATAGATTTTTCTTTATCAATTAAATCGAATAAAAAATATCTATCTTTTCTCAGATTTCACAAACAGGTAAGATAACATTCTCATTTGCTACTGAAATGGTCGAATCTATCATATATGTATACCAATATTCAATATACGTATTTAAATTCGTGCATACGGTTGTCAAAGTGTCGTAGATTTTGTTAATTAATTACATACGTTTATTAATGGCGTGTAACATAATACCGAACAACCTAAAAACTTTTAATTATCCGGCAACAGCATATTATATCCGATTACAGCGATATACGTAAGGCAGGTTAATATGTATGGATATGTACATATATATTGTTGGTATCTATGTGTAATATATTTCTCACTTTACAGCAGATATTTCACTGCTTTCTTAATACAATGTTAATCGACACTGTAGAATTGATTATATATTGAATTCCATCTTGTTAATTACAACATAATTAATTATATCATTTATTTATACCGCTAACCAGTAAACCGAACTATGTATGTATCAGATATCTGAAGATTGCAAAACTATCAGACCATTCAAATAGTTTATACATCAATCAGAAGGTACAGAAATTGGCATAACATTAGTTGTAGTAATTCAAAGATGTACGTGTTCACACTGAAACATTATCTTGCAGTATAATTAAATTTTAATGCATTGCTACTTCGAACCAAAAAAGGTTAGGAGTTGAGTACCAAAATTTTCATTCCGCAAATCTATGTTTTTAGTTCCTATGACCTGAATTTTTATTGTTACCGATCGATACTCACTAACGGGATTGTGTCCTCGTCGACGAACGAAAACTCTCGGCGAGCATTTTCCTTCGTTTGCACAAAAATGTCATCATGGTTTACAGACATGCTCTCTGAGAATATCGAAGAATGATTTATCAGACATTAGCCTATCTGAAATTATGCCGTCTTCATACAGGCACGCTTTTGAATGGGAATGTTTGTTTAAATTTATCAGACGCACGGGTGATAAAAAGAATACAGTTTAACTTTATTCATATGTTAAGAACCATCTTTATAAGTGTCAATGTTTTATTGTGTACAATAAAAAAAAAGACAATTTTTCTCCATAAAATTTAATTCTAAAATATGGCAAAAAGCGTTTTTAAAATACTAATAAACTTTCATATAATATAAACATTATTAAATATACAATTAAATATTTGTAATAATATATAATAATGTAAAGTTCACAATAAATAGTTTCTTTTTCTTTCTATTATTTCACTAGCGGTGTCCGACTTAGTTAACAATCGATAAATTCTTTGTTTTGTTCAACTTTATAGCGGATATTTTATTTACAAGTAAAAAAGTAAGATGAGAAACATAACTTCTGATATTTGTGTCAAATTATTTCGTTCCACTAGACTGCTGTTTTGTTTTCTTAAGACGTGAAACCGCGTTACTTGCTGATAAAATACATATGTTATGTTTTACTCAAAATATAGGAACACGAGAAGTTTTCACATACATGCAACTTTTATCTCCTTTGTCGATCAGTCGATGGTTATCAATAACAAGATTTTTTCACAAGTTTCAGGCAGTAGATGCTTCCTCAAGTAAACGTGAATAATTCTCAGTTGTAGACTATATCAGAGATATGCTAAAAGAATAGACATATTTTAAGAGAATTAAATTTGTATTTGGTAGATTTTGTTCTAATGTCATGAACATAGCGACTGTCTCAACTGCGAAATTACTCACGCTTGCTCAAGAACAATAATTTTATCTATTTAAAGAAACAAAAGAGGAACAAAAAAATTACAAAAAAAGGAGAGAGGGAGGGAGGGAGAGAGAGAGAGAGAGAGAGAGAGAGAGAGAGAGAGAGAGAACATAATAACGACGACTATTAATTGTGAGCATTATAAGCGAAAACGTAAATTAGCCAAAGAAATGTATAATTTATATATCTCGTGGTTCGTGAGGTGCAGGAAGCCGTTGCCAGGAGGGTTCGACACCCCAAATTTCGCGAGCATATTCCGCGATGGTGCGATCCGATGAGAATTTTCCTGACGAAGCAATGTTGTGAATTGCCATTTCGACCCATTTGCTTTCATCCTGATAAACTCTGCCGACATGATCTTGCATGCGGATATAGCTCTCATAATCAGCAAACAAATAGAACCTATCCCAATTAAGTAGAACATTTGTGATGTCTTTGAACTCATCTGGATTATTGGGACTAAAGAAGCCACCCTGGATTTGATCAATGCATTGTTTCAATTCTGGAATTCTGTTATAATAATCGTGCGCATTGTACCCCTTCTTCTGTAACCCTTCTACTTCCTCAACCGTCATACCGAAGATGAATATATTATCATTGCCCATCTCTTCAGCCATTTCGACGTTGGCACCATCCAATGTACCGATCGTTAAAGCTCCATTTAACTGAAAATTTAAATAAAGTATTCCACTCGTTTGCGAATGAATCGATTAAAACACTTTAATATACTAATCACTCGATCTTCGATGGATGCTTACCATAAACTTCATGTTTCCTGTACCGGATGCTTCAGTACCAGCGGTTGAAATTTGCTCACTCAAATCCGCAGCTGGAATAATCTTCTCGGCTAAAGTGACCCGGTAATTCTCCAAGTAGATCAGTTTTAATTTGTCACCGACAATCGGATCATTATTTATAACGTTTCCTACACTGCAGATTAACTTAATAATTTTTTTGGCCAAATGATAGCCCGGAGCTGCTTTTCCTCCAATCATGACAGTACGAGGAGTGAATGGCGCGGACGGATCCTTCTTTATTCTATTGTAAAGTGTGATCACGTGCAAGCAATTCAAAAGTTGTCTCTTATACTCATGTATTCGCTTCACCTGTTTTTTTTTTCAATGTGTCAAACTATTAGCATTATTGCGATATGTAAATTTCTGTGTATTCAATCAAGCGGACCGATTACCTGAATATCAAAGATAGAGGCAGGATTTACTTTAACACCATAATCCTTTTCAAGTAATTGCGTTACTTTCAATTTATTTTCTTGTTTCACTTTCATGACACTGCGCTGAAAGACTGGGTCCTTCGCCCATTGCTTTAGTTGTATAAGCTGTTCCAGATGCACCGTCCATTCGTCGCCAATTTTCTGAAAAAGCGTAAATGGAAATACAATATAACCTGTATTTCACAAATATTTAATCACTTAATTGTTAAAAACAGTTGCAGTAAAAATTTGAGATTTTCCAGAAATTGTTAATAAATTTCTCACTTCTTCGATAATATCGGAGAGATTTGGATTACACAGAAGAAGCCATCTTCTTGGTGTAATACCATTGGTCTTATTCTGGAACTTTTCAGGCGACATTTCATAGAAATCTTTGAAACTGTAATAATAAAAAGCATTACAGGCATTCTGGAGGCTATCGATATATGTATGTACATATGTATAAGCTTAAAATATTGAAATACATACACGCCGTTTTTCAAGATTTCTGAATGTATTGCTGCAACGCCATTAATAGCGTGACTACCAACAATGGATAAATGCGCCATATTAACTCTCTTCTCGCCCTCTTCTTCGATTAAAGACATGCGACGAAGGCGATCTAAGTCACCCGGGTACTTGGCAGAAACTTGTTGCAAATGAAGAAAGTTTATGTGGTATATTATTTGCAAATGTCGAGGCAGGATGCTTTCCAACATGTTTGTCGGCCATCTTTCAAGGGCCTCTGGAAGTACCGTGTGATTGGTATAGGCACAAGTTTTGGTCGTGATGTCCCAAGCCTTCACATTGACACAAATTATTAAAATGACAATGTATTTTTGATACTCGTACAGGTTGAAACAAAATTATGTGGTAAAGTAACCTTTTCCCATGGAAGACCTTCGACATCGATAAGAATTCGCATCAACTCAGGAATGGCCAAGGAAGGATGAGTATCGTTCAGCTGGATGGCGACTTTATCGGGAAACATATCGAAATCTGTACGATGGTGTTCTTTCGAACCAAATTTGCTGGCTTTATACCTGCAAGTAATAATATTTCCAAAAATTTGCTGTCAGCATATAAACATAGTTAATGTATATGTTGTACATTTATATTTATACTTAAGATTAAGATTGTTGTTGAAAGTCAGAAGAATCTTCAACAATCGCAAATATCTATTGGTCTGTTACAATTATAAATAAATAACGAGACAGTTGTACGTGAATATGTAATTACCTTCGAATTATATCTTGAAGAGTCGCGGCCACCATAAAGTATTCCTGCTTCAGACGTAACTCCTTTCCCTCAAAGAAATTGTCATTTGGATATAATACTCTGGAAATGTTTTCCGCCAAATTCCGATCGATCACGGCTTGGATGTAATCACCGTTATTGACTGTAAACAATATTTAGAGCTTATTAAGACACTTATGAATACCCGAGGTAGAAAATCAATGATTTCCTTACAGAATTGTAGATTGAATTCCACTGGTGACTTAGCAGACCACAATCTAAGAGTATTTACTACATTATTTTTATATCCAGGAACTGGATTATCATACGGCATTGCAAACACAACCTGCATAAAACGGTATATACAATAGAATATTAATGTAACCATCCTATACTTTTATTCATTTATTCAACCCAAACCTGTGTGTTCACCCATTTCTTCCCTTCAGGAGTATCAATAACTTGTCCATAAAAGTTCACAGGAAGCATGAACTCTGGTCTTGCTTTTTCCCATGGATTTCCATACCTCAACCAATCATCGGGTTCTTCTACTTGTTCCCCGCTTTTTATTTTCTGAGCAAATATTCCATATTCGTATCGAATACCATATCCATATGCTGCTAAGCCAAGAGTGGCCATGCTGTCTAGGAAACAAGCTGCAAGTCTTCCCAAACCACCATTTCCTAGACCTGCATCTTCTTCGAGTTCTTCTAGTTCTTCAATGTCTAAGCCCATCTACATTAAGAACAGAGTGATACAGTTAGCATTATCCTTTCTTATTGTCTGATCATTTACTTAGAATGAACAAAACTGACCTGGTACATTGCTTCGTCACAAGCACCTTGAATGCCTAAGTTGATCATAGTATTTTGAAGGGTTCTTCCCATATAATATTCCAAGGAGAGATAATAAACTCTCTGAAACAAAAAATGGTATCTGGATAAAAATTGTGAAACTTTTATTCCCATGTATTGTACTTTATTAAAAAATGCAATTCTAACGTGAAACTGACAAAAATATTTTAAATACTTATGCTTATAGACATCTGTTATAATATGTATATATAATATGTATAGTAATAAAGAGACATTGAACTATGGTTCAGTAAAATAAAAGTTCCTTAGATTGTGTCATAACAGCTTTCATAGATTAAGTCTTATTGTGACTTCAGGGTTCCCGTTACGAAAGCGATTAACATACATATGTATATCTTATCTCGCGCGTTTCCATTGGACTATGATTAACCCTTTGCACTCCGCACGATTTTGGACGTTGGCTATCAGCTACTCAGCGCCACTTTACAGCAGAAACAAACATTTACAAACCCTCGTATAACTTATTATAATTTTAGAACTAAGTAACGTATTATAATGATATTGGACTGATATCAATTGGCTGAGATCGAGGAATGTTTATTTGTAAAAAAATCAATATTTTATTGTTTATAATTTTGCAGAGTATGATAAATTTTAAAACACTCCCCAATATGCATTGCGGGCTGGTTGGTGCATGTTTGACAATAATAATTTGTTTGTCGCCTGCCACCAGATGTTTTCCTGTTAGAACATACTATACAGTCTCGTTTTCTTCGTCCCACATCTGGAATATGTAATTTATTATCTAATCTATTGTCCGCAGAAGGTGTGGATGGGCGCGTTCTTGACACACGAAAATCGCCCCTCAATTGGTCAATTAGTGTTTTGACAAACTTGTGGTGTGTCATTGGCGTTTCATTAGTTGTTTGTTTTGAGATGCGATATATGATGTATGAGTTTATCACACACATTTCCAACCCCCAAAAAAATAGTTTTCTCCACCATTTCAACGATTTACGGAGGAAACAATACGTCGAAGCGTATTGATCCGCACGATCCACACCACCCATATTTTCCTCCAGATTTAGACTTGTTTATTTATAAATATAAATCACACTATACAGTGCGTGCTATGTTCGCATACCGACCTTTCTTCTACAAGCTCCCCTTATCGCTCTTTTCAAGTGGTTTCGAGAAGTGCTCGGACCGTCGTGAGCACGCGTCTCATATTCTTGTCTAACACAAAACCCGCCGCCATTTCTTGTATATATCTGTTAGTAATCTTACGATATTATGATTCGATTTCTTGTGCCATTTCAAGAGAAAACTTCAGGGAAACATGTATGTCTCGAAAAGTTGCGCGGAAATAACTCAATTCGCCGTAATCACTAATAAACTTGAATGTCCCCTGAGAGGGGACATCCGAGTGATATGCTAGAATTACGATGTCCCCTGAGAGGGGACAGCGGAGTGCAAAGGGTTAAAAATATATTGAATGTTCGTTTTCAAAGGGGCGTACATGAAAATGGGGACAATTAGAATTGATTGCAAAATTAGACAATTACTAGTATTTATTGCGGTCGTAAATCGTTCCGAAATATTGTCAAGTCTTCTTCTTAGTAGGGGGATCATTTATAAATAAACGATCACAAATCTCAATGGTCCGACTAATATCAGCACCGAAATACATAATATGAAAAATATGAAAACTCGTAAAAAGTTTGAAACTTTGAACTGCTTACTAAAATAGTGCATAACTAAAATATTTTCAAAATAACACGGGAACTTGGTCCGAAAACAGACCGTCAGAGAACGTGTTAAACGTGACATCTTCGCTTTTAATAGTTGCGCATCACGTGATGCAACCGTTGAAATTGAAATAAGTTCCGCAATTAAATCGCAAACAAACAAAGTTCGGAAATGAGTGATCTTTCCTTCAATTTAAATGACTTTATGAGAAAAATCGCGTATTAAATTATACTTACCCATTCCAACTTTCCTTTTTTTTTGTATGCTTTTTCACCTTTCCCAGTGTAATTTATCTTTCCGTTCGGATTATACTGGCGTAATCCAGCTTCTGATAATTGTTTACTGTTTACGTATGATGAACAAGACGCGAGATTATTGCGAAACTTTAATTAATACAATGACCTCGCGGAACTTCACAAATGATTATTAATAAGTTATCGATGCAATTGGAACGGTCTCAAAAATCATATGGTCTTATCGTAAACGTGACACTGGTAAAAGAATGAAAACTGTTTGGCCCGAGACCTCGGGGTGAGCGGATGGTAAGGCCAAACAAAAATAGTCGCTGCAACATGTTGCATCTGCATTTCGAAGGTTTATCACTAAATATATACCATCTCAGTGATATAAATAATATTGTACACATATGTATTTGTAGTAATAATTCGTGGCTATTGCGAAAATTTCGCGGAAACTTGTACTTTTGATACTACGATTTGACATTTTTTTATTTTTGTGATTATGAACTGTGTCTCATCAAACAAATAAACATTATCATCTGTAGTAGCATTTTAATATAATTCCGTATACATATATATATATATATATATACATGCTATCGTTAAGCTCGCGCGTCAAAGAGTGAAGGCCAAACGATAATTGTCGATCTTCAATAATTAATATTATTAACATATTAATTGCAATTACGTTGGCTAAAAATTGCTTGCACTTTTGTTTTCAATAATAGCGCGGGAAATCATTGACCTGCGAGATATTACAGACGTGTTATTATTACACAGGCAACCGAGCGCAACCGAGAAACCGGAATACCTTTCAGAATTGACATTGACTGTGAAACAATGTCAAAAAATATTGAAAAGGAAGGAATACCGTTTATTTTTTACACAACTATACAATGTATTCGATACGAGGAATTAAATATGCAAATTACATTTACCAGCGGTAGCTAAGGAGAGTTCAATTTGAAATCGAAATTATGTGTACGTGTGGTAGGGAAGAGAATATGCATACTTAAAGAAGCATACCTTAGGATCCTTTTCATAATAGTACTGTTGAGTACGTATCCATCTAGATACCAAGTTGTCCTTGACGCTGTGTGCCAACGCGAAAAAGTAGTCCCTGCTTGTTGCCACATTACGATCTTTTACAAGCGTATAATGAAGATGCCTGTTGAATGTTTTCTTGAAATTCGCGACATTTTCAACGTCTACAATTCCCCGCACAGAGATCTGTTTCCTTTTCTCGTGATCCACTTCTGACGCAGACATCTCTACTTTATGCTTTCGGTTTTGATATTCCTCAACTCGATATTATTCTGTCTTCAATTTCTGCTCTCGTACCAACTACATACAGCAGACATATACGGTATTTAGTGTTCTACATCTACTCGAACACTTTGATTAAACTGAACCTCGCTAACGTGAATCTATGATTCTTTACTTAGAATGTATAATTACACTGATTATTAGATGTAGAATTAATGAAGTTGTGTTTCAGTGTATTTCTCGGGTTGGGTAGCAATACCTAATGAAGAAGATGTAACACGCTTTTGTTACCGTTTTCGAAGAACGTTGAGCACAAAACTGACCGGTTTTTACAACGCATGCGTAGACGCCGGTGCCGCATGAAACCTCACACGTACGCTACCCAGAAACGAATAGCACGCGCAACGCAACACTTTGGCAACTTCGAGGCGGCTGGGCGGTCACCTTGTGTCAAGGTCGCGCAAGCGCATGTCCTGAAAAGATGACACGTGACTTTAAATCCATCGTCTAAATGAAATTTTAATGCACTACTAATACCATCTGTTATCATATCTTACAAATTCTCCTAGCAAGCGAACAAGAAATGTATTTATATGCATGGTGTAGCATGTGTGTATGTATACATACATACTGATATGTACATGCATAGTTGGCTAGCTGAGTGTAGCGTAGATAATGACGCATTGTTACTTTTTCTTCTTCGCTTTTGTTCGCAAAACTCGGGTGTCATCTGCGTGGAAACATCGCAACTACTAATTAGTTAGTACCATCAGTTTCGTCGTTAGATGGGATTCAAAGTATACGGTTAGTAGTTTGAATAAGTTCCCGTAGATGACGCCATTGGTTGTTTTGAAAAGTTATTCGTACGCGTATATGTATTCATACATACATCAATATATATGTACTTATTGGTACTTATGTACATCCATGTACATCGCATTAAGGTGTACATGGTGGTACATGGAGTACATGCAATATTAAAATAAAAATTTCCAAAAAGAGTATCCGACAATGTCCAATAATCTTTGAGCTATACAGTTCGTGTAAAGACCTATATTTTCTTATCCATAGTCACCTACATATATGGGTTCGGATTGTGAGCCTAGAGTTTATAATTTTTTTGTCAAATACAAAATATGCGTAAGTACATCAACGAGCTTGTTGATTATGTATTATTGAATATTGTGACATAAGAGAGTGCTCTCATTTCGGTTGAGGGTTGTCGACTCGATAGTGCTGGGTTCTCGAAGTACTTACGTAAAATATTTTGGTAATCAATATACATACATATTATGTACATACATATATGTGCGATGCATACTAAATGCACAGTTCATTATTTTGGTAAAAGTAGGAAATATCCAAAGAAAGGAGCCCTCGATTCAGTGTATTATTTAATATAATTTATTTATAAATGAATCGTGCGGATGCAGATGCAATAATGAAAACGTCAATAAGCGATACGCATATTACAATTCGCATTCTGAAAAAGATTTCCACTTCGGTTCTTTGTATCCATACTTCTCGCATTTCTTTCCTTTCGTAGTATCTTCTCTTTGGGACACTATACATATATTGAAGTAAAAGAAACGATGATGGTACCCGTGAAGTTTCAATGAGATTCAATCGAATCGTGTTATCGTAGACAGGGAACGTGCAAGTGATTCATTGTTCGAATTGAAATTGAAAGTAATTTAACAGCACTCGATTTCTGATGAGTATTATATTGTTCAGTTCAGAACAGTCTGCAATGTATCGTGATAACGTATTTGGTCGTTTCCAAGCGAAATTATTCAGAAAGAGGTGTAACACGATTTAAAAAAGTCTGACAGAATTTCAGTACCAACATCGATTCACTGGAAACGACATTATCGTAATAAAAACTCGCAATTCAGCCAACAACTTTTCATCGTAATGTTTAACCATATAGTTACATTTAGTGATGTGATAGCAATAATTGACGGCGCTATTTCTCATTCTCATGTTCACGAATATAGACTCGTTCGCAATCATTCTCTCTGTATATTCATCAATGATCGATGGAGATCGTTCGATATGCGAACCCACTAATCAACTCGAAAATTTGTTGTGAAAAAATTCTGGTGTTTGTTCGTTGAAACGATTTAACGCTGTCGTGAAAAATATAACTGTAAAGTAAACGATTCCGAATGCCTTATCGCTACAAGAGGAAGCCGTTGAATTGAAACACGAATTATCCATTAAGAAGAAAGAAAAAGAAATAGAAGAAGAATAACTGTTTGTTCGGATTAAGATGAGACACAGACACGACTGTATACTATTTTTCTGCATGTTGTCTAGAGAAACTATACCTACGGTAAATGGTACCATGTTGAAAAACTTGACCGAATCAGTGCTAAATTCAAGAGAATATTTCAAGTCAATCTGAAAATGTAACATTATCGAACAAATATGTATTTAGGAAGGCTTTTTTTAACATATCGTTCAAACAATGAAATTTGACGGATAAATAATACACACCACTGTAAATTACTTAATAAATCAATAATTAATCGTTTGGAACTATCTTTTTCCAGAAAATTATTTTGTAACATAATAAAAATTACATAATATTATTATAGAATAGAATATTCGAAACTTAATACGAACAAATTAGTCCTACATTGACCACAAAAAATTCACTAGACGTTAATGAATCTGTCTGAAAAAAGTCATAAAAATCCTATACCTTGGATATGTTTAAAAAAAATAATCATCGAAATGTAATTAAACGTTATCTACATATACATAAGTATCTATAGAGTTAATGAAAAAAAAAAATAATCTCGAGAAACGTGCTACGTTCGCGACGATGCTACTAACAATTATTAATAACGAACCTTTCCAAATTATTTTTGAAAACCTGTCCTCTTTCCTTACTTTCTATTTTGTTTCCGTTCTCAAGCATGCACGTATATACATGGCATGCACACATACATACATACAACACACATAAACACACAAGGGATACACGCAAGCAACCATCCAACACATCAGACCAAGCCTGTTCGTACGGAAGTGAATGATTTATAATTATCGTGCTTCATAGTTACAGACTTTCCTCTTGCTCGAATGTACGAGATATCGCTTCGTAACAAACAGAACGGGGGATGCTTTATCTGATAATTCATGAACAACTATCTATGTATAATCGACATACTTAAGTTGTATCTATCTTTTAATACATGACACGGCTGTTTCGTTGACGAACATTGCTTATATTCTATAAAAGGAAAAACACTTTCATATATATTGTAAATGATGAGAGATAGCTGATTTCGGAGCTAAGTTTGGAAAGATGTCATGGAAAAAGCACTCGAAAGGCTACAAAAACATAAGTGATGTTTCTTGAATTATTTTATTGGAGCTGGCGGATCCTTGGATAAAATGTTTCGCATGCGTTCTTTAACAACGAAATTGTTAGAGAAATTTTCATTTATTTTTTCTTAAACACTCTTCATATTATGTACAAATGAACAAAACATAACACGCACCTGGGCGTCAGAAATTACGAATCTGGGTGACAAAAATGTAAAACGACCCGAACGGATTCGGACCTATTAAATTTCATCGTAGTCTCGTTATTAAAACGATTGTTTTAGTCCATAGTCCCGTAGCAAAATCGTTCGAGTTTTTGAGCACAAATTAATCGAGAGAAAATAAAATGTTCATCCTGTTCTATCTGAACTGACTGTATTGCTACGTTCTTACCCCGTGGATGTATGACATTGTACCATCTTTGTGGAGTTGTAAAACCCCATTCTCTTTTAAACGAGATTGAATGTATGAGCGACAATGTCGGTGAGGTAAATGAACTAAAAGCAGCATTTGCCATCTTTCCAATGGAAAACTGTTCGTAATGTCGATCGTAAAAGTGTATAAATTATTCGATAATCAGCGAGTGCAGAGCGTTTAATGGGGCCGCATATCAGCCTACATTCCAAGAAGGAAAATCAGTTCGAGCTGGTGTGGGACAATGTGAGGAAAGATAGAGAAACAGAGAAACAGAGAAATAGAGAGAGAGAGAGAGAGAGAGAGAGAGAGAGAGAGAGAGAGTGAGTGTCAAAAAGAAGGAAGAAAATCTGGTAAACTCCTAAGGCATACACGTGCATACACACGTAAACGTACACACACTCACAGGCACACGCACGCATTGCACCGTTCATGGGTCGTAAAGAATCATGTATAGAGTGCAAATAACTCTATCGGTTTTCCTCGAGTCGCAACGAATTAACATAATCGCTAAATGTTACTTCTTTCCGTTTTTATTTCTATCAACAGGGACCCCGCCGTGCAAATCCGGGAAAGGAAAAACTCGCATTACGACATCGCAGGACAATGAAATCCAGCAGCCGTTGTTTAGTCGTTGAGAAAAGATCATCCCTTCCCCTCTCCTAGATGTGGTTTCCGGTACGATATCCTGATCCTTTCGTTGTCCTTCCGTTCTATCACGACCCCTCTCGTCTTTATAATAATCTTTTCGCTGTTTGTTTTGTTGTTTTTTTATGCTCGCATAAAATTTTTGTATGCCCACCATTTCGGGATCGTTTGCTCCCTGTCTCTTGTTACTCTACACACGTGGATTCTTCAGTTGCCCGACAAGTTTTGCTGAAATTTTTGACTTCGCGTGGTAATACGTACACATTCTCCCTCTTTACTCTTCTTTCGTTGGTTCTTTTTTACCAAGAGGTATCGCGGCTTTCACCCTGAAAACAACGAGAAAAATAAGGACAAATGAATTATGAACGTTCGCGGTTACGGTTCTTCGACTGGACTCTGGCTCGTCTGGTCTACTACTCGCGATAATAGAGGGGTCTTGCAACCAACATTAGACGCGCAAAACGATTAACCACCATACCCCCGCCCCTCCCTCTTCGTTCGCATAAAGCAGTTTAAGATATTATGTATTTTAATAGAGCCTGTCCCGTGATGCGGCACGATAATTGCCTTCTATCGCACGACACAAGGGGAACACAGGACGATCGCTGGAGCACACGATGCACTCGTCTGCAAACTTTGCTTGCCCGTGGCCCGTGGCTGCACGCTGGGTGAGTGTACGCAAATACGCGTAAGAAACGAGGAATACGCGTGTCTACTACTCGATTTATAAATGATTATGCTTACTTAGCGGTGAGTTCGTTGATTTTACCGTGCACCAAGGCCAAATTCTGATCGATTTGCGTCTTATTCGTCTCATAGACCTTCGGTAGCGTGAAAAGGGCAACCACTCCTGAAACAACAATTGTTGCTGTGTCGTTCAATGTTTCGAAGTAATAAATGAGAATAATCACTTCTACTTGTCATATACACATAGTATTACATACAGTACCGAACAAATGTTTTTAGACAAAAACCGTTTCCTGTAGTATTTAAATTAAGGATACTAAGTACTGACGTTACATTAAATAATCAACGTCTGTCTTGTGTAATTGTTGTTTTCTTAGGTCGTCCATACTCGATACATGCATTTACTAAATGTCCCCCTGGAACAAATTGTTTATTTTGTTGAATATACAAATCCTATGTGTGAAAACATTCCGCAGGGCAAAACTTGAGTAAAATCACCATAAGAACAAATAAAATACTAGAAAAAATGTCTCTGTCTGAATTCATTTGTCCGGTACTGTATATCATGTACAATAGTTTATCGTTCGAATCCAAGGAACGCGTGTCTACGACGACGCGTTACCCAAGAAAAACAATGACCTCGTTATACAAGTTTTGGGGACTAGGACGCATTAAATTGCGAATTTAGGTTCACGTTCTGTTCAAACGTCAGGCCTATTAATACCTCTGTAGAGAAATATACGTGCAACTATTTCCTGTCGCAGTGCCGATGCGTAGATACAGACTGATAATACCAGTGATTCCATTTCAAATGCAAATAATGTTACCGTTATTTATGGCATATATGGAATTCCTCTAAAAACAACAATCACGGCGAAACACGGCGAGTTATATAATCACACTTACCGATTATTATCAGAGTCATGCCATTGAACCAAGAACCCACGTAGGTGAGGCACCAAAGAAGGACGCCGAATTTCAACGAGTCGACGAAATCTTCAACGAGGAAAAGCCTGCGAAGTTCACTGACCGCCGCGTTCGCATGGGCAACGGCAACGTCTGCGACTTCATGCACCTTCTCCGCTGGTACCGTAAGGTCCAGCTCCAAAATATCCCTGGAAAATCGAGAAAGACAAGCCTGCTATTATCTTTCCATTCTGTTCCCGATAAACGATGCAAATCGAGGTACATATTTATCAATGGAGGAAACAGAAGAACGGTTACTTGAAGGGATGGCCATCGGAGGTCTTCTGGACAGCTTGTAGGACGGTCTTGTAGATCCTAAAGGCAATGGTACCGGTGAGAACAAGGAGCGACAAATAAGCAAGAACGCTGATCAGACTGAAATAGGCCAGCGAGAGAAGCACACTGAGTATGCCACCGAAAACAGCGCCTGATTCCTTTGGGTCACGCCAGTAGATTAGAGCTGCGACTAAAAACGAAAAGAAAAAGAAACGTTAGAAAACACCGTTGGATCATGTCTCGACGCGTCTTAATTTCGAACATACAATAGCACACAACATACAGGGTAGCTCTGTGTGAATCATACTGATCGCATTAACGTAAAAATTGCATTTTGAACCTTTTTTCGCAACATATCGTTTTCTACACTAGAGCAAGTAGCAGTGTCTAACTATCAAAGTAGACCGGTAAGTACAGAGCCTTTGTAACTGACACGCGAACTGTGCGTTCTCGAGTCGTTGTTTAAAACGCCGCATTCGAGCAATTGGCAAATACGTACCTACACCTACACATGCGTTGGTATTTAAGTAGACGCTTATATCTTTTTGGGAAACTAAAGGTACAAATGATTTTGTTCATATTTACCGGTCCAATTCATTCAACAGACGCTCTATGGAATTTAAAATTCGATCTCTGCTCTTTTAGGAAGCACTTACTTTACAACTGGCCAATGCTTTCGTTTCAGCGCTTTGCAATCAATTTTAAAGTAAATAAAAACAAAAGGTCGGGAAACTCAATTATAAACATCATCCTAGGAAAGACAGAGAAGCAATGCGTTCTTGCAATTAGAACGCGTCAACTTAAATACCATTGCGACTGTGTATGCTACTCGTGATCGTTCTGAAGAGTACCAATCACCTCTCTTTTTTTAGCATAGTCTATGAAATTCTACATTTTTCTGTCGCGGTTGGCTTAATAAACCAGATCGAGAAAATCTACCTAAACTGATTAATAATACGTGCGTGTAACGCGCAAGGTTGACTGTCCCTCGGCTTGTAAACGTTCACCCGCGAGACAACACGTGCTCGAACCATATGTTAGCCGGATCAAGCCGACGGTAATCGATTCTTTTTCCACGTATGAAAGAAAACCGCGCGACGGATAAACTCACCGGGGCCCTTCTCCTCGGGAAGCTCTTTCGCGGGAACTTTTAAATGATTCCTTCGTACCATCTTTGTCGTTATGTAAAAAACCTTTATAACTACGGTGACGAAAACGCTCGAAAGCAAAGAAAGTCAGGGCGACACTGCCACCACCTACCGAGTTTCATTCGCACATATGGAGCCACGCTACCTCGCGACATTACGACGACGTGCCAGACGTAAGTACTACATACGTGTAAGTACGTGTACCTGCCACAAGAATACTGGGCCAAGTGGGAGAACAGAAGAGAAACAGGGACGACTAACTGGAATTGGAAGAGAAGAGAAGAGAAGAGAAGAGAAGAGAAGAGAAGAGAAGAGAAGAGAAGAGAAGAGAAGAGGAAGGGAAGGGGATGCAGCGGGCAATAATCGGAAAAGATAAAAGACAAAACTCTGTTGTAGAAAGAAGAGAGAGGGAGAACCAACCGCGTGTGCGCTTAAAGCTGATGTGAGCTGTGAGCTAGCCGAACAGCTAGGGACACCTCGTTCGTACAAACCAGAGATGGCCAAATTCATCATCTAGAATCTAGATCTTAGATAAAATGTTTTGAATAACAAGTAGAAGATAAAAGAAGTACGTTATTTTGAATCGTTTAAACGTGGAAATTCCAATTTTTATAATAAATACTTCTTCATTAATTAGTCGACATTTGACAAGCAATTACTTAATCTCATTAACTGTTTACAGCTCAGAAAGATGCTCATAGATGCTGCAGGTTTTCAGTATGTAAGTATTATTCGAGTAAAATTGTACCCAACTCTGGCACAAACGATTCGACGAAAACGAAATAGTTTTACGAAAAGCTACTATTCTTGCAAAAACGCGACATCGACCGTGAAATCTAAACCGCTTTGCGTCTCTAAGATTCAGGAATGCGTCGATTGTGAAATACCGTTCAATTAATCGAGTGTGTACGATGGAGAGAGGTGGTGGTGTTCGTGCTCGATATAACCAAGATGTTTCACGGTAGTTAAGCGATAATGGTAAAGCACCGATTAATGGGCCAGTGGGGCTGATGTAACAGCCTCGAACAAGTCCTAATAATAGGCAAGTAGAGTCGGTAGATTCTCCAATTTTCTATTAGACATCGGCGGCTTTGTCTCTAATCCAAAAGAACGGCCTACTAAACCGTCTCCCAAGGACTGTTCAACGTCCGACCCGTTGAGCGCGCGTCGTTCTCGCGTAATTTTGCCAAATGAATTTATGCCGTCTCTGTGTCGCAATTCCCGATCGAACACCAATGTGCGAAATTCGTAATCCGGGAGGACTACTCCGTTCGAACGAAAGTCTCTAGCGCGTGTCGCATTTAAGTTGCACGCGCGTGGTTTTCGTCCGAGAGACCCCCCGCGAGACAGCAGACAGCTCCTTACGCGATCGATGTTGCACGTCTAGACTAGACACGCAAAACTGCGATATAACGCATCAGCAGACAGACATGAGTCATCTGTGTGTGTACACGTAACTGCGATTCCAATTGAATGGTTGAACCACGTTCGCGGTGGCGAATCTAATTAAATCTACAGAAACGCGATCAGGTAAAGCTCTTGTACGTTCTAAAACGAATTAAAATTGCTAAAAACCGCGAATGGCGATCGATCGAATACATGGGAACCATAGGGTACCCATATACCAGGCGGGTAAATTATTCCCACAAGAAATGTCATCCTCGAGGTTCGAAGGGGTCAGATAGGAGGAAAAGGGGGGAACGGGTACGGCCGGGGTACGGGTTTACCGGTGGAAAATCAATAAGACCCTTCCGGTTGTGCGTCGCCCCGACGTCGGGTCGCGACGGCGGGGCCGTTGCCACGACCTCCCATACATACGATTTTCTCAGAAATACATATACTTGTCCTACGATATACCCCCTTTGGCACACGTATTCTTATTCATCCCTCATTATTACTCCATCGTCTGTCCACCGTTAAAGTATACAGGGGGAATCCCAATGCCAAGCAACGGTCTCGATCAACTCTTCGTTTATACCGGTGCGTGCGTCTTGCGTGACTGAAAGCCCCACACCGTTATTTATACCTCGCGCGTTCGTAACCGCGACGACCAGAGCTTCTGCTTGCTGCTGATTTCGTCGAAAAACGAATAAATTGATACTCTTATAGTCTAGGTTTTGATTACACAATTCTGAATGAACTCTATGTAGTTCACGACCAAATACCTTGCGCACCCATCGGAGTTAGTCTCACGGCTCGAATCTTATGGCGACCGACGCGTTTTAATCCCGATTCTAGAACAAGTACATCCGAATTTAAAACTAAATAGAGTATCGAAAAAACAATCGACCACGATATACCTATATTATGACATATTCATCCGAACTGTTCGTTCATAATCCACCATATATCGTCCAGTACTGAAAACAGAGAGCTCCGGTTCGAGCTCGACGACGATAAAATCACTAATTTTTCCGAAAACCCCCACCCCGAACTCGGTAACGTAACGCCGTAACGCATCTGCGCACTCGCGTGCGCATAATCGCCACTTTCTGGCAATCCGTCAATGCCCGGCATCGGCATCGGCATCATCATCATCATCATCATAATCATCACCATCACCATCATCACCACCACCATCACCACCGCCGCCGTCTTTTGTTTTCTCTCTCTCTCTCCGTACCCGCCATTATAACATAACCTAACCCCCTTTGCACTTTTCCCCCTCATACTCACGTTCCTCCCTCTTGATGGCCATGGTCTCGCACGGTTCTACTTCCGGTTCTTCCTTCCCCTACACCTGGGGGAAGATCCGACGAGAACGAGCAAAAACGCGCGGCAGAGGCAGATAGAACGAACGAGAAGACGTTACACACTCGGGGTACGGAGGATCAGACTGCGGACGATCGCTAGGAAAAACGAGAGTTCTCTGCGAGATTTCTGGCAGAGCACCAACCTCGAACCGGCTGGATACTATATTTAGCCGCAACGGCCCGCCAATCGTCTCCGGCTTTTTTGGATTCTGCTACGACGGATTTTGAGCATTCGAGGGTTCGAGCCGCGTCAATGTGCTCATTGCGTCTCGACAACCCTCGCTCTCTCTCTTTCTTCGCTCAATTGTCTTTTGAGCTTTGGCGAAAGTTCTTTTGTATCCCGTCAAATTACGAAGATCGTATTATTTTTTTTTACTTTTATTTACTTGTCCAACGATTCCTTGTAACGAATACAATATAAAGTATAAATAACCGTACGTTATCTAACCACGTCTGCAACTTTTATCTGGAGTAAACGAGATGGTTACCCGGAGACAGACGGTCGCAAACGAACGAGAGTTACGATTCAATGATTTGAGAAGCAGCGTGCTACACGAACGGTGTACATGTACATATTATGCAATTACGTGCTGCTGCTGCTGCTGCTGCAACTGTCACCGCAATGGATCGAATGACGAACGCGACTAGAGTCCGAGTCAAAACGTTCACTACTTTAAACACGAAACACGAATCTTGGAGCAAGTATGTATTTGTTTACGATCTATCCCCACATTACTTTGTGTGCTTGTGTTCATAGGGAAGCGTACGGAAAGCACTATTCTGAGAACAAGTACATGCAATTGAAGCATAATCAAGAGCGTTAAATACTACTGCCTTCATTGAACGCGCGATAGGTTCCACAATGACACGATTCAGGTGACGAAACCGCGGCTGAATCATGTACCCGCTTTATAAGACGATACAAAAAAGTCACGTGCGATCAGTTTCATCGTGAATCGATACAAATGTTGTAAATGTTGTAAATGTTGTAAATGTTGTAAATGTTGTAAATGTCGTAAATGTCGTAAATGTCGTAAATGTCGTAAATGTCGACACTACGACTTCTTGCATTCTTATCGTCCAAGTTGAACGAAATAGTTTAGCAAGAACGTCGTCGCGTAATTAATCATTCTACATTCGAAACGAGCAAGTGGACAGAGATCGAGACTATGGCAAGGTGGTTTTGTAGATAGACTTACAATTAGCATTCTTTCACGGAAACTTGTTCGGTGGTTTTAAAGGTCTCTTGGAGATCGGACGAAACCTTGGTGCTGCGATAGCAATAACTCCTATCGAACGTTCAGAACGCGCAGTTCGGATTTTGCAAAAAAAATTAAGTAAATACTGCTGCTGTTACTTAATGCTTGAAACAAATGACATTCGGAGTCTGTGAGTGTAACAAATGCATATGAGACTGAACGTGTAATACATAAACATAGACGGACGGACGGACGGACATTGACGTCGAGGCTGGTCTCTTACCTTCCGGATTCAGTCTCTCGGGCTTAAACCATGCGTCTGTAAACAACAGAATCGAAATAGGTTAGTTCCTACAAGCTTCGATTAACACTTACTTCTACTTTAGAATGATCCATGAAACGAACAATCGAATAACAAAAACGAACATTCCAATTCTCAATGAACAGGTTGAAAACGACGATGATTTCCGAAAGTAAATGGCAAATATAGCGTAACATTCGACGAGTAACGTGCTATGGCTGGTAACGTGCTATGGCTGGTATCGTCATCGTACAAATTCCTCTGGTATTAAAAGTTACAAGGTACCGGTAAAGATTCGGTAAATAACACCCAGATTATACATTATACGTAACGAAAACTAGCCGATGTGCTTCCGACAGACTCGTTAGAAAAAAAATCTAGCGGTTTATTCGTCCGTTATCAATATCTTATTGAGAGTTTACAGTCTCGAATGAGCTGTTGATTGATTTTCATTTATCTCTGCTTGCCTACAGTCAATAATTTTACTTCTGGTACAGATAAGGGCTATATTAAGTACGATATACATAGGGGTGCATATGTATACGCTGTCGAAGATGTTCGATCATCCTGGAAATGCCACAGGAATTTCGTTTCCGTAGCGAAATTCCGAAAGATTGACTCGTTCGACTCGGTGTAATTAGCAGGCGGTAACGTCGCGTCAAGCGTTGCGTAATACCTTCGCTGTGACCTCGACATCTACCCCCACCCCGCTCCCCTATATATCTCTGTGTACTTCGATCAGGACAAATCAACTTAAAATTGACACACGTGCTTTGTCACTGTTCGTCTGCGACAAGGAATAAGATAATCGGGGCGAACCTGAATGTCCAACGTTTCATCTCGACCGATTATTCTGTATCAGAGAGATATCGCTCGCTTCGAATTATTTTTAACAGACCGTAAGAATCGAATATTTAGGGTGCGAACGATACTCAGCTGCTCATTCTACCCGGAAAAATTCATATTTTCCAGACTGTACAACAATTCGATCTTGGTTCAATCAGTATTATCACATAAACTGCAAACGATTATACGATTCGTATTAAAGTTTTAAGTTTCCAACTAGTAAATAACGATTGATGAAGAATTTCAGACTACATGTACATACATATGTATAGAAGAAAGTTTCAGTCCCCGTCAGTCCGTTCGTGACCACTCTTTCGAGAATATCTCCTATTCTTTATCAAAAACTGCTATTTACAGTACCGGGTGGGCAATATATTTATAAAAACCGATACTCCTCGATCAATAACCCACTTACAAATCGCGTTTCTACCGCGCATGTCAGTCAGTCGATGCACCCGGACCCATATAGTTATCAGTTTTCTTTTTTCCTTTTCCATTCGAATAGGTAGTCTACGAGCAAAAATCGATTCATACAAGGGATAACATTCTTAACAAACATATTACATTCATCAAATTCATTAAATATTATAGACTTTCACCAGCAGATTTTCCAACCAACATGGTTGTGCCATACTAGAAGTTCAATTTTACGGTCACAGCTATTTCAAAATAGTTTGTCAAATAGGTTTACAAGGAAATTTTCGTATTACAATCTTAGGAAACGTATTCTTGGGTCTTCCTTTAATCTGCAAAACTAATATCTATCAAATTTCACTGCATAAAATGTCATTCCTTTACATATAATTGAGAATGAATCGATACAGCTGTAATTTCTACACTTTTATCACTGATAACTTTAGTAACTGAAAGATATGTATTATAAGATAAATCAAAGTGTACCTTACAAAAGAACTGGATGTAACTTGCTATACATTTTCTAGTGTAGTTAAATGACAATATAAAAGCATCCTTTAACTTATCACTATAGTGTTTGCAATTTTTATCATATGACAGATAAGTTAACTAATAAAATATTTTATATGTATAGTATACTAAGTATATGCTCATATACTATAGATTGTACATACATTATCGGTTAGACTGTGCAGTTGCTAAATAAAAATCAATTCATTATTCTTATACATCAGTTTCATATAGCAAGAACAAACTCACATCGTTTAAGTTTAAAGAACAGCAAAAACAATTATGCAAGACACGGTTATTCTCTCACGTTCCATAAAATCAAGTTCGCGTTAGTATGAAAAAATATCGATTACTCGTCCGAAACTATAAGCGTGTTATGATTTTTGTGGGACGAGTAAAAAATCCTGTGGTTCAAGCACTCGGCATATCGCGAACCGCATCTTTTAGCGACAAGAACTTTGTACGTGACGTATTTAGCTGCTTAGCACTTTAGACTCGTACTTATGCGATGAAAATGAGAACGTACACGGATCAAGAATATTCCAAAAGCAAGGATTCCCATTAGCTACACCGGGACACGGTTTCTTGCAGACCGCACCAGTGTCGTCCTTTTCTTTTGTTGGAAAATTCATAGGGCATACCGGCTCCGCTTCCATTTTCACCTAACCTTGCGTCTCGATCGAACCAAGGACGACGAATCGCATTCGAGCACTACACCCTGACAGTTCGAGCTGGCAGCGCGAACGGCGCACTTTCTCAAACACAAACTTCTTTTTATCAGACTCACACTCTTTGGTCTTCCTTCACAAACGTATTTATTCTTACGCACTTAATTGTCCCGCTCTTTATACCGATCGTTTCCAAACTGACTTAAAGAAACGAATCTTTCCAAGAAATATGATCGCACAACTCCAATGCAACACACCGTGCTTCGAGTCAAGAAGAAGACTGACACGACCCTTATCGACCCGTGGGCAGTTCCAGATATCCCCCACCACTTTGTGCTGCCATAGGCCATAGGTGTACCGCACAAGTGATACATACACATACATAGGGCTTCACCGAAACGAACTTTGTTAGATTTATCGACGATAGATGGCGTAGCCTCCGATCATAACGCGAAATAAGTTCTCGTTACCCCGCAAGATGGCGCCAAATAGCAGATGAACCGGTATCATTCATTCCGCAGCTCTCTCTCTCTCTCTCTCTCTCTCTCTCTCGGAAAAATAAGCTGTTAAAATTTTGAACTTAAATTTAATAAAACTTAATGGGAAAACTACGTATTTACTATTCTCAATTTCCATTTTATCATGAAAAAAGTTGAGGGGAGAAGAATGACGCAATCTACCATCGGAAATAATTCATGAGTCAGACGTGAAATTTTTCGTTCTCGAGTCACGTATGAAAATACCTCTGCAGCAGACTGTACGATCGAAACAACATGTAAAGCATAAGTATAAGAAGATGGTTTTCAATGAATTCATTTTTAAATAAATAAATTTCTTCATAGCACACATTTCAGATGAAATATCAAATTGATTCGTTTGAGTGCTAATCGTTAGAAGATGCATGTAGTGTTACTGTATTTTCCAGTGATCTGGAAGTTCCCATTGGATCAACCAAAAGGGGTTGTATTCTGTTGCGGATTGATATGAAACGAGAGGACACGAAGGATTTTGATCCACCATAAAGATCGTGCACCACAAAATCGTGTTTCCTTTTTTATAGTGACAATGCTCTGTAACTTTCTGTAACATGTGCGCACTGGGAGCCCACGTATAAATGTCGCATCACAATTCACAACGGATAGCACCGTGATATCTCTATATCTATACAGTATAGAATTATACGCGACGTTCAACTCGGCTTCTAAACTAATCGATATCGCGTTCAAGTGTTAACGCTTTATTGCAAAAGAGGCCAAAAATGAAATTGTTAATACCCGTAAAAAAACATAAAATCCATAGGTATGAACTGCAGCCTGTGCCACATAAAATATAGTATTATCGTAATCCATTGTTTATTTTAATAGGCTCTACGGTTCTGTTTTTCCAAAGTTGAATATTTTTATTGCACGAATTTTTTCCAAATGTTTCACCGTTTCTAGATACGTGTTCTCATTGTACTCAGGGTTTTACAGATAAAAATGTTTGACGAAAAATTAAAAGTACGTTGGATACAGCTTGAATGCAAATCAATGCTTAAGAACGAAACGTCGTGGAAAGGTGTATGTACGATGTGTTTGAAATAACTAATTGAATCTCTATGACTCAGAACATTACGGACGTCGTAGTTAAGCGGAAGCGTGGTTCACTTTATGCGAAGATGCTTAATCCTTCCTGCTTTCAAAACTTTGGATGTCGTAAACGAAGATATCGCGAAAACAGAGTTAACGTGAATAAGTAATGTTCCGTCGACAGTTTTCTCGGAACAAGTAGAAAATGATTTATTTAACGAAAAACACGAAATATATAAACGTACTCACCAATTCCAATACTGCTGAATATCTCTTTTGGCGCAATTTCCACTTCTTCTACTTTTTCCCGTCTGGCTTCCTGTTTTATTGGTTTAAAGCTTTTTATTGGAGAAGCTTCCACTTCCGATTCGAATTCAGATTCACCGGTGTCTGGCGCACTGGTTTGTTCCTTTGTTTCCATATCGGCAAGCAATTCATTCATAATTTCTACTTTTTTTTCCATATCGGCAAGCAAATATTCATTAATACTTTCTACTTTTTTCTCTTCATTCACAGCAGATTGAGGTTTCTCCAGAACGGGTTCAGGTTTTTCCAGGACATTCCACGAATCATCTGTTTTTTTCTCTGCGGAAGAAACGATTTCCGGTTCACGATTAGCAACCTTAATTTCTTTTATCTCTTCTTCTTTCTTTTCTACAACTCTTTGTTGTTTTTCATCTTCCTTTCTATTAAGTGGTTTGATACCCATAACTTCCGACTGATCCTCTATGTTACCTGTCAACAAATCAGATTCTGGTTCCTTCCATCTAACCTCAAATTTATTTTCCGCGACCGGTCTAACCTTCTCTGAATCTAACAGTAACAGTGTTGCCTGTTTAGGATCATTGGGTTCAATCGACGATTGGTTAAGAGAAAAATTAATCATATCCTTTTCTGTATCGAAGTTCTGCTCCAGAGTTCCCTGTATTTTCTCAGTGTGAACTTCAGGTTGATTAGAGTGTCCATCCTGGACATGCTCGAGATGCTCAAAGTCGTCCATCGAATCGTGCTCCCTTTTCATTGGTTGCTCCTTCAACTGGGCCATCTTTGCTACACGCAAGGAGTCGATTATCCTGTCATAGAATTCGCCTTTTCTCTTGTAGATAGTGCTCTTCAATACTTCCGAATTCGTATGTGCTTTTCAAACAAAACCTTACAAATATTTGTTCGTATTTCCGTGATATTTGATACACAGTATTGTTTTATAAAGATTTATTTCACGACGATAATGTTGTCGACTCGATCCGTTCTAGTCACTTTTTCTGTAATCACACTGTTTCGAATATTTCAAAATTATAGCCTTAAAAGTTTTGTTTTCACTCTATCCTTTTTCACTTGCTAATAAATGTTGCACAGTATTTTATTGAAATAATAATAAATAGTCATTCACCGACAACGTTCACTCCGCAACGGGTAGACGCAATTCTAAAGCACGTTCCATGGCAGAATATCTTGCAGGGTGTGCGTGAGAGCGACGAGAGGGTTCTCGCCCTACCATTACCGTTTTTCTCAGGTATGTATGTATTAAGGGTACCACACTGTACAGGTGATGCAAGTACAATTTTTAGGTGGTAATTTGGCGTTGGCATATGTTACTGTTCGAAGATCTTTGAATTCGTGTTACAAACGTGAAGTAATACGAAATAATTTCTGCTTCTAGAACGGAAGCCACGTATTTCATGCGAGAATCATCATCGGGATCTAGCCGAGTATCGTTCGTTCCTGAAAACTGACCAATAAGAATAGAGCTCGGTTCTCCCGCTTCTTGATTGAAAAGCTGGAGGGAGGTGTAAGAGTTTGATTGTGACACAATGAGTCACTCACATTAGAGACAGACTAGGTGCGGACGATACCAGCACATATTGTTGTAACCGTTAAACGTCGTTAATATATAATTAATCAATTATTATGTTAAACATCGATTTGGCATATTAACGAAAAATGTTATAAAAACTATAAAATAAAATTACACGATGACCGTGCATTATTTTTTATTCCAAAATTTCCACATATGTTATCTCACTTTCTAAAGCATTTTATATACCTACTAATACAATAAAGTTGCCGCATGCAACTTCACAATATACTTCCTTAATTAGTTGATATTACTCTTTAGCTTTCGCTATAACATAACATATATAGATAATGCAATAACATTACCAACTATATGGTAAGGATATTTCATTTTGAACACGTAACAATGTTGAGACATTTACAGTGTGTACGCTAAATAAAGAGAGAACACTGTGAATGTACTATACTATACCTTCTATTTGTATCCCTCAATATTTTTAAACATTCTCAAAGCTATTAGTGTAAAATTGCAACAAAAATAAAAAATGTATGCTAATAGTTGCTCTAAATACATATAAATATAAGATTTGTCACGTATAATATAAGTGATTGCGGATTTACATGTCCATACATATGTAATATGTATACATGCTACATAAACGTGGACCGTGTGTTCAGTGCGCATGTGCCCAGCCGGTATTCTGCGTTAAAACCGAATCGCATTGCAAAGCGACGAACGATTATAAAGTATATAAAAAAGAATTGTTAGAATTACACACGCGAAAAGTGAATAAATGTGAATAATACCAGTGCTTCGATAGTGTTTCAAACGTATGAAATTATTAATATATCCGGTTATCGTCTGGTAAAGTTTTAAAAGGTAGCTCAAAATGAGGAAACAATTTCCTCTCAAGATTCACAAAAACATGTACACATAGATAATCATATTTAACTTTAACTTACATCGTACTGCATAGGTACTTATGTAGATGCATTTACTATATTCTTGCATTTACAAGTTCTAATTTGGAACAAGAAGGAAATAATTATATGTATAGTATTTCTTGTTTGTAGAGTTTGTTATTTGGAAACATAAAATGGGGCAAATAAGTTTATTCTTTGTGTATTAGCGATAATTTAGTTATCGCTATTCTCATTTGTACACTAATCCTGAAAGTAACCGTACTAATTCGTGCGATAGGCGCAAGCGTATACCCGTGCAATTCTGCGTTAACCTCGCGGTTCACAGCAAATCGCGGTCAGAAAGTCAGCAGAGTGGTTGCGCATGCGCGCCTATCACGACGCGTGGTTCGAGCGTTAGTCTTTGCTTGTTCCTCGTACGGTGCTGACGCGTGTACTTCCTCCTTCTTTCACTCTTTTTTTTTTTCTTCTCTTTCTCTCTTCTTCTCTTCCCGGTCCTACAGCTCGGTTAAAGATTTGCCCTTCGCAAAATGGCGGCATTGGCCAACAGCAGGAGGAGGCTCAATATACACGAGGAGAAAACGAGTGCAAGAAACGGATTAACCTTCTGCGAAGACATCCTAACTAATGGCCATGCCGGTTTACAGAGCAATGGGCATATACAGGTTAGATTGTCACCTGTCACGCATATTTTTTGTTATTTATTTGAAAGTTGTGTTACTTGAGAAAGTTTCGAACACTCGACACACATTCGAAATTGAAGTGAAGTCTATTAACTGCTTTTAAAGCCTCCTGAACGAATGTACGAACGAATACCGGTAATTGTATTGAGATTTACAGTCGTCGTTTAAATTTTTTAATTCAACATTGGTCTTCGAACTAATAAAGAAGTAGATGAAAACTCAATGAAAATTTTCATTCTCAATACTTGAAACGCAAGAACTGAATAATTATGTATATGTTTAAGTACATTGTATATTAAACAATGTATGTATAATGGAAATACACATGTATGATTAATAGTACGACTTGCTTATAACCGGCTATTATAATAAATCTTATTACTAGTAGTTTCCCGTCACGAATCTCTGAAATAGAGTTAAGCAAGAGATTGGGTTAATATAAACAAAAACAGAATTTAAGCAGGTAGAAATTGTAAGCAATAAATAACCTTTATTTCAAGTTTCAGTCGTTACTTTTCAACAAGTTCACGAATATATGTACATACTTATATGTCCTAGCGTGGTGGAATGAACTAATTTTATGGTGGAGTTATCTTTAATTGAACGAACGATGAGTATTCATGCTATAAAGCTCAAATTATACAGTTGAGTCGGTAATTTAAAATACTTCGTGTGCTCGTTCAAGCTATTTCGACTGATTACACTGGATTATTTTTTCTAAATAAAAATGTTTATCAACAACGTTAATTGCGACTGAAAAATAGTCGTGGTATCTTCTATTTCAATTAAGCGAAAATCATATAAGCATTATAAACAGGATATAAACATCTTTGTTGTTTTTTCTACAACAGTATTGTTGCAAGTTTTTTATATGGTACTGGATTAGGTGCAAGTGGAACTGCAGAGTTGTAACTAAATAGATTGATCTATAAACAGTTGAAACACTGATTTGTTTGCCCAGTGTTTCTTAATTTGATTAATTCTAATAAGAAACGAGTCTTAAATAATGGCAGGTTTAGACCGGTAAAGCTCCAAATGTAGATTCGTTCCTTGCATAATATTCCTATCGGGTTATGAATCATTTAATTAGCACGAATATCTGTTCACGTGATATCGTTTTCGAAACATTCGGAATCATTAGCACGAGAGTTTATTATTGTATAAGTCTCGAGTGGTTAATTTTTTAATGTATAATATAAAATATCAAATGTTTAGGCACTAGTTTGTTTTCTATAACTTTCGTTTACTGTACTCGTTTAATTCGAGAAAATTGAATCGTTTAAAAAAGAAACATGTCCATGTTTACGTGTCTTTTTCATCAAGAAAGTTCAATAAAGTGGATGTTTCCATTCCGTTGTGAGAGGTCGAGGTTATCGATTTTAGTATTCTTACTGTTTCAGTGTGGATACGCTCGTTACGAGAAAAACTTGCAACCGTTATCGAATATTTGTTATTGGCATTAAATGATAGTACGGAAACGTCGTCGCAGTTGGTTTGAAACGGTCGGTAGGACTGCAAAATACTCGAAATTTCTCGAATTCTCATCACGGCAAGAAGTTTGTGAAAAGGACGTTAACGTACACATAGACTTCCAAGAGGGCAACTTATCTGCCTTTCCGCAAGATTACCGGTATTAGTCATTATTCCGTGGTCCTATCGTCACTTTGCAATTAGTCATCATACCTACTGTAATTATATTTATGTATCGCGCGCGCACCATCTGTTCGTTCGACCCCTTATATTTACTAACGAATGTTGAATGAGATTAATAGATTGGTAATAGAGATAAAATAGGGTCGACGTATAGCAGCGAATCAGATCTGTACGTAGATGTAATCGTGCATGTATTGGTTAAACAATCGTTTAGTTCCCAGAGAAAGAGAGGAAAGCGGAGTCGTCGAGTAGTTCAAGATCGAAGGAATCGTTCGAGAGGGTACCGTTTATCACGGCAGCATTGACCCACCTTGGATTCTATATTCTTATGTTCCTGGGTTTTATAAACCAGTTGTTTTTCACGCCGAAAGTCGCAAAAGAGTACAACAGAGAGGTAAGTAAGTCGGTACATATTTTGTTACCAAAATAGTATTTTATCAGTCGAGTTCCTATAATCGTGCCTGTATAATTCGACATGTAAGAGTTATGTGCGAGCATACGTGTACATATCATATATATTATTTTAATTATCGTTCGTCGTGTGAGAAAGGTGTGTTTCGTTTTCCTTTGTAATTGTGTGTGTGTGTGTGTGTGCGTGCGTGCGCGTGTGCGTGCGTGCGTGCGTGCGCGTGTGCGCGTGTGTGTGCGTGTGCGTGTGTGTGTGTGTGTGTGTGTAACTTGAATGTGAAACGTGTAATTGTAAATATCATTTTGGAAGAAATGGGCGTTGAACGTTGTCGAGAAAGTTGACGCAATGTCGCGGAAGACAATCAATTGATAAATACAAGTGTCAAGGCCATTTCAATATCAACCTAGATATCTTGATTTCTTTTCTCTCTTACTCTCGCTTATTTCCCTTCTTTCTGTCATTCCATTCCTTCTCGAAATAAATCATCTCGTTCGCGCGACACAACACAACTCTCTCGAATACAATTATTTCATCGAACGTGTCCGAACGTATCCAAGCTCAAACAAAATCTATACATATATGTATAAGTACTTACGTCCATAAGGTATGTAAATCGAATAGTCGCTGTCGTCGATCAGACGGAATAGTTTCCATAGGCGAATTATAGTTACATACATATATGAAAGCGACAACGAGTCGTAATTGAGTGTAATCGAGTAGAATCGAGTAGAATCGAGTCGAAACGGGTCGGATTTCTATCACCAAGATTGGCGGCGATCGAGAAATTATCGGTGAAGTAAGCGTGCGCAGTTAGACGGGAATTATTAGACGGTTAACCCTCCCTTCTTAGACAGTTCGCCTTGTTAAGATCAAAGAATTCTTAAGATGGACTTTGGTGGTTTCGTGAAACGACCAAACGAAACGCGGGCGGACCATGTTGACGGACGTATGTAAGTACATATGTACATATCTATGTACGACGTACGACGTACGACGCGACGCGACGCGGTTAATCGCGTTCTTTCAACGATGCCCAACGAAGACTTTAAATATTCTATCTCCGGTGATATCTGAAGTGACAAAAACCGTTCAATATCTAATCTTCTTCAGAGATACGAGTATACACATTTTCATAGAGATAACACGTAAACGTGCGAATTGAATAAAATTGTTCACTAAACCAATGTGGCAGAGAGTTACATAGTTAAAAACTGTCGTGAAAAGGCAAGCTTGCTCGGAGAGCTGTATAGGCGTGTTCGAAACGATAAAAAAAGAACATTTTCCGGAAGATTCGACGAAAGGGGGTGAACGAGTTTCACGCAGGCACGGGCCGATACGTACCGTGCGCAAAAAGGAATCGGTGCGACGCGACGGGATCGACTTGAGCGACCAAACAATTTTCCTTCGAGAGTGGCTATGTAGGATAGAGCAGCATCTAAGGCGAAAATGTTTGTTCCAGGGTTATGCACCGCTTTATGAACATTTCGAAAGATTTTATCTTCGATACGTGTACAGAAGAGTCAGAGATTGCTGGAACAGGCCGATATGCTCTGTTCCAGGTGCAACTGTTACACTTAAAGATAGAGTAACACGAGATTACGGATGGTCGTTTCAGTAAGTCGTTTACAATGAACATACTAGACATTTGAGCGATAAAAAAAAAGCCCTATTCTCATACCGTTTATTAATGACAGATTCATCGAATAATATCGATATACATATGTACATACATACATATCAGTCAAGTTTCAATGATAATTGAGTTTCGATTCGGTTTCGAATCGTTTCGACCTACTTAGCAATCTCTTTCAGTGAAACGAGAGAGAATTTCGGTTAATCTTTTTTTTTATTCTTCTTTAATAAATTAGTTTTTGGTAATTTCGAAAGCGGGAAACTACACAGATTCGAAAATCGTAACGAGCCAATTGGAGATACAGGAAGACAGACATTTATCTCGATTAAATGTAATGAAGAACACAAGCAAGGGGGTTTGCGAGCAGTAAGCGTGATATCAGTATAATATTTTGAAAGTCAACTTCGACGACGCATCGAAAACTGAATTTTCGGTTTTTTTGTTTTTAACGTTTAACCTTTAACGTTTAAACATGAAACGTTACGTTTCCATATTATATTCAATATTCGATCTCGGTCTCTTCGATTTATTTGGGTTACTCTCTAACATTGGTTCGATGCAGTTCGATGGTGCGTTAGTATGTTCAACTTGTCCGATTGCAGAAAACGCAGAACACTAGTCCAAGTTGTATCTATTGTTTTTCAGGTTTACCGGAACTACCACAGAATGTATAAATTTGGGATCGTACAACTATTTGGGTTTCGCCGAGGCGACTGGAAAGTGTGCCGATCAAAGTATCAACACCCTTAAAGAATTCGGTTGTGCTAGTTGCACCACTCGTCTTGAACTTGGTAATTAGTTGTTTGAATATGTGCTTAAATTTTATACTCTGTATTCCTTCAGTCGGTTCTGTTTCCTTCATTTCCGGTATCGAATGATCTCATTTCTTAAAGGAAACATGCCGATTCACGAAGAATTGGAAAAATTGACAGCCAGATTTCTCGGGGTGGAGGACGCAATAGTTTTTGGAATGGGATTCGCAACGAATGCGCTTAATCTACCTTCCTTACTGAGTAAAGGTTCTTTGGTTCTTAGCGACGAGAAGAATCATGCTTCGTTGATACTCGGATTAAGACTATCCGGTGCCACTGTCAGAGTGTTCAAGCACAACAGTGAGTTCCATGTCAATTGAATAGACAAGGCTCGAATTGTCTGTTTACGCGTAATTTTCAATATTTTTCTCGTAGATGTGGAACATTTAGAGAGTTGCTTGAAAACAGCGGTGGTTTTTGGTCAGCCAGCAGCTGGAGAACCTTGGAAGAAAATAGTAATTGTAGTCGAAGGTGTTTATTCAATGGAAGGTTCCATTGTACATTTACCGGAAATATTGGAGCTTAAAAAGAAGTACAAAGCAAGTAGTAGACTTGAATTGCAAATATGTACAACGATCGAATACAGTATTATTATCATCTACTATCGAACGTTGCAGGCATATCTTTATTTGGATGAAGCCCATAGCACAGGTGCAATGGGAAAACATGGAAGAGGTGTTTGTGATTATTATGGAATCGATCCGCGAGACGTCGATATACTTATGGGAACTTTCACGAAAAGCTTTGGTTCCGCTGGTGGATATATTGCTGGAACAAAGGTGGGAGCAATTTTCGATGATGAACATTTGAAACTTTTTTCTTTCCTTTTTTTTTTTTAACAATTTTCTTAGATTTCTGATAGTGTTCAGAAATAATATTAATGACAATGATTGTATAATTCTAGACATTAATAAATCATTTAAGGATATACAGTCATGCACACGCATATGCAGCTGCCATGTCCCCGCCAGTAGCGCAACAAATTATTACTTCTATGAAAATAATCGCCGGTGAAGACGGCACGAACGACGGAAAGAAGAGAACAAAGCAGTTGGCAAGGAATACCAGATACTTCAGGCGTCGATTAAATCAAATTGGAGTGATTATCTACGGAAACGAAGACTCCCCTGTTGTACCTATGTTAGTTTATTTGTTTTCGAAAATTGGGTATGTATAAAGAATAGGAACAGCTAGTGTATTGCAAGTTGGAACGTACATTACGGTAACGCGTAAATGAAATTCTTATTTCTCCTAACAGCGCAGTTGTGCGAACTTTAACAACGCATAACATAGCAGCGGTAGGTGTTGGATTTCCAGCAACTCCACTGATGGAAGGTAGAATACGGTTTTGCCTGTCCGCTGCACACACTAAGCAACAATTAGACTATGTAAGGGACTATTAATGCTTCCCCTTTTCTAATTAAAGTGATGAACAAGACGATCCGAGAAACATTGTAATTGTGAATTTGTCGCAGGTACTCTCACACATTGAAAGTCTCGCGGATTCGTTGGGTTTAAGATACTCGCGCAAACCTCGCGATCCAACACCAATAGAATATTATTCCGACGGAGAGGCCGAATGACCTACTACCTAGAAAATGGACTCTAGGACTTTACTATACTTTGCCCCGAAGAAGCACCTCGTGCTTGTACGGAAAGACACTGCCTTGAAAGAATTCTACGCGCATTTTTTTGCGGCTTTTCCATTAATCTACACGTTCTACATTTTCAAATACCTTCGATAAATATTTCTAAAGACAGAAAGATTAGGTCGTCTTATTTCATCTTAGAGGTGTTATTTTAGATGAAACTGCTACTGTTACTACTGGCTACCACTCTAGTACACTCTTACTACTGCTATTACTCTTATACCACCACTATTACTATTGCTGCTTCTTTTTCGTGTTCCCCTCCTTTTTGTTCAGTATGCCTGTACAACGATACTGAAAATTTCACACATATTAGTACTTTTTTCGTGATTTCTTGAAAAGTACACAACGAATTACACTAAATAGTAACGTAAAAGCCAAGAGTGGATACTTGACGCTTTTCGATGTGTCTTGCTGCGCTGGCACACTGCCTCAATTGCATTTATATCGTATTCAACTTTACTTACACAAATAGTTTAATCCTCTTGCTGTGACAAACGTATTCGGCAGTAACACGTCAAGTGCAGCCACACAGAACTTTGTAAAGGTTTCTATTTTACGTAGATTGTATTCTCCGATATAATGTTAAGGACTTTTAAAATAGCATGCATATGTACAGGTGAGCACGCGAAGCATTTAACAGCAGATATTCACCGAGTACGATTTCCTTTTGAATACATAAGATTTTCAGGTCTGATTGTCACAGCAAAATGTTTGTTTGAAACAAGCATATCGTTTAATATTCGTTCTTTGACAGTCATACAGATTTATACACAATTTTAAGATAGCTTTTGGTTCCAGAAATAATTGTTTAGAAAGACAAATTTTTGCGCAGTTTCTTTGTTTTTTCCTCTATTGATTTTAATAATTAAGTAGCTTCTTAGGAAACCGTAATTGATTATTTTGTATAAACTGTAAAAGCGCGTATATATACATATACATATAGTTAGAGAGGTAATTTCATGTATTTTTTTATTAAATTAACATAATGTAATTAAAAGACTGTATATTTGATTTTTTTCATGGAAGTAGTTACATTCTATTTTGGGTTCCATTATATCTATATTCATACATTTTTTTTCAGATAAAGTATTTTTTCAAATGGTTGCACCTGTTTTCGTTATGGTCCGTATTTAAAAACTTCTATTAAACGAACTATAGATTTTCGAAAAAGTAGAAATAATGTTCCATTTTGAAATATTCGAAATTTAAAAATATGAAAGCTAAATATAATACTACGAGTTAAATATCTTCAAGTCACAAAGCTAAATTCTTTTGGAAATGAAACGAACTATTATTTTGATTAATTTCGTAATGTGAAGAGAAACCTAATTGTACGCTATACACTTATGCAATAAAGAATATTTTATTTATGATAAAAATGATGTATAGAATTCGAATTTAAAGGATAGAGGACATTTTTTCAAAGAAAATAGATGTTTCACAATCATTTTGTTTGCCCATTGTTTGCCGATAATTTTGTGAGTGTCTGAAATTTTCTACCTAAATACATCAGAGATTCATTTTTAATATTGTTTAATATGTGTGAAACGTCAAGTGTCCATACACGATAACAGATGCTGTATTCTTCCTAAGATGATACTGTTTGCGCAAATACAATCATTAGGTTTATACGGTGGGTTTATGGACAATACATCTGCAATCATTAAGATATCATTTTTTTCTGTTACGGGAAACCTATTCTCCCGGAGCATTTTAACAACAGCATTCTTCCGTTCATCTAAAGCTGATCGAGGCATACAGGTTGGTCTGTTCATGAATAATTCACGTAATTCACACGTCTTATCTGAACAGATTTCAATGTTTCTTATTGCATGCCCAAGAATTATTTTTAAATGGTTCTGTTGGCAATCTTGTAACAGCACAACGCTAAAAATAATTTATAAATCATTCAGTGATTTCAAAATGATCGAAAGTATGAGACACGACGCAAGTAATGTTTGTTTATATGCGGTTAGTATGTACATAATGTTACATAGTATGCTAACCTTTCTGATACCGGATCAACCGTATAAACGGTCCCAGAAATCGTGGAATCGTCTTGAGTTAAAATGTTCACTTCTCTGCCAACATAACTTTTAAACATCAAAGGATCGTTTTTATAAATAATATGTGTAAAAGTTGGATTGTTTTCCATGATCAGAATTACAAATTGTTTGACACGAGATTACGAAATGCGGTAGGGACATTTTTTGTTGTTTTTGACAATGGGGAATGTCGAAATAGGTTTGCTTGGACTGTCGCGCTTCTATATAGGTGCTACGCTTTCATTGCTATTAGAACTGTTGATGCTGTTGATCACAACTGATCACAACTGATCACAACGTGACCTTAAGGGAAGTCGACATTGACAGTAATTATATAAATATAAATAAATAAACAGTACTCCAAAACGATATGTTCGGTTAAAAGTTATGACGAATGACTGAAATACATTAATTAGTTATATTGGTGCACTTTAAGTCGACATAAATAATTTAATCATGGTTATATACGGCGTTTATATCGTGTCGAAATCAGGTGGATTAATTTTTAATCATGATCACAATGTTCCACGAATTGAAAGCGAAAGGACCTTTAATTATCCATTGGATATAAAACTCAGTTATGAGAATAAAAAGATTGTCGTGTGCTTTGGGCAAAAGGACGGAATTAATGGTAAGGAATATATACATATATGAAAAAGGCTTTTCCATCAAATTATGATAAAGTAGTAGGAAAACAATGATCAACTGATTGCAGTGGGTCACGTTTTAACGGCAGTAAATGGCAGTTTAGTAACCGGAAGAGATCTGGAAAATGGAAAGGATGTATTTGAATTGTTGGAGCAGCCAGAAAGTTTTCCCTTGTCGCTTAAGTTCAGTCGTGCTAGGATGACCACAAATGAAAAAATTTTCTTAGCATCCATGTTTTATCCTTTATTCGCAATTGCCAGTCAACTTAGCCCTGAGCCACGTTGTTCTGGAATTGAAATCCTGGAGGCTGACACATTTAGACTTCATTGTTATCAAACACTAACTGGAATTAAATTCATTGTTGTAGCAGAGCCTACACAAAATGGAATAGAAATTTTATTGAAGAAAATATATGAACTATATGCTGATTATGCTTTAAAGAATCCATTTTATTCACTGGAAATGCCAATCAGATGTGAATTATTTGAGACAAATTTGCAAACATTGTTAGAAAATGTTGAAAAGTCTGGTGCTGGTAGCGTTTAATCTGTAATAGGTTAGAAATGAAATTGTAAGGTGGACAAAGTTCATTATCACACCTATCAAACAGGCTTTGCAGATAAATTGGGTTCAAGTATACGATAAAACTGTTCTAACGAAAGAAAAAGCATAAGGTTTTATGTACTTCGGCATGTAAAGTAAAGTGAAGTGTAATGTAAAGGAAAGTGTGTTAAACTGTAAATAGTAATGATTATAAACAACATTAGTACTCATTTGTATTTAATATGAAACGTACATTACAATTTATTGAAACACTTTAAAAAACATATATCAATATCTGTTTACAATCTAATCATATGACCCTTACTATGATTTTTGTTGTGGTGTTCTTTTAATATCTTCGGTATTCTTAACGAAACTGTAAATATCGTCCGCTAAAAGTCGTGGCACCTCAAAAGCTGCAAAGTGTCCTCCACGTGATAAATAATTATATTGAATTAGATTAGGATACCTGTTACCCAGTAAACTCTTGGGCTGAAGAAGTAATTCGTTGGGTGTAATAGCACAGCCTGTAGGTACTTTTACAGGTAATCTAAAAGAAACGAATAATATTTAATACATTCGACGATAATACGTAATATATTTACACTACGCAACTACAAACTTACTGTTCAACTTTTAAGCTTCTGTATGCTGTATTCATATTCTCAGCGTAAAGACGAACGCTGGTAGTAATACTATTTGTTACCCAATATACCATAATATTATCTAGAAGTTCGTCGAGCGTGAAATTTTCTAATAGACCACCATCATCTCGTTCTCTGTACGCTTTGTTCGTCCAAGTGCTGAACTTCTCCAAAATGTATGCGGCTAGACCATCCGGAGAGTTGGTTAGCGCAGCCCCTGAAACAAAAGATTTCATAATTAAATATTCCGTATAATTATTATATACTCTTATACGAAGAAAGACTAATTTACCGATAGTATCTGGTTTGGTAGCTTGTATATGGAAGTACCCACTTTCCTCGATGAGGGCTATAAAAACTTTACTGAGAGGATAGAATTTCGAATAGTGTTCGCTCTCCACAACCAAAGATGGAATGTAAGATCCCACTATCGACCAAAATAAATTTTTCGGTTCAAGCGTAAAGCACATGTTGCAATGTACACCAATGATCCTGAAAACGAATCGTTATAAAGATTTGTGTATGTCATGTTTTTTGCGAAATCAAGCTTCACTAACTTTTCTGGGAAAAGAGCAGCTATGTTGGAGGCAACAAGAGATCCCCAATCCCCGCCTTGAACATAAAACTTCTCAAAGCCGAGTCTCTGCATGAGATTTTTGAATATAACTGTCATCTAAATAAAAAGAAAACTGTTAGTATTGAAAATAACAAAGATTCCGGAGTAGTACTCGCGTATTATACGTAGACAGAACGAAATATTACCTGAGCAGTGGCCATTCCTGGCCGAACAGCTCCTTCAGAGAATCCATACCCGGGAAGCGACGGTACAATTAACTCAAATACGAAATCGTGATCGGGCGAAGGTGTCGTTAACATGGGTATTATTTTCTGAAATTCGACGACAGATCCAGGCCATCCATGTATTATCATTAAAGGCAGCACTTTCAACTTTCTATCCTTTGGAATTGTCGGTCGGACATGATAAAAATGTATGTCCAAACCTGAAGTTTATGCATAACGTTAACCTTGAATACATGAACCTTGATTAAATGGGCGCACAATGAATGTCGTCTTGCCACCTTGAATGTTTGTCAGAAATTGAGGATATTTGTTGAGCAACGCTTGTCTTTCCGTCCAATTGTACTTATTCGTCCAGTAATCCAGTACTGTATTCAGGTATTTGGTGGAGATACCGTAGGTCCATGCCGTATCTTCGAGCGGATCTACATACGATCTTCTATGAGCAAGACGATACTTGAGATCCTCCAGGACCTTTGCAAAAAGTACAAGGAGTTTGGAAAGTCTCTTAACACACAAAGACACAAAAGCAGACTGGAAAACGGTGTTTATTTGTTTATCTTATGACTTACCGCGACTGGTACATCGATTTTAAAAGGTCGTATTTCAGAGGATTCTTTGCCATTTTTTTTCGATCCCCAATTCGTTTCAGGTAAAGCCGGTATCTTAAGTTCACTCGAAGAACTAAACAATACAATAAGTTACGAAAGTTAAAACGTATCGAACATAAAATTTACGAGATAAAGAACAGATAAAGAATGGCACTTGACCTTACTTGATCAAATTTATCACGGTAAACTTTTATCGTTACAAACAACAGCAATAATTATCTTTGGATAAAATAATTGAAAAGATTTATTTCGAAATATAACTTTTTCTTTCTACAAGGAGTTTGCTCATCTCCAGCATGATAACGGACAAAGTGACGCAGCGTTCATATTATAACACTGCTGTGTCATGAACTAAACAGGTGACAAAAAATTCAAAAAGCTACTAACACATCAAATTAAAATGTTCTATGACTCTGAACCCATAGTATGTACATATGTATATCAGAAGACGAAGAGAAGCTTCAGTGCTCTCTATTCATAGAAATATATAGGTACACGTAATACTGTCTGTAGCTGGTCTGACCTTGAGGCACAGACGATTCAACGTCAAGATGAAGGTTACAGGCTACTTATTATAATAGTGTTAATCAGTGTAATTAATAATTAAATGTTAATAGTATATTTCCGTATATTTTTACAGCAATTCAAATATTCTACATACATGCATGTATTTCCAATTATAGCAAACGATTTGTTCGTATCAGAGATAATGCAGGAAATACAAAATACATAACGAGTACGAACACCGAGGATAAGGGCGTGTAGCGTGTAGCCAGCGAGAACAGGTACTTATAGATAGGTACATACTATAACTTCTCTTGGGTTCTAATTACAAAAGTATCAATTATCGATCGTGTCACGCGCTTGATCGAAGACATGAATTGTTAAGGTGTATCAATTAACGCATGGCTTCAGGGCTTTAGTAAGTAAATCAAGCTCAAGCGAAGCCGAAAGAAACTAATGTTTCGATCAGTTTCGATTGATCAGGGCAAATAAAAAAAAAACAAAAGTGTACTTTTCTTTTTTCTCTTTGTATTTTTGTTCTCCAATGTTCTGTATTGTTTTGCGCAAACCTACATAAATAAGTATTTCGGTATTTAGTGACCTCCGTTAATCTTTGCCGAAAATTATCAAAGTATTAATACAATACATGTGAACCGGCTAGATTTTCAATAGAATTACGATAATTCTAACACGTACTACATAGTTGGTTTACGGATCATTCATTATATAATAGACTAAATAGACCTTCGCACGTCTCTTGCGAATGTAATTAATCCTTGTCTTTCTCATTAATATGACCGGTTCCATATAGCAATTACTAGTTTCTAATGCAACATTACCAGTTCAACTTACCAGTTACTACTATTGGACTTTATTCTTTTATCGCGTTTTATACGATAGCAACGTTATTTATTACGATTATGATACACGGTGGAAAGTGTTTAATTATCGATGGACCTGTATCTGCATAGCAACATGACTGCTTGTCTTTTCAAAATGAACTGGATTAATGATATTGTCAGAAGATGAACGGTATTTGTATAGTGTGAAGAATTCAAAAGTCTTAAAATTCCACAGAATCCTGTTAACTCGTGGAATGTACCGGCACCCTTTAAGGACAGCAAACCGTATTATCTGTACCGTTTCGTTTATTGTACGTATCCTTCTTCATCTTACATGTACGAATACATTTCGGACTAAAATGTTGTTATGCATACACATATATGTGTATGTAAATGAGATAAACGGCAACACAACTATAACATTTTCGAAAAATGTAACAGTTTATTGTCAAATCCCCAAAAGTTTAAATACATAAAAAGGTGAAAGTAAGACATTTTTTGTCCCGCAAATCGAAGAAAAACTTATTTGTGAGTTTTTCTCGATAAATACCGTTAATTATAATATCAAGGAACTTACCTGAGGTAAAGGGATATCCCGAGGGCGATGGGCACGAGTAACGCTGCGGCTTTCAACATCTTGTGATCGTGCGTTAACCGCTGTACAAGTTATACAGTGTTGTACAGTACAACTGGCGGAACACGAATAAGTAAGTGGAAATCTTATCGGAATTTTGCAGTTTAAGTAACGGGAATAAAGATCGCCGATGGCCGGGGCAAAGTGAGTGAACGAGTAAAGGAAAAAGTGAGGGAATTTGCCATTCAACACCACCTAGTGGTCGTCCTCAAAAGTGCTGGACGATTATGAATGTGTATGTACATATTATGTATGTATCCAGTATCAGTTATTTTTCAAATTACATACGCAATGTGCCTCAGTGTCTTCACTGTGCTGAGTCAGCACTGCTGACTGCAGAGGGTTTGAACGAAGAATGTTGTATGTACACATCATACTGTGAAGTACTTTGAATTGGCGCCTGCGTATATGTACTATATATGTACAAGAAACGCAGTATGTAGTATGTAGTATATGTAGTCCGATACTTTATGTATTGTATAAGTTTTTTAGCAAGCGAGTGTACATATGTACAAGTATAAGTATGAACATATTAACGAGTAAACGGAAAAGCAGTTCACTTGTACTTGTACATAGAAAGAAGGACAGTCGTGTGACTGTGACCTGTGACGATTAAACAAGCCATATATACATACATGCATTTGTAGTATGTATACATGTATATACGTACCGCGAAAACACTGTTCTTTGTAAGTTATAATTATAAGACAACACAGGTATGTTACATTTACGTAATTATATATTAATAACAATAACTACTTATATGTACATATATGCGTATACTTGAAATTATTCAATAGGAATTTAGTCGTTACTGAACACTGCGCAGGACATAATACACTTTATGAAAGCACAGTTAATTTAAAAATGTAAAAGTAATAGAATAACATCATTTCATTTTGGCTGTGTTAAAATTTATTCGACAAATTATTGAAGATCAAAATATAACAATACTGTTACAATGTATCATATTTTTTACAAAAACAACTCAAATTTTGTATGCATCGTTCAAACATCGTAAATAATGGACAAAAATTTATTTATACAGACAAGCGGATACCTATTTATTATAAATTCGTTAGAAATTATTAATAATTATATGAAAATTATTTTTAATCGTACTGCGTGAAAATAATTTATTGTAATACTATTTAACTAAACTACATCATATCCACCAACTCGATTTCTCTGTATGTATACTGATTATTCGGAAGTGATCTTTGGCAACTTTGAACAATTTGAACAATTACTATTCAGACATTTCTAATTGACTGTATAACAACGTACGCTTTTATTTTCTATTTCTGTAATTAGTATGCACCAAATGTACGTGACGCAGATTAATTTCGATCTTTTTCAATAACGCTATGCGCGTATACATTGAAAATATTATTAAAAATATCAAAAATGTAGAAATTATAAGCCTTCTGCTATAAATTAAATATACAACAAGTAACAGGAAGAACTGACAGATACCATTTTTTAAATGTTATTTAATTAAAATTTTCTCAATACTACGGTTACCAGACTACGCCATTTCGTCTGTATACATCCCGTCCTTTATTTTCACGACAAAAGAAAAAATTATTTTCTTTATTATTCGTTTTTGAGATTCATAAACTTTCCAGAAAATTGTCCTAGGTCAAAATACATTTTAGTTACATTTGCGTGATTCGAACACTCGTGTCTCGTAACTTTAATTTACAAAATTTTCTAAGAAACCAAACACTACTTAAAATTAGTTTAAGAGTTCTATACTTGTAAGTATGTTATACATACACTTACTTTTTTTTACCAATAACTGTTATTACATAAAGCACCGTTAATATGCAGAAAAATATTCTTAATAATTAATTCTTTATACGTACATATAAAAAGAATTTAGCATTCTAATGTAAGAAAAGGTAAAGAACATAAATGTTCTACTGCAGTGACATTGAATGTATCAGATAAAAGGAACTCGTCTAAAACACTGGAAGAACTGTTGCATAAGCAGCTTCATTATCCTTTAAAATTGAAATACTTTCATGTCTAACAATAACAATGTTTGATTATGTATAACACAGTAGATAGCGTTTGTCACGAGCGTTGAATGAGAAATATATTCAAACGGAAGATTACACGACAAGACGATATAACACGAAATTGTCATTGTTTTCAGTTTAACCATAGTTAGACATATGAAAATAACATTTCTAGCTATAACGCACGCTGATGTTGATATTATGAAATATTTTCATTTTATTATCACCTTAGTCATATATTAATTATATGACACATAGTGTTTTATGAAATCGTTAACAGTACACAATATTTTTATATGTATGCATGCTAGTTTCCAGGTACTAGTTGATGTTTACAACGCAAAAGAGAACGCATTTCTTTAAATTGAATATAATGCTGCTTTCTCTATGGAGGAGGTGTGACTGTGTACCTTCAAACAGAATTCATTGTTTAGATTCGTATTACAACACCAAAGTTACGCATTAAATGGTTGAAACATAATATTTAGATTATTTAGTGCAGTGTCAACTAGTACATATAAAGTACAACAGCTTTTCATGTTGTAGACACCCACCTTTTGATTTTCAACAAATGATTTATGTATGAAATTCTCTAGTTGTTAACCCCACTCCAAAATGCGTATGTTTTATGAAATTATTATCAGGATACTTTTCTTGTTTCAACACGTTTGATGACAGATCTTTCAGTAAGTAAGCAGTAATTACTATTATTAGTTAATGCACAACAAGTATGGATACGATTGACTCTTTCACTGTCAATGTTTAAATGTAATACTTATACTCATCGTGTACATAATATGTATATACATGCTCATGTAGAATAATCTAAAGTAATTTTGAATTTGGGAAGATGCTTATCGTTAAAGCTTTTCAGACTATAACTCTTCTTTCTCGTATGAGTAAGAACAACAACCTCTGTTGCTTGTCGTTGCACGATTTAAGAAGCACAAAAAAAAAAAAAGAAACATAACTGTCAATAATTTAGTAAAATAACACAATAATTCTGCGACTAAACCATCGCTAACTACAAAGTTGAAACTAAAAGTTAGTCGTGTGTTATCAATAAGCGAAATGTCAAAAGGCACCATGTTCCCTCAATATCTTACAAATATCTCATTGCACTTTAAAACATATTAAAATGTGTTCGTGTCCGTTACTGAGTAATATGTCACATAATTAGAGTGGTCAGATCGTCAAACGAGTGTTTTTCACTTCGAGAATATAAATAATATTCGATATTTTAGAAACTATAATGTTATATAAAACTGTTAAAACGACCGAGATAAACCTCTTTTTAAATAAGTCGAGAGCGTTTCACACTATAATCGAAGAACTCGAGAGTTTTCATATATTAAAAATTTTTAACACTTAGTCTATAAAATCTCGATCGTGTGATTAAAAAAAGATCGAGACTAGTTGGAACGATTAAAATTTTTAACAATCTACTGTTTATAGATGTAAATGAATAATAACAGATTGTTCGTGGCCTAATTTGTCACACTTGAGGGTAGAAAGAATCTTCTGTGGAGAATGTTAAGATGACAATGCGAGGCCCAATCGTGCAAACGCCATTTCCTTCCTTAACCGCGTAATTTCCCAATAAACATCGTGAACTGCAATAAAAATCGATTGTTTAAACTTTTTAACAGTTATTTGTTCAGTTATGCGCGCAACAGGTCATTAATTTAGATTTCAAATACACATTTAACCCATTCACAGTTTGTGCCGAGTAAAACCTCACTCGGGCATGACACATTTATCATACACGACGTGATTATGAAAACGATACGTGTAAAACCTTTTTCATTTTTTTTTTACATGTTTTATCATGGACAGAATTAGTTTAGCTGGTTTAGCGTATTAAAACATAGGCACTTTTTTTTTGCCGCATGTCGCGATTTTATTAGACTGTTGATGGGTCAAGTTGAAATTGAACATACGATATGATTACTGAAAACCCTAACCAAAATGTTAGTTTTCATTTTGATTTCAAACAGAACAGTTTCACATTAATTCTTTCATCATCGTTCAAGCACGCCATGGAGCAATACCACATTCAATCTTTCTTAATATGAATACAAAAAATCAAGCAAAACTATCGAACATTGCTTTTTAATTTTGTTGGTGTCAGTATAGAATATTTCTAGTTCTAAATGACATATGAATTTAGGATTTACCTGAGCTTTTGACAAGGCCACGCTCGATGTAACGTAGATAATTCAAGAAATCACAGACAGCTATGATCTATAACAACATATATGTACTTTTATAAATATGTTCTATTGTTTACAGTGCGAATATCTCATTTAATTTAGTTACTCACGCGGTTGCGACAGATTTGTGATATGCTGTACCACTGATTTTCTTGATCCCCAAGTCTCATGCGATAATAACATTGTCGCGGTGCTTCCAGTAATACGCATTTCCTAGAAACGAAAGAACGTTTTTCTTTTTTAGTTTCGTTAAAGGTACGAGTAGAATTTTGTCAAGTGTTGTATTTCATCGTTGAAACGCGTGACTCACTTTGGAAAAGTAAACTTAGTTTTGTCGCTAATTGCTTCGATGAAGATGATACCATCGAGAACGGCTTGTTTAACTCTTATACCCAATTCATTATTAGGGAAATCAAGGCAAAGATCGATGTCTTCTTTAAAAATTCTACCAACAAAAGGATCACCTTTGTCTACGCATGGATTAGATTTCCATTTAAGGAATTCTGTGTGAACCCTAGGATCAACTTCAAGGCCGAAATCCTTGCATTCTTTGTCTTTTTCCTTATCCGTATCTTTCTTCCAATCTCTTTCGAGAGACTCTCGATCAGATGGTAAAGACGGTCTTTGCTCCTTTAGCGGGGAATCCGGTGGAGAACTCTCTCGACCGTATTTTAAATTGAAATGCGACGGTGATCTAAAAACATGAACGTCCAGGTAGATACATTGTACACGTAAGAAGATTTTTAAGTATTTTTACCTTCGATGTTTTCTCGCGAAAAGACCCTGCTGTCCATCATCGATATTCAAACGACTTTTTGTGTCAATTTGCGGATGTAAATGGAAGTTAGGTTTAGCCGGTGTTGAAGTTAATACTAATGTTTTCAGAGCTGCCACTTCGGCGGCCAAAACTTCAGCTTTCATACGACTTTCCTCCAACAGGCGTTCCGCCGTAGCCTGACGCACATTTGCTTCTCTAACCATGTTGTGTGCCTCCTGTCGCGTATAAATATATCGCATTATTTGTATGATTACTATTTCGATATTATTTAAAAAGATTAGCTTGTTGCTTACTTGGAAAAGGCTGGCAGTGAGTTCCTCCAGTTCTGCTTCAACATCCTGCTTGATCCTCGAAAGTCGTGTGACTTCTTCATCCTTCAATTTCAATTCATCATGAGCCCTTTTAAGTTCATCTTGTAATTTTGCTACTGCATGTTCTTTCACTTCAGCTATAGCTTTACCCCATTGTAGAGTGGTTGGTGAGGGTGGTTGATTATTCTGCTTTGTAGAACATGGTTCCTCATTTTCCTCTGAATTCTTAAATAAAAAGTAGGACAATTATTTTATGATTGTAATTTATTGCAATTCTTATAAAAATATTACCTGAATCTCCTTTGAAGATAATAATATTTTTGAGGGGCTATTGCAACAGTTGATTTTTGTCAAGTCATTGGTGAGACTTTTATTGTTTATTAAAATCTCTGCATCCACTTCGTCAAACTTGATAGGCAATGGTTTTATATGATGATTTTGATTCTCAAAGAGTTTCTGTTCATTCTTATTCAATCTTGCCAGAATGTCACAGGATTTTGGGAGATTTCTTTCTTCCATCGTTGATAAATTTTACTATGGCAATAGGACATTGTGGAGCTTTTCTTTGTACTCAAATGAAAGAGCAGTGTTGGTTGAACTAGAACTAAATACAATAGTGGTTAGAAATGGGCAACTTTACACTGTTACAATATTCTGTAATTGTAAGGACTGATTTGAAAATAACTAGAGGCACATTATGCAACAGTGTATATGTCTTGATCTGTGGGTCTAAAAAAAGAAATAGCACTGTGAGATCAATTTTGTCATATACCTAAGTATATGTATACATATTAAATGTATGTATGTATGTATGTATGTATGTATGTGCATTTTATCAAATGGTAAGATTGCATTGTAACTGTTTTCTTCCGTTGTTTTCCCTTCATGAAATCTGTTAAGTGTATCAAGGAATAAGTGATATTTTATTTACATGTTTAAAAATTTAACGAGAAGCACAACTATTTTTTATCAATATATTTTATCTCAGTGTGTCACAATAATTACTGAAGTTACTAAATACAACGACACGCGTTCAGTTTATAGTATTCATAGAAATGTTCAACAAAGGGAACGTCTCTTTTGTGCGTCTCTTATAACGGGACACCTTAATTAATAGCAATCTATCTCCGCAATTACAAGCACGGAAGAAATAATTTCATCGAGTATTCTTCAATCTCCACGAAAGGAAATATAATTTTCTACCATGGAGATAAGAAAAATCATATTTTACAGAAATTACAACGATGAAAACAGAAACAGCATCCCTGCCGTAATAAAGATTCATCGGCATTAAGTAAATTCGCATATCGATCCAACAAAGTCGGTATGAATGAAAATTTAGGGGCATCAAAGCGCAGCTTACCCGTAAACCACTCTTTACACAACTCTCCTGCCATTAGTGAAATTGACGAAAATCATAAGAAGATGTTAGAGTGAGAAATGAAGACACGTCCGATACCGTTCTCGCACAATATGTCAACTTTGCGTCACTCTTCCACGACGACACACAGCAGCCATCACCTTTTAGCAACCCGCAACACAGCTTAACTGAGCCTGACTGAGCCTAACTGAGCCTAACTGAACTGAAGCTGACTGAAGCGAAGTCTTCCGGAATGAATGAACTTTCAAGCGCCACAGGTTACCTACAGTTAAATACCTACTGTACAACGCTCGTACTACCTCGTACCAGCTCGTACTTAAGTTCCGTAGATTCTGAAGTGATTGGAGTTCACATATGTTCACGTACAAGCGTTGAATCACACAAAGAATTTCGATAATTCTAATAAAATAATTATAGATCAAAAAATTAAAGGAAAGACTGATGAGTTTCATCAAAATATAACTAAGTACATTTTTATATTTTCCAATACATCGCGATATATACTTACATACTTCTGTTCTTATAAACTGTTGTTTTCGAGCAAATGGATTTTGAAAATTCACGAAATACGCGCGCACTGTATATACGCATATGTATATGTATACATATGCATATAGTCCTATGTATGTATTCAGGATTTTTCGTGACGATGGTAAACCGGCAACAAGAAGTACGTTATGAAGCTTGCAAGTGTCTACAAAGAAATTTATTGAAATGTTCGAACATTGAATTTGTACCTTGAAATATCATTAAATACCCTATATGTACATAAGTATATACATACATCTATACATATACCTGTGGCTCGGTTGGGCTCATGGGCTCTAATGGGCTCGGTTTCAACCGCCACAGATGGAACCTGTTGTAAGCGATAATACGACGGTTAAACTACAATGCATAACTCGTGCAAGCCTTATTTGCTTGTGTGTGTATCCTGCAAATTATAAAGTCATTGAAATTCGCGAGTATATATCTCAAATTAGCTATAGACCGACGAGAGTGAATGGTAAGTACATCACGTGAAATTTCACTGACAGAAACAGTGTCATGATCCCCGCGTGATTCGCTCATATTACTCCGATCTAATTGGATTAAAGTCGTTTCAATTCTCAGTCAATGTCAAAAATGTATGTACAATGTATGTACATACTTATTTTCTCACGGTTCCGTTTCGCGCTATTTTTCTTACACGACGTTCGAACTTTTCGTACTTTACACTGTACATATGTAAATTGTTTAGGTGTTGAGAATACATATTTACATACCTTATGTATTTCTTTGTTTCAGCAACCGATAGTAATTTAGATGTCTAGTGACTTACATATGTAGCAACCTTTCTTCGTTTCTCCATCAATACATAGCACTTTGTGCTGCTTTGTGCTGCTTTGTCCTCCTTCTTTACCGTTATGAACGTGTGCTGTAACGTTTGATATATTTTTCGTGTGTGACCATACTTTTAATTTATATTTGCCTCTGTGTTTCTGTGACAACATGTTCTTGAACATAAAGTTCCTTTAAATTTAAATCACATCCATCGTGACTCATTTCTTTTTAGAAAATTTACACAATGGATACAGAAAGTAAGTGTTGATTTTGTTTTCTCTATTCGATGTTATGGTTTTTCATTTCGAATATTTATAATACCCACTAACCAGTGCATACCTACATTGACATAACATTACTCATTTTGTTGTCTGTTGAAGAAACAATATTTTTATTAATTCATATTAATTTTTGGCTCTAATTGTAGAATTAATTAAAAAGAAGAATCGGCTGAAGCGAGATGGCAATCTTCAGCAACTTGCGAACATTGTCAAAGAACTTGGGGATGCATATTTCGAAACAGGAAAATACCAAGATGCTTTGCAAGAGTACAATGAACAATTGGAGGTTTGTAACATCTTAGGTGATAAACTAAACAGTGCTGTGGCTCATAGAATGATTGGAGAAATACTTGTAAACCTTGGTATTTATGAGGAAGCATTAAAGCATCAGAATCATTATTTGGGTATGTTTTTAAATTATTAATAATTTATCAAATGATACAAGGTGATTATAGGAACAACACTTTTGTCTTAGGTAGAAGGAGCCAAGGAGATAAACAATTTATTAGAGGAACAACGAGCTTATGCGACATTAGGTAGAACATATTTCTGCTGGGGTGAAAGTTTACATGAAAACTCAGAAAAAAAAATTGAAGCTCTCACAAATGCGAGGAAAGCCTATGTGAAGAGTATACGACTGTGCAATGAGTACATTTTTTTTTTTAATTGTTTACAATGCAGCATTAGTTGTTTGAGGAAGAAATGTACTTAACTTGTTAATTAATTATCTAGATTAGGAGACACAAATATAGAGTTGAAGGAATTGATTACTATGAGGGCACGATTACTCCTAAATTTGGGATTGGTGCTAGAAGGTCAAAAGGAACATAATCAGGCTGTTGATCTTGTGGAGAAAGCTGCTGCATTGTGCGAGACACACAATTTACGAGAAGATTTTCACAGGACACAGATTGCTCTAGGCGGAATTCATGATCGTCAAAACGATTATGTGTCAGCTTTAAGACATTTTGAAGCCGCTGCAGAAATCGACAATACATCTTTGAAGACGGAAGCACAATTATTTCAAGCAGAAATACTTTTAAAAATGGAAAAATGGTGTGAATCGCGCAAGATATTGGTGTCCCTTTATGTTACAGAGAATTTGCCTGAAAATGTTAAACAACAAGTGGAGAAGACACTCAGAATTGGTATATTCATGAAAATATAAAATTATATACAAATTTTTATAATCTCAATGCACATAATTTTTTTGTTCTAAAAGTCATTTTTCTTCTAGTGGCGACCTTACATACAACTGAGCAAGCTCTAAGCACAGAAAAAAGTACGAGTGGCAAGATGAGACTGTATGAGGTACTTGGAGATGCAGCAGTTGCGGCACATTGTTTCGAGAAAGCGGTTGATTATTACAGAAAAATGCTTAAATGTGCAGAAGAAATTCGAAGCGATCGCACGGGAGCAGCTTTGCTAAGTCTAGCACAGACTTTGAAGGATGTAAGACGATATAACGAGGCGTTAGAGTTTGCTCAGAAGGAATTAAAACTCTGCACGGACCCACGTGAAATCTGTCGGTCTGCTTTGTTCTTGGCAGATTTATTAATAGCTACTCGAGCAACCGATGAAACGATTCAGGATGTTTATAATTTAGCTTTAAATAACGCAAAAGTTTGTACCGACGTTTCCTTGGAAGTGTCTGTTTTGAAAGAACAGTTAAATTATTTAAGCGAGTCCGGAAAAGTGGAGGAGATAGAAACACTTAAAGAAAAGTTAGAGACGCTAAAAGAATTATCCAGTGGTGTAGACAGCGAAGATGAATCGGACGAAAACAACGTTGGTGCAAACATTTGTTTGGAAGACTTGTCGGATGTAGAAACTGAATTGAAGGTCAAAGAGAACAGTAAAATGATGAACAGGAGACGAACCAGGAAAAGGTCGGTAGCTGTAAAAAGGAACGAAAAAGGCGAAACGCAACTTCATGTAGCTTGTATCAATGGAAATATTGAAGGTGTCGAGAAATTAATAGCGGCTGGTCATCCGACATGTGTTAGAGATCATTTTGGTTGGACTCCTCTTCACGAGGCTGCTAATCATGGCCACGTGGAAGTTGCAAAGTTATTGTTAGAGAACGGTGCAGAGGTAAATGATCCCGGAAGTCTTATGTGCCAGGGAGTTACACCTCTTCACGATGCAGCGTCCTGTGGTAATATTTCTATGATGAGACTCTTAATAGAACACGGAGCAAATGTTGAACTTAAGGCGAACGAAGGTGACACCGTATTAGATTGTTTAGAACAGTGGAGAGATCGTGTCGATTACTTGTCTTCGGACGAGCAAGCAGATTATGAAGAAATGTATAAGAAGTTGTCTGTTATGCTCCCGATAAGCACAAGAACAAACTTGAAACGATCAAGTAAATCGCCGCGTAACTTAATATACAAACATGTTAATGATAAGGAGGATAACGTGGAAACAATTTCCGCAGGCGAGGACTATAAAAGAACTATAGCAAGTCTAAAACATAGAAGTGATCCAGTTGGAAAATCTACAACTTGTATTAAACGTAACGTAAAGCCGCTCTTGAATAGCGAAGAAGTTGTTTTGGATGATTGGTTGGAAGACGATATGGATGAGGGTGTATGGGAGAAGTCTTCCAATGATAATGTCACTTTAGCAAAAAGAAAATCAAGCAATTGCGGCATTGACTACGAAAAGAATTCGAAAAGGAAAAGAACAAACGATCAAGGTCATACGTTAAAGGAACGGGAAGAAAATTTGTCGGACGAGGAGAGTAATGATAGTTGCGACGTTGAAGTAATGCATTCTTTAAATGAACATAGACATCGAAGAAGAAACCAGCAGACGTCTTTATTATCAGTCGGATTTACGAAAGATTCCGTTTCTCGAACACCATCGCCTATGGATCCGTCTCCTATTGAATTTCAAGAGTCAAGAAAAGCCGATACTGCAATTAAGTCTATTATTTTAAATGTATCCGTTGAAGAGAAAATGTTAAAAACACAGGTAGAATTATCAAAAGCAACAACACAATTGTCGGTCGAAGGAATATTAATTGATATTCAAACAAAGTTTTACAATGATACCGGCTGTAATGTAAAGCTCGATTTGAAAACTATGAACGGTATTCCAGTAAATTCGAATAACATATTCAGAATTTTGAATGAAGGGGATATTGTTCAAAGTTACAAATGCGAAATAATTGAATTGGAAACGCCGTCTATAGTTGAAAGATATGGAACCATTTGTGGAACTTATGGCATAAGTAAGTATCTTTTTTCTGAATGGCATTTAATTATCAGTGTCCAATGTATATGTACTTACTTCTTAATATAATTATTATATCGTTAATATTTGCAGAAGTACGTGAAGTCATATCAAAGTGTTTAAAGTCATGCGAGAATACGTTTACCTTAAGATTAAAACAGGAAGATACTAGTAAGCAAGAACTTTTGTCTGTGTTAAAGACTTTAGAATATCAGAAGAACGTGCAAATACTTGATTTATCCAATGGAGAATTACAAGATATAGTAGGGGTCGTTTTAAGTGATTGCTTTTCAAAATTATCGACTTTACAGGAATTGTCTTTACAAGGATGTGATATAGATTCCAAGTGCTTGAACAAGTTGGTAAACTTGCCATTGCAACTGAAATTGTTAGATCTCAGCTATAATCCCCTTGGACCAACGAGCCAGGAAATACTATGTAAACTTCTCACTCCTTTATTACAACTTCGTACCTTAATGTTACGATATTGTCAACTGTCCAATTTACGTTTTCTTTCGAATAACAATAGCCTGGTAAATTTAGATGTTTCTTGGAACAACTTCTTCGAAGATGGACTCTGTAACTCCTTACAGAGACAATTACTTAATTTAAATTTATCAAATACTGCTCCGTCGAATGAACATAATTTAGTTAAAACTATTTTCAATATCACAAATGTTTCATTTACGAATTTGGAGTGTCTGGAGCTTGCTGCATGCCACTTGTCGGATATTGATGTAAGAAACATATTATCGCAGGTATCGAATCTTTCTAAATTGGTGCTGAGAGGTAACAGAGAAATAGGTGTGCAATCCTTGAATTTGCTATTAAAATACGCACCGACGGTAAGGCACATCGATGTTAGCGGTTGTAAAAGTATTTCTGAGTATCCAGATCCGGGAGTATTTATCGAGAGTCCAGAAGTTTGTACAGTCATCGTGAACATGTTTACTAGTGTATGCGAGTGTTGGCTTTATTTATGGCGAGGAAAAGGCGTTGTAAAAAACTTGTCCCATAATCTAGTAATTTTTAAACCCATTAATAGGAGGATTACCAGCTAAAGTTCAGAGTTTTTTTTTATGTACAAATCTGTATAGAACTCTGAAATAATGTAATAAGTTGCAGGTGGTTTCTATTCCGCCTGTTCTATTATATGTACATGTACCGTATACGTTTGGCATTCATACTTTCATGTTTGATGGAAGAGAATCGGCTGGAATTTAACATGACTTACCAATGAACCATATTTTTACACGCTGGAAAACTCGATTTTTAATAAAATTTTCTAAAAACGATTTATGTATAAATTTGATATTCGGTGAAAATCTATAATACAAATCAATTTATAATTTTCATCAAGAGCATAGTATTGTAGAACTTAGACGCCACATTATTTATTGAATTTTCCTAGAACAATATTATAATTATATTAATAATTGCCGATTGTGACATTTTTGTTTAATACATACTGATGCATAATATGTATTTCATTTTTGTAGGTCTAGTGGAGTTGCTCTATCTCGCGACAAAAATGTGGTATTAATCTGCTAATAACTTGGATGTTTTGCCGTAGATGGCGGCACTGGTATTTTTGACAGTTTTCACCATTATTTATTTAATTGTTTATACGGTTTATTTTATATATTTTTTTATGTATGGGTACTTTTCGATATTCGGGCTGAAATGTTAGCTCTTGTTTTTGCTGGTAACTCTTCTTGTGTCGTCGGAGTCAGTCAGAGTCTGATGGATACCGTTTCCATTGTTCCGACGATCTGTTCCGACTTATTCCCTCTTGTTCCGACTGTTTGAAACGTTGGTATGCAATGGGAATGGAACTGTAAATGACAGATGGTAACGTATACTCGTTCAATGTGTGCGTCTAACGAAACTCTTGTTTACACTAATCGTTCTTTCGCTTCTTAAATTCAATTTTCAGTCAAAACGTGTACAACTTGAAATCAAGTACTTTAAATGCCTATCGGAGAATTTGTCGGAATAAAGAACGTTGTGCTGTGTAGAAGGTTTGACAAAAACTGTCTAATTTTCGACGCATGCTACACATTGAACTTATTAATTACACAAATAAATATGTTTATTGATTGTGACAAGTGTCAAGAATATTGTTATAGCGCAGTAAAGTAAGTAATGCAGTAAAAGGCCTACGGATAGAATAGTAAAATAATGTTTAGTAACCTAATCGTTAAAGTGCAGCGCAGCCATTTTTGTGTATATGATACGTTATACGTTATACGTTATACGTTATACGTTATACGGTATACGGTATACGGTATACGGTATACGGTATACGGTATACGGTATACGGTATACGGTATACGGTATACGGTATACGGTATACGGTATACGTTTTATACGAATAGAGAGAAGGGAAACCGGTATATCCGACCGGTCGATTCTTTTTCTCCTACAATTTCAGAAGTAGGATTTGTCCTTGGCCCTAGATTACATTTGTGCGATATTTGGATTTTTATAATTTATATGTAGCTAAGGACAGCTACGTTCGTTTGGTAAAGTATGTGTATGTAAGCGATAGAGCATGGCGGCAGCGCGCCATTTTTATGCACGGTTATATGAATTTGGAGAGGAATAATCGCTGGCGGACCCGGTAGCAATCTCCTAGAACACGTGAAAGACCCTGGATTTAATTCTCGATCCGGTAGCTGATTGTCGGGTACGATTCCTGACCCGGTAATCAATCTGTCGTCCTACAATAATTTTGTAATATTATCTTTTTCAGGAAGCACATGTAGTAAAGAAAGAATGAAATTTCACTGAGGGGCTCTTAATTGATAGACAGAAAATGTTTGTTTATTTAAGTAAAAAAATTGCAATACCAAACAATTTCCGGCTTAATTGCATAGCATGGAATCAGAAAGAAGGATATGTAGCAGTTGGAGGAGAGGATGGTCTATTAAAAGTACTTCGGGTAGATTCGAATACGAGCGGTTCTAACAGTGGAGGAAAGTCTCGTAATATAACAACTGCTAGCAATTTGAGCATGAACCAGACATTGGAGGGACATAGTGGGCATGTGCAAGTGGTTACTTGGAACGAGCAGCACCAAAAATTCACCTCGAGCGACGAGAATGGTGTAATAATCGTTTGGATGCTGTACAAAGGTTCTTGGTACGACGAAATGATAAATAATTGTAACAAATCGGTGGTGAAAGGAATGGCGTGGAGTTTGGACGGACTAAAAATCTGCATAGTTTACGAAGACGGATCGGTTATAGTCGGCTCGGTAGACGGTAATAGAATCTGGGGAAAAGACTTGAAGGGTGTATCTCTTGCCGCCGTCCAGTGGTCTCCGGACGGGAAATTATTACTGTTCGGGTTGAAAAACGGGGAAGTTCATCTTTACGATAACCAAGGTGTATTTTTAACGAAATTAAGTATGATACCGGTGAATAGCGGAGAAAATGAAACGATAGTAGCGTTGCAATGGTACGACGGGAGAAACGGCTACGTCGCCTTAGATTGTCCCACCCTGGGAATTTGCTACAGAAACGGTAGGGTAGTATTTATGCGGAATACAAACGACGACAATCCGATCGTTCTCGAGACTGGGATGACAGCGGCATGGTGTTGTTGGAATAGTTACGGGTCTTTGCTGGCGGTGACAGGTACGATGCCGTTACTAGGTAACGGGGAGACAAAGGATACGAACGTGATTCAATTCTATAGTCCGTTCGGTAAACACATGAGAACTCTGAGGATACCTGGCAGGGAGGTGACATGCTGCGCGTGGGAAGGTGGATCTCTGAGAGTAGCGTTATCCGTCGATTCTCATATATACTTTGCGAATATTCGTTTGGACTACAAGTGGACGTATTTCAGTAAGACGGTCGTGTACACGAACGAGAGGATCGGCAACGATGGCATTTCCATTACATTTTGGAACACGGTGAACAACACGTGTTGCACGAAATATGCGAGAGCGTTGATAGCGATAGATTCCTGCGGAGAGCATTGCGTGTTGGCAGTGAAGAACGATCCTGCACAAGGTTCGGAGCAGTTTGCTCTTTTGGTCTGCAATTCCATAGCCACTCCGATAGACAGCAAGTTCATAAATTTCGAGCCATTATGGGTGAGCATGACTAACAACGTCGTGATTACCGCGTCCAAGAATAATTTTCTAGTATGGAGTTATCGTACTCCGCGTAACGCCGCGTTCAATACGGGCAAGATAAAGAGAGAGAAAATTTATCACGTCGACGAAACACCGACAGGTGTGACAGAAGTTATTCAAGATTTGGATAAGGATAGATCGTTCGAAGCGCCGATCAATACGAAAGCCAGCATGGACCCGATTTGTTGTTTATCCGCAACCGAGAATGTTTTATTAGTTGGCAGAGAATCGGGTATGATTCAGCGATACTCTCTGCCGCAAGTGACCATTACGAATAGATACAATACGGCGTGTAAACTGTACAAAATCTCAATCAACTGCGACTCGTCCCGTGCATCTATCATGGATACAAGCGGTCTATTGACGATGCTAGACTTGGAAGGTGATTCGAATAATTATGATTCGAAAGACGACGGCGACGGTAACGGCAACGGCAACGGCAACGGCAACGGCAACGAGTCGGTGGACGATATAAAGAAATTCGAGAGGAAAGATGTATGGGCAATGTGCTGGGCACAAGATAATCCGACTTTACTGGCCATCATGGAGAAGACCCGAATGTACGTGCTGAGGGAATTAGATCCGGAGGAGCCGATATCGTGTTCCGGGTACATTTGTTCGTTTCAAGATTTAGAGATACGATGTGTGCTGTTGGATGATCTTATGCAAAAGCCGGAAGATACCAGGAACGAATTGATAGTGGATCTGGAGGTGAAATCTTTGAGAGACACCAGAGAGTTATTGGTGAAGGTTGGTTTAAAGGAAGCTCAGAACTTCATTCAGGATAATCCCCATCCGCGATTATGGCGTTTGTTGGGGGAATCGGCGCTGAAGAAATTGGACTTGGAGACCGCGGAGAACGCGATGGTTCGTTGCACCGATTACTTGGGCATACAGTTTATAAAACGTTTGCAAAACGTGCATAACGATCAACTGAAGAAAGCGGAGGTGGCGGCGTATCTGGGCAACTACGACGAGGCGGAGAAATTCTACTTGGACATGGACAGAACGGATCTCGCTATTTCGTTGCGGCAAAAATTGGGCGACTACTTCCGCGTGGTGCAGTTAATGAAAATGGGCATCGGTGGATCCGACAAGCAGATGGAGCATGCTTACAACAAGATCGGAGAGTATTATGCCGAAAGACAGAATTGGGAGGGTGCAAAAGAGTATTACGAGAAAAGTAGAAACCTGGAGAAGTTGCTTGAATGCTATTACAAGTTGGAGGATTTCGTTCAGGTCGCGGAAACGGTGCAACAATTGCCGGACAAGAGCCCGTTGTTGAAGAGGGTGGCCAGGATGCTGGCATCCGTGGGCATGTGTTCGCAGGCCGTCGCGGCTTACATAAAGTACGGTGACGTGAAATTGGCCGTGGATACGTGCGTTCGCTTGAATCATTGGGACCAGGCCGTGGAATTGGCCAAGACCTATAAAATGGCTCAGATCGGCGAGTTATTGAATAAATACGCCAATCACCTTTTATCGAACGGCAAGAGATTACAGGCGATCGAGCTGTACAAGAAAGCGAATTACAACCTAGAAGCTGCCAAGCTGTTGTTACAGCTGGCTGAGGAACATGCGAGTTTCCGAAAGAATCCATTGCGCGTGAAGAAGATATACGTGCTGGCCGCGTTGCTGATAGAGGAACACGTTAACAGTACCCCGGCGATCAAAGGGACTCGCAGCAACATCGTGATGGGTTTAGTCGAGAACAACGAAGATTCTCGTGTGATAGAGAACGCTTGGAGAGGCGCGGAGGCGTACCACTTTCTCTTGATGGCGCACAGGCAGATATACGCGGGAAATTTCGACGCGGCTATGAAAATCGCTCTGCGGCTCAGAGAATACGAAGACATTCTGGCACCCGAGGACATTTACTGTTTGCTCGCGTTGTCCAGCGCTGTTCATCGTTCCTTTGCCGTCTGTTCGAAGGCGTTCATCAAGCTGGAATCGTTGGAGGTGATCCCGGAGACGACCAGAGAAGAGTACGAGAACTTGGCGCTGGACGTTTTTACGAAGCACAGCCCGAGGGACGTTCGTAACTCAAAGGCCGAATGCACGAATTGCGAGAGTCTTGTGCCCGACTGGTGCGTCGCCTGTCCCAGTTGTTCAACCAGATTCCCTGCTTGCATCGTTTCCGGGAAACCGTTGATGGATCTCGGGAACGCGTGGACCTGTACTGTTTGCAAACATCACGTCGCCACGGAACGAGACGTCGTTAATATAAATGCTTGCCCTTTATGCCATAGCACAGTCACCTATATGTAGTAGCTTGTATCACGAATCCAAGTATTTACGCGTTCTTCACTCTTCTTTTTTTCGAGTCCGTTGCATTTCTTTGTCGTTTTTCACTCTTTCTCTTCCTTATTCCTTTACCGTATATGTATATGCTACTGCTATACTATACTATACTATACTATACTATACTATACTATACTATACTATACCTATGTTATCAAGTACTTTTAACTGTATAGCGAATACCGATTCCGTCCACCGTTCAGAGTATCAATACCGTCCAATGCTAGAATATATTTATGTAAAATCATTTACAGGAATTTACACAGTTGTTGGCCAGGTGAGGGTATAAATGTATTTTCAATTTTCTTGGCCGTTCTTTCCAATTTTCCTTCAATCTGTCGCTTCCCCGAGAATAATATAAACCGTATTTATTGATATTATTATAAAACGGAGAAGTAGGTTTACATAGGAGAAAAAAAAGTCGAATAAAAACGGCTTGCACGCAAGTATCTATGGATACATACATATAGCCGTATGGCGAGAGCGGCTGGGTGCGATTCGCGCGCCGCGTTTCGAATAGGTCTGTTCCATGGAGTGCGCGTGCGTGGATCTGCGCATGCGCGGAGTAACCGGCACGCGTTCGTTTCCACCAGTCGGTCAGTGCGTCTCGAGTAAACGTGGGGGAACGTTCCACCACGTTTTGTTGCGAAGCATCGCATCATCGTATCTCGGCACCATCGCGTCCTTCCTTCCTTCCTTCCTTTTTTTGTTACGGGGGTATTGTCGTCGTTTCTCTTTAAATCATTCCCACTCTCTCGAAGGATATCATCGTGGCGCGGTTCGTTTCGAATCGTGGAAAGCGCTCGCCGAGCCGATCGGCGAATACGAATCGTTCAGTTTACCGCGAATGTTCAGTAGACGCGAGCGTCGTCGTGCAACTTGGTGAGTGCGTCCCGTGTGATTCCCACGGAGATGATGACGATGACGACGACGTGGATGTGTGCCGTGCCGTCGATGTTGTGCGTTATCCTGATCCTTAGCGTCACCACGAACACGGTTCACGCCGGATTAAAATGCGACGCTGTCAGACCCTATTTCGAGTCTCAGGGCTTTCCTGCCAGTGACATTCCAAAGGAGGCGATTCCCTGTAAGTACTTTTCTCTTCTTTCTTTCTTTTTTTTTCTTTTTTTTTTTTTTTTTTTTTTTTTTTTTTTTTTTTTTTTTTTTTTTTTTTGCGTTTCTTCACGTAATATAATCGATAAACAATGTTGTCGGAGAAGAAATTGTGCATCGTCGGGAATCTGAACCGATTCGGTCGGTTTAGATTCGATGTTACGATAGTTTTCATTTTATCTGTTCACGTTATATCGGACGAAATTAGAGGGGCACCGATAAACTCGACGATAATCTCGTTCTAACCTATTGGTTGATCACTCGCACGGAGTAATTGGGAACATTGAAAATTTGTATCGTTCGCGCTCGAGCACCGATCATTGAAAAATTACAACGATTTACGGGCAATGATTTGTAACGTGTTTTGTGAGGGGTGGGGGATCCGTCGAGAGCAGTACATATTCTAGGCTACATGTCTCAGCGACGGGGACACCGTTGTGGTGTGGTTGTGTCGGGAGAGAGAAAAAAACGAAGGGAAGAAAAATTCTTGGAAGCTATCAGGATGGAATTTGACGCGCGAACACTCTGGACTGGTGGCGTGGATCTGCTGCGTGCTGCGTGCGCGACAGCCAAACCCAGTTGGGTTGGCCAGCCGCCGTGAACGCAACAGATGAAATAAACACTTTGGAGCCCCCACAGAGTTTAAACATTTTTTTCACTTGGACACATTAGGTAATGTCTACTATGCGATTTATTACACCGTCTACAATAGCAAGCTATCGTACCGTCGTTCCGACCGTTCGACCATCCCCAGTCGTGTGCCTGTTCCCCCGTAGGGAGTACCTACACAACGGAGAGCTTGTCCGAGCTTATCGGATGGCGCAATCCAGTCCGTCCATACATTCAAAAATGTATTTACTCTCGACAACAAGACATAACGAGGAATTATATCTATCTTTGAACGCGACGATCAAACTCGAGAATAATATCGAAATCCACCCTTTCTTTACTTTATTATAGACTTTCGTAAGTCTGCCCAGCTGTAGGTGTACAATTGATCGAATATCGAGGAATTGGCTAAAGGAGAGGTTGTGTGTGTGTGTGTGTGTGTGTGTGTGTGTGTGTGCCGCTGATGCTGTGCTCGGTGACCGTTCTCAGAATCTAATGATCAATCGGCGAACGGAGAGCAGTTTGTGCCACGGTAAACCACAGTCCAAACTAATCTAAATCGATCAAGCGCTCTTATTCAATATGTCCCTCGTGACCGCTAGCAGTGATCGTAAAAGAACTTTGTTTAACGAGTGGTATTAATCTAAGTTGACCGACGGGAGCATCCGGAGAGACCGGAGGAAGAGCCTTGACCTGGACGTTTTTACTTTCATTGTATATGTATATGATATCTCGCCGTGATCTCTGCATACCGATTTTTCCACCCTGGCCGTGCTACGCCGTGGCTACGAACACCCGAGTCATTTACCTGACCAATTCTCAGGTCTGTTCTACCTGAGCTTTGTAAAATATGCCACTTTTCGATTTAGTCGCGCACTGCTCGACAGTTTTCCTGCTTGTCCTTCGTTTCGCCTGCAGAACTATGAATGCATAGAAATTGCCGTCTTCGTCGTCCATCGCGTAGTCTTTTTGTTTACCTTAATCGTCTCGTAACCGATATATGTGTCTATCATCTGTTAGTTCAAGGCTTAAGGAATTCCTTTCGATGTGCATATCGCGAGCTCTTTCAAGGCTTCGAAGACCACCCACGCGAGCCTTCGACGCGTTCATTATTCGTTCGTTTCCCCTTGGAATGCTTTCTCGAGGGTTTTCCGCCCTCTTTTCGGCTCGTCGAAAAGAAAATTACTTAACAATCGGGTGGGATAGACCAGAAGAAGTTGGAACCGAAAGACATATGCGTCTAAACAGGTGCGTGTCTTTCCTAGGGGGGATGACTCTGAGAACAGACATTCCGGGATCCGGAATGAGAAGCTTGTATCGATCGACGGAGTGGCTAGTCGTTCGGAATTTTTAACTGTCATCGTAGGTACATAGGTATACTCTTTTCTCTTCTCTTTGAGTTGTCTTCGAAGGACCTCGGGGGAAAGGGCCAAGAAACGGACGAGAAAATGGTTATACCGACACGAATCATGCTTTAACGCTTTCGTCAACGATTTCTCTCGGTCACTTATCTTAAGTGAGTATTCTCGGTCCTTTCGGTCGAGAATCCTCGACAATAATTTCGTGTGTTGAGAATTTCTTTTTTCTTTTTTCTTTTTCTTTCGGTTCAACGGATTCATCATGAGTTAAGATTAATGAGCATAGCTATTTAACAGCGGGGCAAACGAAAGTCATCTTCATTGGTCGATTTAATTAAGATTGCAAGTGTACGTCGGTAGTTTGTACTCGTCAACGATCATGATATTCAATATCTTGGATGGCTTCCGATTAATCACGTAGGAACGAGAAGGTTCCCGATGAAATTGTGCACCCTTCTGTGTGTCTCCTCTTCCCGTATTTACTAACCACGACGTTTAAAGTTTAAAGCCGACGATCTACCAGTTTCTCTAGCGTGTAACGAAGACGAGCGTCGTTCGGTCGGACTCGATATCCGGTATAAATGCGACCCATATAATATGTATGGATCGATTGTTCGGATGACGCAACAACGTCTAGTCTAGTATATCGGTTTCTGGTAGTGTGTGCTCGTGTGTACGCGAGTTGAATCGACAGCCAACATTCGTGTCGCGCCTTCGAGAAGCTTGTGCGTTTCTTCGCAATTGTATTGCCATCACTAGTATTTACATACATACATACATACATACATACATACATACATACATACATACATACATACATACATACGTACGTACGGATTTGCGCGTAAAGTGAAACCGGATCAGAGATTCGTAGACGAGGGCTACGGAGGATGGGAGAAACCGCGCGCGATTTTAGACAAACAGCCCGCAGAGTCGCGGAAATAGAGCGATCGAACACACACTCGATTCGAAGATTCTCGGAGAATCGTGAATAGTGTGTAGGGGTAGGTAGGTAAATACGTATGTATCGGGCAGCATCCGTTGCACACACATGTGTTAAACGCCGTTCAATTGGAAATTCCGATACACACGGACGACAAGCATAGAACCTCCACTCCGTATACATACATATGTACATGTATTGTTAAGTTGTTGGTTGGCATCGCGAAGATCCGAGGGAGATGCATATACACGAGGGCAAAAAAGGAGGAACGGGAGATGCCGCACACGTTTCTTGAAGAAATATGGGCATCTGTGCTTGAGGAGGGGGGGGGGGCTCTCTTGAATTTTGTATGCGGACTGGCAACGTTCGGAGAGAAGGATCCCTGGATCCCTCCCCAAGATGATCATGGAACGTGAAATTCCTGCATAATTCTTCCGGGTATCGAAACACACAGCCTAGAAAGTCCTGTCCAGTGTTCCTTGGACGATCGGCTAAACCGTGGCGTGAGGCGTGGATAGAATGACAAACGAGAAGTGCACTCCGATATTTCGACGAATACGGAGATATCGGCCTGGTATTAATTCCTGAAGTACAAGCTACGTGATTCGACGGAATCTCGATCGATCCGAAGAATATTTGTTTGCAAGAAGACAGTATACGGAGAGAAATAAAGGGTCAGGCCGTACGTAGGTTAATACCGGTATAAAAGAATGCTGGGCTCGTAAATAGCGCAGCCACCGTTGTCACTGGTCGAGCTCAAAATACCCCCTCTGTGTAAAGAGAATTTTTCATGCGTGTTGATTAAAAGCCTGGCGGCGAGTACCACCAGCCCATCGGTATTTACTACTATTTACCTATGTACCTTCCGTGTCTTTTACTCGCGTAAAGGGCGTGATTGTCCACGCGGAAGCTTGAAACTGAAAGGTTAATCTTCGACCACGAAGAATCTTCCGCGTGAGACATTTCACATTGGTTTTACCGTTCTCTGCTTTTGATTAGTTCTACAGAAAAATGTGCCACGAACAGTCGTAAACTTGTCAGCTTCGTCGAATTTCTATGGCGCTGTGCGAAGATTCAATTGATTGCTACGTATGCAAGAGGAGTAGGTGTCGTAAAACTTGCTTAGAAATATTCATATGCCTCGGCGATAGCGTAGTAACTTTTGCGGCTATCGGTGACGTTGCTCTGTTCGCGAAAAAAATTCTGGTCGTTTCTTCGCTTATTCGCGTTGCTCGGTTGCGTATGTACATTGTCGCGATCCAAGGACTAAATAGACGCGCGAGAACAACGGGGTGACACGTGCCCGATAAACGACAATCGTCACGAGCTTGCAGCTTTAAGAATACGCGCGTGATACAGCTACCGAGAAACGTATCGCGAATCGCGATGCATCCGGTCTTCTCTCGGCGTATACAGGGTGGACCCCGTAAACGTGATCAGTATGGATTTATTCTGTTTTGATACACACAACTATTTTGAACAAGATACCTATTTATAAGATTTGATTGTACGTCATAAATAGAACGTGAAGCAATCCTTTCTTGACCGTTTAGGCGAGTGTATTGCAGCTGATGAATCACCATTGTGAACAACCTTTTAATCACGGTAAATGATATTTTTTTAATTTTTCTTTGGTCTAGAATACTTTAGAAGAAAAAGCATTATTTCTTGCGATGCTTGCTGAATCCGTCTCAGTATTCGCTAAAAGATGGGCGTAAAAGAAGGATAGGTCTATCTATGAAAAACTGAAACTGGGTGGCTTTGGAAATTTCGGACAAGAAGGGTTGATGAAAAATTTCATAGAATCATCTTAAAAGACAGCTCTCCTCGAATCATGTTATATTAGCCAAAGAATTTTTTCGATCGAACAGCTAGGAATAGAATAATCCCAGTTGATCACGTTTCGTAGTCCACCCTGTAAATATGTACATATGTATAAGCTTCTTCCCCGCTATTGTGTGTCTAGCTCCTGCGTTGTCTCTCCCCGGTGCATCTTTTTTCCTCTCTGTCTCGCTATCTCGACCTACTCTCGCCTATTTTAAACACGCAAGGGAAGCGTGTGCA